TCTCACTCTCTCTCCATCTCCTCATCTCTCTCTCCTCTCCTTCTCTCCTCCGCAGCGCAAGATGACAGCGAGTCACACACCGCTCACCACGGAGATCTTCATGGAGTGGAGAAGAAGAAGAAGAAGCAGGCCGTGCGGAAACTAAACCCCTCTCGTCACATCTTGTTTCTCTCACCACCCCCTCTCCTGCCCTCTCCCCCACCGCAGCGCAAGATGACAGCAAGCCACACACAGCTGACCACCGAGATCCTCATGGAGTGGAAGAAGAAGAAGAAACAGGTCGTTCCATTTCAACCCCTCTTCACATCTTCTCACTCTCTCTCCCTCTCCTGATCTCTCTCTCTCTCTCCTCTCCCCCCCCGCAGCGCAAGATGACAGCGAGCCACACACAGCTGACAACTGAGATCTTCATGGAGTGAAGCGGAAGAAGCAGGCTGTGAAGGACGCTGAGATGGCGGCCAAGAAGGCAGCACGCGCCAAGGAGGACAGAATGAGGTGCGTGGGGTAAGAGTGCCATGGGGTAGAGGGTACTGGTGTGAGGTACAGAGTAGAATGATAATGTGGGTGCAGAGTAGATGCGGAAGAAGGCACATGCGCCAAGAAAGACAGAATGAGGTGAGCGAGGTGGAGATTATTCCTGGGAGATATAGATTGAAATGGGCAAGTTGAGTTGAGCAGTCGTGCAGACGGTTGTGCAACAGAGGTTTCTCCCCTGCACTCCGCTTTGCCCATCTGTTTCTTTGTGAGCCCTCACCCTCCCATGTTCCCTCCCCTATGTCTCTCCCTCCTGCCCTCCCTTCTGTTCTGTCAGTTGTCTCGCTCGTTGTTAATCACGACGCGGCATGTGATGCATCTGAGCGCATGAAGGAGAGTGGCTTTTGTGAGACGTCGAATCACTCATGCATCCCCCTCTCCCTTTCCCCTGTCTCTCCCTTCCTTCCCTCTGCAGTGGTCGCGAGCTGTTCCTGTCTGATGCATCCCTCTTCGTCGACGACGATGCGGCATGTGACGCGTATGAGAGAGTGGAGGAGGAGGAAGGGGCCGCAGCCCCCCCTGTTCCCACTACAGGGGAATCCAGCAGCAGCAGTGGGGGGGGGTGATCCAGGGCCGAGCACATCTGGTGCTGCAGGAGCAGCAGGAGGAGGAGGGGGGAGGCTGGTTCGTCTGGGCTTGCACTCACGGAGGAAGATTGAGATGCTATTGGCTGAGGACGATGATGAGCTGGCGCCAGAAGAGCTGGAAGAGCTGGAAGCTGAGCTGGCAAAGACATCCATTTCTTGAGCAATTAGGATGAGAGGATACGATTGGCTGCTGAGCTGTCGGCAGCAGAGTAGCTGGAGGATTTTGAAGCTGGTTTTGGCAAAGAAGTAGGGCTCTTTTCTATGAGAAATAAGAAATTTGGAAGGAGTTCCTGGGAATCCCTAACCTTGGGACTACCAGAAAATTGCTGGTCTGGATTGTTTGGGACATGAGAGTTCATTGTGGTACCGTAACAAGAGGGGTTAACCGGAACCTAGGTGTCTGCTGGGTGTTTCACTCGAAGAGGGTGGCCATGCTTAGTGCCTGGATGTGAGTGGAGTTGGATTGGAACACCATTGCAAATGCATCAGCATGCGCAAGCAAACCTGTGGTTGGAAACATAATATCTGAACATGTAATAAAACATGAAGTTCACTGCACTCCATCCCGACATTTGTTTTCGGCACCCTTTTCCCTCCCCCTGCATAAACCTTGACTCTCCTGAAAACCTCGGCAGGAACCCTAGAAACATCCCAGTGCGAGGACGTTCTCACGGCGCTTTCGCGCTTACCGTAGCTCTGATCCCTCCGAAGTAGTGGAATGGCGAGAATCTCGTAGGCGATACCCAGTTGCGAAATGCTCGCAAGCCCGTAGCTTCTTGTTAGTGGAGGGTTAGTGGCATTATCGAATCCCGTATCTAGTTCTCCCTGTAGAAAGCCATGGGGTTAATGGATCCGCTGTTTCGTTTTGACGCGGATGACGATAACGAGGATGGGGGGGGAGGTGGCGGCGTGGGATTTCAAGGGCGCGGGGAAGACTCTTGCGGAGGAATTTAAGGAGCGACGCACGACGTCCGTTGATACCAAGATTGAGATGATCCGACGGCGGAGAGCGATGGGGGATGGCGGATGAAGGGAAAGGGAGGAGGACGAAGAGAGGGAGGAGGACGAGGAGGAGGAGGAGGAGGAGGAGGAAGAAGAAGAGGAGGAAGAGGAAGAGGAAGAGGAGGAAGAAGAGAAGAAGAGGAGACGAGGAAGAGGAAGTGAGGAGGGAAGAGGAGGGGGAAGAAGAGGAGGAAGAGGAAGAGGAGGAAGAAGAGGAAGAGGAAGAGCTAGAAGGGGAGGAAGAAGATGACGAAGAGGAGGAAGAGGAGGAGGAGGAAGAGGAGGAGGAAGAGGAAGAAGAGGAAGAGGACGAGGAGGAGGAAGAGGAGAGTCTCAGGAAGACTAAGAAGGAGGTATGACTGGATGACAAGGGTTGAGAAGGTTTAACAGGTAGGGAGCGTGGTCAAAAGGGATGGGAAGGCCACAGTGAATGCAAGTAACACACATCTTTTCACCGAATCCCGAAATCAGATATGACATTAAAGGGTTTTGGGCTTCGGTGTATCACAGGATTCGGGAAGGAGTGCCGAAATCCAAGCTCTCTGGTGTGGTGTGGCTGAACGAAAACATTGCTCTTCGTTACAACTAGATTATAAAAACGGAACCAAACGATTCAAAATCCGGGGGGGGAGTGGTTGAGATGAGACCAAAACGGCATCAAAAGCCCTTTTCTCTCCATTTTCTCCCTCCCCTCACCCCCCCCCCCCCTCCCCTCCCCTCCCCCCTCAAGCAGCCCAAAATAAAAGATATTGAAAAGGCATCCAAGGCGAAAGCCAGGCGGGAAAAGGAAGGAGCAGGAAAGGGAGAAGGCGGGGAAGGGGGGGGCGGAGGGGGGGGCGGGGGGGTGTATTTCGAGGGGGCGGAGGAGGCAGGGGCGCGGTTCTCTGCGTCGTCCTTCTCAGAACTGCAGCTGTCGCGGCCGCTGCTGCGTGCGTGCGCTGCTCTGGGGTATGACAAACCCACGCCCATCCAGGCTGCATGCGTGCCCTTGGCTATGGCCGGGAGGGATATCTGCGGCAGCGCTATCACTGGTTCAGGCAAGGTACGTTTGGGGGGGCCGTGTTGCCTTCTCGTGCCCTGCTCTCTTGTGGGGTGGGGAGGCCGTGTTGGGTGTGTGTGTCTTCTCTGCGTCGTCCTTTTCAGAGCTGCAGCTGTCGCGGCCGCTGCTGCGTGCGTGTGCTGCGCTGGGGTATGACAAGCCAACGCCCATTCAAGCCGCGTGTGTGCCTTTGGCTATGGCCGGGAGGGACATCTGTGGCAGCGCTATTACTGGTTCTGGCAAGGTGTGTGTGTGTGTGGGTGTTGCTCTCGTGTTGTGCCTGTATTGCGCCGCTGCTGCGTGCATGTGCTGCGCTGGGGTATGACAAGCCCAAGCCCATCCAGGCCGCCTGTGTGCCCTTGGCTATGGCTGGGAGGGATATACGCGGGAGCGCCATCACTGGCTCTGGCAAGGTGTGTGTGTTGCTCCCTCCCTTGTGCTTCCCCCACACTGCTCTTGCACTTCCCTTGTGCTGCTGCTGCGTGCGTGTGCTGCTCTGGGGTATGACAAGCCCACCCACGCCCATCCAGGCGGCATGCGTGCCCTTGGCCATGGCAGGCCGGGGTATATGCGGCAGCCCCATCTCTGGGTCTGGCAAGGTGGGTGTTGCTCTTTCTCTCTCTCGTGCTGCTCGTGCACTGCTCCCTTGCTGCCCGTGTGCTGTTCTGCTGCTGCGTGCATGTGCTGCTCTGGGGTACAACAAGCCCACCCACGCCCATCCAGGCCGCCTGTGTGCCCTTATCCATGCCAGGCGTTCTCCCTCCCCATTCCCCTCCCACCCCACCCCACCCCAACACACAGACCGCAGCCTTTTCTCTCCCCATATTGGAGCGCCTACTGTTCCGACCCAAGCGGGTGGCTGCCACTCGTGTGCTTGTGCTGACCCCAACCAGAGAGCTGGCCGTGCAGTGAGTACTGTGCTTGGTCCTATCACCACGCGAACAACATGTGTGGGGAGATGGGTTTGTGGGCTTGATTTGCTGCTCGACGAGAGAGCTGGCAGTGCAGTGAGTGCTGTCCTTAATCGTTCTCTAAGTTTGTTGAAAGGGCGCTACGTTTTGTTTCGCCCCAAATGAGCACTCGGGTGAGCACAGGCACCCAAATGTGCTCGCCCCAACGAGAGAGCTGGCAGTGCAGTGAGTGCCATACTTGGTGACATGCTCGCGTCGTTGGTCCTATCAGTACACGTGGAAGTGGAATTTACCTCGTCGCACCTCCTTTCCTTATCGTCCCTCCCCATGCCACCACCAGAGTGCACAGCATGATTGAGAAGCTAGCGCAGTTCACGGACATCCGCTGTGGGCTGGTGGTGGGGGGTCTGTCTATAAAGAACCAGGAGGTGGCTCTGCGGTCAAGACCAGACATTGTCGTCGCCACTCCTGGCAGGTGAAGAGGAGAGGAGGGGCAGGTGAGAGGCAGTTGAGCGGCTGTTAACAATGCTGATGATGCGCCTCAAGAATCATTCGCTGTGGGCTGGTGGTGGGGGGTCTGTCCATCAAGAACCAAGAAGTGGCTCTGAGGTCAAGGCCAGACATTTTCGTCGCCACACCTGGCAGGTGAAGAGGAGAGTAGGGCCAGGTAAGAGGTGGATGAGGGGCTGGAAGGGGAGGTGTGGCGGCGACAATGTCATCCGCCTTACTCCTGGCAGGTGAGGAGGAGAGTAAGAGGAGGGCAGGTAAGAGGCGGGTGAGGGGCTGGAAGGAGTATTGTTGAGGCGCCTCAAGAATCATCCGCTGCCGGCTTGTGGTGGGGCGTCTGTCTATCAAGAACCGGGAGGTGGCCCTGCGCTCCCTCCTACCCCGATGTCGTGACTTGAACGATCTGGTCTTGCATCCATTCTAGCATTCATTTCGGTTGGTCTCCCTTGCGTATCTTTCATCCCTCATACGCACCACTCCCCAGGCTAGTGGATCATCTACACAACAGCCAGAGCGTTGACTTGAACGACCTGGCCATGCACAAGCCTCCGTCTCACGTTTGACCTTTTGTTCCGTTTTCACCCCTTGCCATCTTCCCATCTTCCATTGTGCAGGCTAGTGGATCATCTACACAACAGCCAGAGCGTTGACTTGAACGACCTGGCCATGCACAAGCCTCCGTCTCACGTTTGACCTTTTGTTCCGTTTTCACCCCTTGCCATCTTCCCATCTTCCATTGTGCAGGCTAGTGGATCATCTACACAACAGCCAGAGCGTTGACTTGAACGACCTGGCCATTCTGGTGCTGGACGAAGCTGATAGGCTGCTGCAGCTGGGGTTCCAGGAGGAGGTCATGGAAATAGTAAGTGTTTTCCGAAATGGCAATTGTTGACTAAATTAGGAAATGCTGCTTAAAATAGTAAGTGGTGCTGTTTTGATGCCATTCTGGTGCTGGATGAGGCGGACAGGCTGCTGCAGCTGGGGTTCCAGGAGGAGGTGATGGAAATAGTAAGTACCGCCCAAAATAGTAAGTGCTCCCAGAAATACATTGTGCACCAATCTTGGTTCATGTTGAGCCGTTACGAGTGCAGGAAGCCAGTCTCTTCCAATGAATTGAGTCCACGTGCTCCTCCCCTCCCCTCCCCTCCCCTCCCCTCCCCTCCCCTCCCCTCCCCTCCCTACCCTCCCCTACCCTCCCGTACCCTCCCCTACCCTCCCCTACCCTCTCACTCACTCTCTATCATAGGTCCGAGTTTGTCCCAAGCGCCGTCAGACCCTTCTCTTTTCAGCCACTATGAGCACGGAGGTGCAGCAGCTGGCGAGTCTGTCCCTCAATCTGCTGTTAACCCTTCCGTTTCCTCTCTCATCTCCTCCGTCCCTATGCCCTCCCTCTCTGTTGCAGGTGCGAGTTTGTCCCAAGCGCCGGCAAACCCTACTTTTCTCGGCCACTATGAGCACGGAGGTACAGCAGCTGGCGAGCTTGTCCCTCAACCTGCCCGTCCGACTGTCTGCTGATGCTTCCATGCAGCGACCACGCACACTGGACGAGGAGTGAGTGATGAGAGGGGCGGGGGGGAAGGGGCCGGGGGAATGCTGGGAAAGGGTTGGGGAAGGTGCAGCAGCTGGCAAGTTTGTCCCTCGACCTGCCCGTGCGACTGTCTGCTGATGCTTCCATGCAGCGACCGCGCACACTCGACGAGGAGTGAGTGCCGGGGAAGGGAAGTGGGGATGCGGGGGAAGAGGGGAAGGGAAAGGGGAAGGGGGAAGGGGAATGGGGAATGCTGGGGGAAGGGCGGGGGGAGGTGCAGCAGTTCACAAGCCTGTCTCTCAACCTGCCAGTGCGGCTGTCTGCTGATGCTTTACTTTCATCTCCCCTGTCCTCATCCTCCCTTAAGTGGTTATGGTGGTTTTGATGCAATCATCTCAATAGTATGTGTCTTTGCTCCTTCCGTAGTCATCCCTTCATCCTCTCTCACTCCCTCCTCCCGATGCCATGCTGCTCGCTGTGTGCTCGCTCTGCTCTCTCTGCTCTCAACCCCATGCCTCCTACCCATTTCTCCCCTTGCAATCACCCCATCATCCTCCCCCCACCACTCCCTTCTTCCCTACTACCTCCTCCCCCTCTCCAGGGTGGTTCGGGTGCGATCGTCTCAGGAAGCAGACAGAGAAGCCATGCTGCTCGCTGTGTGCTCCAGGCTCGCCCAAACCTCCGGCGCAGGCTCGGAAGGAGGTTTTGATGGAGGGTCGGAATTAAGAGAGGCAGGAGATACAGGGAGAGGGGAGAAGCGGAGTAAAGCACAGGGGGGAGGTGGAGTGATCGTCTTTAGGTGAGCTTTGAATTAGCTCATAAGACACCTCGGTTTCAAAAGACATCAGGATGGTTTTGGGGGGGGAGGAAGGGAGAAAAGTGGAGCAAGCCCAGAGAGAGGAGGCGAAGTAGTCAGAATGGTTTATCGACATGTGGATCGACATGGTGCTGATGTGGCATGTGCTGCTGCTGACATGGCTCCCGTTGCTCAGCATGCTCTGTTGCACGCCGTTCATTGGTGGCTGGGCACACCCCTATCATATGCTGACGTGGCACTCGTTTCTCCCTCCTGTGGCCGTTTTTGTCTGTTATGCAGCGGCCGCAAGGTAGAGGCGCATCGGCTGAAGATTATATTTGGCCTGCTCGGGTGGCGGGCGGCAGAACTACATGGGAACCTCACTCAGGCCATGAGACTGGATGTGAGTGCAATGAGAAAGGGGGAAATTGATGTCATTGTAACGAATGTGAGTGCATGTGCTGCTCTGGCAGGTGATGGAGTAGCACGGGAACCTCACTCAGGCCATGTGACTGGATGTGATGTGAGCGAGGTTAGTCATCATCACCATTGCTGACGACTTTTGAGTCGACCCAAAAGTTGACAGGATGTGAGCGCGTTTGGTAGTCATCACCACTGCTGACGTCACATCTTTTGGTGTTCCTGCCACCCTGCCACGCCACTACCCATGAGAACCGCACCTCACGATTCTCTGTGCGTGTTTCTCGCCTGCTTGCACCTCTCTCTCCGCATGCGTGTGCAGGCCTTGGAGCGATTCTGCACGCACTATGTGGACTTTCTGATTGCCACTGACGTTGCTGCTGTTTTTGAGGCGGCTCAGAAATCGTTCCTGCCTCCTTTCCCCGCTCTGTCCACTTTGCCTCCTTTCTCCACTCAGGCCTTATCACGATTTTGAACGCACGACGTGGACTTTCTTTCTTGTCACCACTGACGTCGCTGCTAGCGTCCACACGCCACTACCCATGGGGGAACAGCACCTCACGTTTCTGTGTGTGCGTTTCGTGCCTGTTTGCGTCTCCCCCTTGTGCTCAGGCCTTGGAGCGATTTCGAACGCATGACGTGGACTTTCTGATCGCCACTGACGTCGCTGCCAGAGTGCGTGCTTTACTACCTACCTACCCTTTAGAAAACGGCATTCTTTTCTGCCATTTTTTCTTTAGTCCATACAAACTCTCGTTCACACACATCGATTTCTCTCCTTCAGTTCGGAATGTATCCTTCCTTCTTGTTTCTCAACCTATTCCACTCCTCCTATCTCCTCTCCTCTCCTCTGCACACTGGGGCTCCATTCAGGGTCTGGACATAGCTGGAGTGCAAACTGTAATCAACTACCACACGCCACGTGAAATCACCAAGTGAGTGAGCTGGATATTGCCACGTCACCAAATGAGAGAGCTGAATGGTTACAACTCACAATTGATTCCCTTCAACTCTGTTCGTTTCCCTGCCCGCACCCGCCTTCTTCCCCTCATCTTTCGTCATCCTCATTCCTCTCTTGAGTCCGTCGTCCCTCATCCATCTTCATCTCCACCCTTTGTCGCCCTCCCTCCCTCTCCCCAGCTACGTGCATCGTGTGGGGCGGACAGCACGTGCCGGCAAGCTGGGATCGTCTGTGACCTTCGTGGGGGAGAAGGACCGGAGGCTGCTGAAAGCGATGGTGAGAGAATGAGGGAGGAACACTAGGGGAGGATTAATAAGGGCACCGGGACAGCACAAGGGGATGCAGAAGTGTAAGGCACGGGCGGGGAAGCTAGGATCATCAGTGACTTTCGTGGGGGAGAAGGATCAAAGGCTGTTGAAAGCAATGGTGAGGGAGGGAGGGAGGGGTAGGGGCAGACTTCACGGGCCAAGAAGCTAGAATTAGCTGTGGCGTTCGTGGGGGAGAAGGACAGGAGGCTGCTGAAAGCGATGGTGAGTAGTGGGAGAGGGGTAGAAGGAGAGTGCATTGTGCAAGGATGGAAGGGAAGGTGAAGGGGGGATAGGGCGGACGGCACGGGCGGGGAAGCTAGGGTCGGCAGTGACCTTCGTGGGGGAGAAGGACAGGAGGCTGCTGAAAGCGATGGTGAGAGGACGAGGGAGGGAGGGAGGGAAGGGGAGGTAGGAGGAGAGTGCATGGTTAGGGAAGCTAGGATCGGCTGTGACCTTCGTGGGGGAGAAGGACAGGAGGCTGCTGAAAGCGATGGTGAGAGTGAGGAAAAGGCGGGGAAGAAGGGATGAGATGAGGAGGTGAGGTGGAAGGGAGAAGACTGTTTGTGCAAGATAGGGCAGCATGATGTGATGTGAAGTGAAAACCTTAAACTCAAAAACTCCTTTATGTCATAACGCCTGGTACTCCTCTTTCTTTCCTCCCTCTCCCTCCCACTGTCCCGTACCACAGACAAAGCGAGCAGGCAGGAAGCTGAAGCAGAGGCAGTGGAGCGATGGAGGCTGAGCGTGGAGGGCATGGAGAGGGACGCGTGGGGGGGAGGTGATGAAGTAGCATGAGTCCATATGTACACCAACTCAACCCAATACCCCCGTCTTCTCCCCTTGCAGACAAAGCGGGCAGGCAGGAAGCTGAAGCAGAGGCAGATAGCGCAAGCAGCAGTGGAGAGGTGGCGGCAGCGAGTGGAGGGTATGGAGAGGGACGTGGCTGCTGTTATGAAGCAGGAGAAGGAGGAGCGGGTATTGAGGAAAGCAGAGATGGAAGCAGCCAAGGTGGGTGGGTGGGTGGGTGGGTGGGTGGGTGGGTGCGTGCACAGTGCACTGTGTGGAGTATAGTTCAGTGGGTGTGTGGGAACAGTGATAGAAGCATGGAGGCATGGCAGCGAGTGGAGGGTATGGAGAGGGACGTGGCTGCTGTTATGAAGCAGGAGAAGGAGGAGCGGGTGCTGAGGAAGGCAGAGATGGAAGCAGTCAAGGTGGGTGGGTGGGTTGGTGGGTCCCCTGTGTGTAGTTGTGAGGAGATTTAAAGTGCAAGTGGAGGGCATGGAGAGGGACGTGGCTGCTGTTATGAAGCAGGAGAAGGAGGAGCGGGTGCTGAGGAAGGCAGAGATGGAAGCTGTTAAGGTGGGTGGGTGTTTTTTTGACACACACTGTTCTGCTACTGGCTCCTTCTTCAGCTCTTTTAGAGTTTTGAGACTTTTCAAAAAGCAATATTCCAACTGCTACTTGCTTCTCATCTCCCCTCCCTGCTGCCACGTCAGGCTGAGAACATGCTGACTCATCGCGACGAGATATTTGCCAAGCCCAAGCGCACGTGGTTTCAGAGCAAGAGGGAGAAAGAGGCAGCCGCAGAGGCGGCTAAGGCTGCTGCTGATGCTGAGGCTGAGGGCGGGGAGGGCGGCAGTGGGAAGGGTGGGAAGGGAGGGAAGGTGCTTTCGCTTGAGGAGGTGCAGGAGAAGAGGAGAAAGGAGAAGCTGAAGAAGCAGCGAGAGGTGAGCAGTTGAAGGATGGAAGGTGAGATGAGAGGTGAGATATTTGCTTCTTATTGGGTTACCCAAGCGCACGCGGTTTCAGAGCAAGAGGGAGAAAGAGGCAGTGGCAGAGGCAGCTAAGGCTGTTGCTGATGCTGAGGCGGAGGGTGGGGAGGGCCGCAGTGGGAAGGTCGGAGGGAAGGTGCTTTCGCTAGAGGAGGTGCAGGAGAAGAGGAGGACAGCGCGAGGTGAGCAGTTGAAGGATGAAAGGTGAGAGGAGAGGTGAGATATTTGCTTCTTATTGGGTTACCCAAGCGCACGTGGTTTCAGAGCAAGAGGGAGAAAGAGGCAGTGGCAGAGGCAGCTAAGGCTGCTGCTGATGCTGAGGCTGAGGGTGGGGAGGGCGGCAGTGGGAAGGGAAAGGGGGGAGGGAAGGTGCTTTCATTGGAGGAGGTGCAGAAGAGGAGGAAGGAGAAGCTGAAGAAGCAGCGAGAGGTGAGCAGTACGATTCTGAGAGGGGAACAGTGGGATGCTGAGAGGTGGGAGAAGAAACTAAGTTCAATTTCGAAGGAAGAGGTCCAGAAGAGTAGGAGGACGGAGAAGCAGCAAGAAAAAAAACCCTTTCCATTCCCTTTTCCCGTTCCATCTCCCTCTTCCTTTCCCACACCAGAAATTCCTTTCTAGGAAGAAGCATCAGGAGGAGACGGAAGCGCAAGCCTTTGGCCCGGATGATGGGCAGCCCAAGGCCGGAAAGACAAGAGCCGAAACACAAGCCTTGGGGTCCCCATCTGCCACTTCATAACTTCTCTGCTTCCACTTTCCGTTCTTCACTCCCTTTTCGAGTCGACTCAAAAATCCGCGTGTGATGAGTCGATTTTTGAGTCGACTCAAAAATCGACAAGAGCCGAAACACAAGCGTTTGGGTCCCCATCTGCCCCTTCATCAACTTCTCTGCTTCCACTTTCCGTTCTTCACTCCCTTTTCTTACCCCTCTCTCTCCCCATAAATCCCTCCCTAGGAAGAAGCGGCGAAAGCTAGAGGCAGAGAGGCAGGCACAAGAGGAGGAGGCAGAAGCACAGGCCTTTGGTCTGGATGATGCATCTGATGGGCAACCCCACGATGGAGGAAAGACAAGAGCCGATCTGGCTTACTGTAAAGCCAACCCGCACCGGCTTCGTCTGGCCTCACTGTCCCCCTCCCCTTGGCTTCCCTTCGTAATTCCAGAAATCTCTCCCTAGGAAGAAGCGGCGAAAGCTAGAGGCAGAGAGGCAGGAACAGGAGGAAGAGGCAGAAGCACGAGAATTTGGGCTGGATGATGCATCTGATGAAAAACCCAAGGCTGGAGGAAAGACAAGAGCCGATCTGGCCTACCGCAAAGCCAAGGCAATCAAATCCGCGGAGCGGCTCCGGGCAGCTGGGAAGATCGTCAGCCTGCCCAAGCCGGGCGGCCGGGCAGCTGGAAAGAAACCGAAGCAGCGAACGCCGTCCCGGTCTCGAGAGATGAAGGATTTGTTTCAGACGGATATGGCTAAGGGGAAGGGAGGGGGAGGGGCTGGGGGGGAGGTGAAGGGGAGGGGGAAGGCTGGGGGGAGTTTCAAGAGCAAGAAGCGGTGAGTCTGTCTGTCATTGCAGCTGTTGCTTCTTGACTGTTGAGATGTCTCAAATGTGAAGGGTAGGGTGGCCGGCCCCTTTGGTACCCCTTTTTACCCCCTTTTTGTTTGGCCCTCCCTTAGCATTCTGACTTGATATGCATGCATTTTTGTTTTTCCCTTGCGCCCTGTTCTTCTTCTGGCAGGTACAAGAGGCGGTGAGACGAGCTGAGGGCCTTTCTGTGGCTTTCAGAGTGGAGCGTGTGCATCAGAAGGACTTGTGCGTGGTTTCTGCCGTTGCAACGGATCCACTTGCTTTATTGCTCATGCAGTGATGGCAGCTATAGTCTGTCAAGACTGTGGAATACTGCATGACCAGTTGCTGTACTCTGCAGTATGGAATGGGCTCCTAAAAGCCATGCTCAGTTGTGCAAGTGCATGTGTCTAAAAACGTGAATTGAGCAGGCGCAGTGAAGCCACATTGCTCCATGAAAAGATTGAATGAAATTCTGCGAGTCACAGGACAGGGAGCACTGTCCACTGCACTGCAAACCTACGGTATGTGCATGGCAGCACTGCTGCCAACAGTTGACAGTGCACGGGGTATCGTTGTCAATACAGTGGGTGAACTGGCAGTGGTGCACTGCACTGGTGTGGAACTGCTTTTTGAGTCGGCTCGAAAGCAGAGCACTTTTGAGTCGACTCAAAGGTGCTGCCAATACAGTGGGTGAACTGGGAGTGGTGCAGTGGTATCGAACCACGCACATCACCATAGGACACAGCCCTGGCGGTGATTCGCAGCAGCAGCAGTCTTTAGCGTGCACTGCCCACACGGCCACATGGGCCTCGTGGTCATGGACGGTGGCAGCACTGCACTACCACCAACATGATTGAAGGAGTGTTTTGAAGCACAAAACACATGGCCACATGGGCCTCGTGGTCGTGGACGGTGGCAGCACTGCACTACCCTACCACCAACAGCTACAGAAGCACATGTGTCGAGATTATCAATGGGTGAGATGGCAGGCACCAATGAGCTGATATGGCATCATGTCTGAGCAACTTTCAGTGAGTCACAGGCTAGACATCGGTCTGCTGAAGCAGAATTCTCTAGCGTGCACTGCCCACATGTCCACATGGGCCCCGGGGCGGCAGCGCTGTCAGCAACTACTGCAGCACTGCCACAACCAGTGATTGCAGGAGCAGGGTGATCTTCGATTACAATGGCTGCATCAGCACTGGTACCAGCAGCAGCAGCAGCGGTACAGGATGTGGCAGCAGCAGTCACTGCTGTGCTATTACTGGCCGGGCTTGAATGCGGACGCACCGCAAGGCACGCCTCACACTGCAGCACAATGCCCTGCGGAAAAAACATTGTGCTGGTTCATGTGTGTTACTGGTGTGTTGGAATGGAACAAACAGGGCAGGTACCATGTGTGACACCAACTGACAGTCTGAATTGATTCCACTCCATGCCTGCATTGCATACACACGCATGCACACGCGCAGACACAACCCTCCCCCTCCCCCCCCCCCCCCCTCAATCCACAAACACACATGCTGCATAACTCACCCGATTAAAAAGCGTGCAGACAGGGCATGTCCAGCTGTCTTCACTCCTGCCTCGCTCCTCTCTGCCTACTCCCTCTGCTCGCCTCTCTCCTGCTGACGCGTCCAAACCCATCTGCTCCCCTCCTCCAGAAGAACCATTCGTGACTCGTCTTCTGCTCCTTGCGCTCAGCTCTTCACTGCCACTTGGCCGTTTCCTTGCCCCACCAGCCCTGCCCATCTCCCCCGTTTTAATGCCACCTGAACCTTGTACACAGTCACAGCCACCGTTACAGTCACAACCACCATGAACCTTTGACACATCGCCCTGCTTCCTTTCACTCCTCACCCTTCCACCGCCTGCCCCTTTATCATCCCCCTCCAACCCGAGACCAGCAGCACCACCATGACCTTCACCCATAGCCATTCCTCCTCTACCATCATCCCTACCACCGTCTCCAAAATCGTTGACTCGCTGCTGTGGCTCCTCAACCCCCACTCCCACTTTCCTTGCATTCTCCCACTCCTCTTCCTTCTCCCTCGCCCCGCCTTGTCCCCTATCCCCTCCCTCTCCCCCTTCCCCTCCCTCACTCTCACACCCTCCCCCACACCACACGTCATCCCTCATTCTTCTCTCTGCAGCCATAGCTGCAGCCTGCACCGGACTCAACACCTTCATCATCTCACTGTCGCCGCCCAATCGCCGCCCGCCAGCTGGCATCATGATCCGCTGCTGCTGCCGCCTCCGCTCCGCGGCTGCTGCCGCTGCCTTTCTGCTTGCCACGTCAGCAGCAGAGGGGGCAGAAGAGACACCAGCTACACCACGAGAAGGGGCGGCAGAGGAAATAACCCCAAAAGAGGAAGATGCAGCAGCAGCAGCAGTGCCCAAGCGGACTGGGCGGATGGAGGGATAAGCAGAGGAGCCGAGGCGGTGGCCGGACCCCCCAAAGGAAGTTCCTGTTATGCCTCGTGCTATGAGATCGTCACACTCCTGTATACATGGGGTTGTGCGTGGGAGGGGACACACACACACACACACACAGACACACACACACACACAGACAAAGGGCAGACGAACACACGGTCTACAAGCGAAGCCGAGGCGGGTGTCAGATCCTCCAAAGGGAGTTCCTGTTATGCCTCGTGCTATGAGATCATCACACTCCTGCTCCCATGGAGTTGTGCAAGGGGAGGTAGGGAGGGAGGGCAGAAGAACAGGAAGCAAGCACGGGGCAGGGGAAAAAGATTCGGACACAGTAAGCACCCCCGAAGAACATGCTCAGGCGCAACACATGGCACTCAGAGTATTCTTTTGTCGAGAAGCTTGTAGAACTTGGCATCGTGGGACTCTCATTTGATGTGGGTGAGCTTGTGAAGCATGCTGCCCAGCACATTCTCGCATCGGAAGAAGCTGATCTTGTATCGACCCGTATGTTGGTATGGGAAAGGAGGGTAGGTACAGCACAGGGCAATCACCTCATTGAGTTCGTCTAGTAGCTTGTAGAACTTGGCATCGTGGGGGCCTCGTTCAATGTGAGTGAGCTCGTGAAGCATGGTGCCCAGCACATGCTCGTATGGGAAGAAAGAGTCCGGTTTGCCTGCTCAGTCAACCACGAATGTAGTAATAGAAGAAGACGACAAAGAAGAAGACGAAATTAAGGAAGGAATGGGCGCATCAAAACTAGCAGTCAGTCAGCTCGTGTGAGAGCTTGCAGATTGCACGTGAATTGACACGGTGTAAACAGGTAACCATGAACAGATGTGAAGTATGATTCCTCGCAGTTCCCAAGGCTTACCTGCGGGTCTGAGTCGAATCCGAATCTCCCGCCCTCGGTTTACGTTGAGACCCAAAAGCCGCGCATTGCTTGGACTGTGAAAAGGGGGATTGGGATTGGGACAGCAAAACAGCTATTCATGGCGCGAGTGTGAACGAGAACGATGGAAAGAACGTGAAGTCCGCAGCATAAAGGAAAACGAACTTGCTCGTCATTTGATTCACACCTGAATTCAGACATCGGGACTTTCCATTGGCGTCGGGCCATAATCGGCTCGACCTGCTTCGCCACTCGCTCCAGCATTCTTCTCATATTCGACTCAGAAAACATGCTTCAAGGGTGCACACCTGAATTCAGAGAGTAATGGGACTTTCCATTTGCGTCGGGCCATGATTGGCTCCACCTGCTTCGCCACTCGCTCCAGCAGGCTTCTCGCCTCGTCGCTGCGCTTCTGCCGCTTCAGCGCTCTGATCTCCCACACCTTGTATAGACTCGACGATCCCGACGCTCCGTTTCCCGCTTTCGGTGCCATTAGTTACACGCACAACAACATATACATACAGTAGCTAATGATTTATACCATTCCACGCTTAGTAACTGGACAGTTCCGACATTCCGTTTCCCTCTTAACTATGTCGTTATCGACTGTTACGTACTCTACATCCATAAAATAATGTAGCCGATTATTTCGCGGCGGGGCTATTTGGGAATCAATACTGAGAACAGTCGTGTCCCTATCGACAACCCATGAGAAAGAACAAACCCAACAAACCAAATCTCGCAAGTGGTACGACTTAGAATCAAACAGATGCGTGACTATAATAACAAATAATATAGCACAACTCTGACGATGCTCGCCTAGATCAGGGACGGATCTGCTTCAAGCTGACGCCATCTTATGCTACTGGATATGCTGCTGGTTCTCTGATTTTGATGCCTACGTCTCAAAATTCGTGAATCCCAAGAATCCCTCTCCAGCGCAAGCCAAGTACGTTTACCACTACTGGTTCCCGACGTTGACGAACATGCTTGGGATCGCCAGCTGGTTACCCGCCGGCGTGAGACTCGATTCAGCAGCACGCAGGACCCTTCGCACGATATGACTTTCGTGGCTTTTGACGGAAGGGCAGCTATCCTCCTTGTGTGCAAGTGTTGGGGCCAACCAGCTGGCCGTCTGGGCTGGACTAACCCCTCCATCGCACGAAGCAACAAACGTCAAATGTAACTGTGCACGTGTAACGATAATACCATCTACGGAAACGAACGGCTGGAAACACCTCGATTTCAGGCACGTCTTCCGAAGCCCATCCAATGACCCTGAAACTGCCCCATCAATCAGCGTCGTGCCGAATGTGAAATTTGGCATTCCAGCCCCATCTGTCCTTCGTGTCACAAGTGTACAACCTCCAGGTCCTGGCTGCCGTACGATGAAGAAGGATCGTCGGCTCTACTTGCTCGAGGCACAGTTGAGATGAGATGTTGAGATGAGATGACATGTTGGCTTGCTCAAGGGTTGCACGAATCTCAGGGGGTTGGTTACGAGGGGGTTGGAAAGCAGAAGAGTCGATAATGTTCGCTGCTTGTTACCGAATGTAACGACAGCAATCAGTTGGGTGCGAAGACGATTCACGACAAGAAATTTTCACGAAAACTGTGCGAAGTTTGCATGTTGCCGACAGCACCGAATCCCTGACGAAGCCAGCCCGCCATGGCTGTTCCACCAGTGTTGGCAGATAGCTCAACGATCACGGACAACAGGGGTCGCTTGCTCCGCTTGCATTGGCTGACACTGACAGCGAGCCAAGCAGCAGGAAACCAGCACGGAACGGCCAGTTGACTCAGCAGGGCAGGCTTGTAAGCTAGGCTTGATGCACAATTGCTTCTTGTGATCATTATTTGACACCATTGACTTCCCTAATTTGAGCTAACCTATCAGATTTGCAGTGGCGCTCTTGCATTCACCGTTGTCGACTCATAGATTACTCTCAACGCGCTAAGGGCACACATCCGCAAGGCTAATCTCCACTTAGCGTTTGTGAAGTTACGCCTCTTATTTTAACCTCGACAACGCCGCTTACTTATTATCTCAGTCTAATCTCTGACATAGTAATACAATGTCGACTGCGAGTGGAATCCATACTGGTTGCTCGCGGAACCGCACATGGCTGCTCGGTCGAGTCGGGACTCCAGGCCCTAACGATATCTCGTGTCCCACTTCGTTGGTCGAACTCGCGTTCGGCGCGCTTATCCCCGCTGTAAGCGCATACCATTCGCGAGAAGCCGCTAGAATATTGCAACCTGCACAACCGTCAACTGTTTCTTCTGAGACGTCTCAAAACAAAGACGCGGGGAACGCGTTCGCGCAAACCGCGGAACCGCCGGCTGCGGATGCGGAGAAGGAGGCGGAGAAGGCGGAGAAGGAGGCGGAGCGACACGGTGCGCGTGTGGCGTGGAAGTGCGAGCGACTGCTTCAAGTCCTCAACGCGTGCCTTTCGGAGCTCGACCCTTGGAACGACGCGGACGGAGACACAGGTAATATAAGCGTAGAAGGAAAACATTGATATCACGGTTTACAAGCCAATAATTTTATTGAAAACCGACGACCTTACGTTTTTGTTGTGTGTGACTTCTGTAAAAACATTTCTATTTTGTTTTTTTTTTTTTGTTTTTTTTTTTTTCTTTCTTTCCATGCCTTTGGCGCAATGCCAGCTCCGTCGCGAGCAGAGAGTATTTTCCACATCTCTACTGTAGAGAAGTTTACTGTAGAACTAGGCAAATCTGAGTCGCCTTACGACATGATACTGTAAAAGGTACTTTCCGCTCGTATGGTAAACTCGCAGGTGCCACAGCTACTGCGTTTATGTTCGCTCTTTAATCTCCACCGTTCTTTTTCTTGTTTCTTGCAGACGACTATAATCGCAGCGCGATTGGTCAAAGCCACGTGTCGTCCTCTATAGTCACCTCCAGTTCTATCGCTAGCAGCAGCGCGCGCGGCAGCAGTATGTTCGGCGGAAGCAGGGGGGTCCTCAGCCGCAGCGCCACCCGCCCATACCGCCCATCCGCAGGGACGGGCGGAGGGGCAGGCGGAGGGGGGGGAAGGATTAGTGGCATTGCGAGGGCGGTTAGTCTAGGGAGTGACGTGGGGGCAGTGGCTGTCCCCGTTATTGGCAAACAGCAGTTTCATCAGAAGTCTGGCGGGACAACTCCTGGCGGGAGCAAGGGCACGTCCCCGATACACATTGCAGAGGTTCCCGTTATAAGGACGGAGCCTTTCAGTAGAGCGGGCGCTGCTGCATACCTGCAACGGTTCCATTCTCCCCAGGTAGCCTCCCCAGCCCCACCAGCAGGAGCAGCAGCAGCAGGAGGAGTTGCAACAGCAGGTGGAGCAGGGGGAATTGCGGATACGCCTCCTCACACGCACGTCCGCCGTCGATCCGCGGACTTGCGCTCGAACCGCTCCCTCTCGCACTCCTCCTCCGTCCCTGATGGTGCTACAGACTCCACAGCCCCTATTCTGGCTAGAGCCGGTGGCTCAGGGCCTATTACGCCCCTGCTGCCCGCTTCTGCTTCCGTTCCCAGTGGAAGGGGAGGGGGAGGGGGAGGGGGAGGGGGAGGGGGAGGGGGAGGGTCTCCAGCGAGCAGTCCGGGTCGGGATTGGTCGGAACAGCTGTCTGTCACTGACACGCCTTTCCTGCCCGGTTCTTCCTGCTTCGACCTCACGGCCTGCCCCTCTCTCGCACTAGAGTGGAACGATCTCTTCTTTGCCGTACAGGACGCCATGGCTGCGTATGACACGCTGCTGCTGGCGCCGCTGACCACTGGCGCGCTGCCACGTGGCAGCGAGGTGAAGGAGCTGCAGCAGATGGTGGATGAGCTGGCAGGCATGGCCCGGGACAGGATGAACGGCTCAGATGAGGTGAGAAATTATTATGAACGGCTCAGATGAGGTGAGGCGGAGTGCGCTAGTGAGGTGCTGGATGGAAGCACCCGAAGATGCTGCTGGGTTTTCGTTAGAATTCTCAACACCGTCTTTTGGCCTGCGGGTGTAGCACGATGACTTTTGAGTCGACTCAGGGGAAGATGCTGCTAGTCCGTCTCTTTGGCACCCCAAGCGTTTCCAATCATTTCCCCCTTGTTCCTCCTTTTCCCCTGTTTCCCCCGCCCCCCACTCCTCTCCCCGTTTCTCCCCTCCATCATCCTCCTCTTCCCCCCCTCCCCTCCTCTCTTTCAGGGCGACGCCCGCCGCTGCCCCCTGCTGCTAGTCCGCCTCTTTGCCCTGCGGGTGAAGCAGGAGACGCAGCAGCTCCTGACCGTCTTCCCAGAGGCTAAGGAAGAGGAGCAGCAGACACCAGAGGCGGGGGCGAAGGGAGAGGATGGAGAAACGAGGAGAGAAGGTGGAGCAGGGAAAGTCGAGCAGGCAGCAGAGACAGCAGCGAAAGCAGAGGCAGAGGCAGTAGCAGAGGCAGCAGCGAAACCTGAGACAGAGGTAGCAGTAGCACAAGGAACCCCGATGGCAGAGAAACGTCAGCAGCAGCTGCAGCAGCTGCTAAAACTCCAGCAGCAAGCCGCCTCCTCTCTCCTCACAGAGATCTCAAACGAGATAGAGGAAATCTTCTCAGCATGTAAAGGCTCTCTGTACGGTCTCGGTATTACCCATGCTCGCTCCCTTGCCCGCCTCTCGCTTTTGGGAAAGGCCGTTCGCGCAGCAGCAGAAGGGGCAGGGGAGGATGACCTCACGGTTCTGAGGGATAACCAGGAGTTGGGAGGAGTTCAGAGGAAGGTGGGCGGGGAGGTGCCTCTGCTGGTGTGTCCTCAAAACGACTGGGCTAGGCTGAGTGCTGAGTGTGACAGTACCGAAGGGGGCGCGTTAAAGGAGGTGATTGTATGGGAAGACGGAATGGGAGACCTGCGAAGTCTGTTCAAGTCAGCAGCAGCTGCTACTGCTGCCGCTGCTCCTAGTCCTGCCGGTGCCGCTGGTGGTGGGTTCAGTAGCAGGATGTTTTCAGGGAAGGATGAGAAGGAGGATGAAAAGGAGGATGAGAGCAGCAAGGAGGTATCACCCCGGTCTCCCAGGGGGCCGTTGGCTCGAGATGATGAGAGCAGGAAGAGCAGCAGCGGCGGCAGCACCGTTGGCAAACCTGCAGCAGCCTCACGCGAAACTTTTAGTCATGGTAATCACGCTTCTATGCACATTGCACTTCGTGTCTGTCTATCCTGTTACTCGTGCTTTTACCCTCCTGCTTATCCTACTATTCACCCTAGTTCTCCCCCATTCTCTCACTCCCCTCACCATGCAGGGGCATCGTTCACAATGGCGCAAGGCAGCACTCGCCCCACCCAGCGCCTGTGCTCACACATGTTGAGGCGCGTCGAAAATAAGCCCTTCTACTCATCAATCTACTCACCCTAATTCTCTTCTCACCCATTCGTCTCGCCCATCTCCTCACTCCCCTCACCATGCAGGGGCAACTTTTTCCATGGCGCAAGGCAGCAGCCGCTCCAACCAGCGCCTGTGCTCGCAAATTCTATTAGATCGCATATCAGATCTGATTTGGTACACCAAGTGGGTGGGGTGTAGCGATCCGGACGATCTCCCCTTGGCGTGTATCCCCTCTGTAGTGCCGGTGACCATGCTTCTTAACGAGTTGGGGGCTCCTAGGTCTAAGGAATCCGATCTGCTCATGTGTCACCGCTCTGAACTCCTCCGTCTCGTGCTTCCTGATTTCCGGGAGAAAGTGCAGCAGCGATTGGTGGAGGGGGAGTTGGGTTGGATGAGTGGGAGGGGTGGGGTAGGAGGAGTAGGAGGAGGAGGAGGGGTAGGAGGAGGCAGAGCAGCAGCAGTGAACGTTAGGGTTTCCAAAGCCGCAGCTGCCGCTGCCGCCGCCGCTGCCTCTGCCGCTGCTGCTGCTGCTTCAAGTGGTGCAGGCACCCCCACAGGCCGATCGAATCTTCCCGGCACTCCCACCACCCCTTCCGCTGCTGCTATAGCAGCCCAGCGTGAAGGGAAAATAGGCGGGCAGATTGGGAGTACCATACTGGAGAGCGGCCGAAGCGATGCCACAGGTTCGGACGGCAGCAGCTTCAGCTTCGGGAAGCTGTCCGGCCGAGCCTCCGACCGAGCCTCCGACCGAACCTCCTGCCCGACCCCGGGCCTGGCCCAACCCGGTGCCAACCCTTGGGCTCGCATGGGAGGGCCCTTTGGAACAGGCTCGGGAAGCATGGGCATGGGCATGGGGATGGGGATAAGCATTGGAGTGATGGGTGCGGGGTTGTCTCGGCAAATACCTTTGGAAGAAATTTTAGCAGCGACTGACTCGTGGGATCCGAGGAGAAAGCTTGGAGAGGGCGGGTTCGGGTGTGTTTATAGAGGGGATGCTGCTAACGGGGAGGTGTGGGCTGTGAAGCGTGCGAATACTGTCTCGGATGAGCAGCTGGAGGAGTTTGAGAAAGAGGTGAGAGTTTGTGGAATGAGCTATGTGTGAAGTATGAGTGAGGTGTGGGATGGGTGAGGTGAGGTATCAAGGTAAGCTGCTCCGATGCTAATGAGGAGGTGTGGGCAGTGAAGCGTGCGAACACGGTCTCGGATGAGCAACTGGAGGAGTTTGAGAAAGAGGTGAGTCTTGAGACTGTGCGATGAGGTATGGACTAGGTATCGGCATCAAAGTAGTGGGCTTCAATGCCAACGGGGAGGTGTGGTCTGTGAAGAGTGCCAGCACGGTTTCTGATGAGCAGCTTGAGGAGTTTGAGAAAGATGTGAGAGTCTGTAAAATGAGGGTTGTTCACATAGGCTTCTGGTTTCCTCACTCCTTGTTACTCCTTGCCACTCCTTTCCATCTCTTGCTTATTCCTCACTTCCCAGGTGTCATTCATGAGTCGCATGGCCCACCAACACCTAGTTCGGCTCATAGGCTTCTGGTCAATTGCTTTGTCACTCCTTGCTACTCCTTTCTACTCATTGCCACCGTTCCCTCCTCTCCCAGGTGTCATTCATGAGTCGCATGGCCCACCAGCACCTCGTGCGACTCATAGGCTTCTGGGCGGACTGTGATGAGCGAATCCTGGTCTACGAGTTCATGCACAACGGCATGCTCTCCTCCCACCTGCACTGCTTCTCATCACTCTACACCCTTGCTCCTGTGTGCTGCCGTTCCCCTCCGCTTCTCCCTCTTTTCCCTCTTTTCCCCCTCCACTCTCCCCTCCCTTCTCCCTCCCTTTTCACTATCCCCTCTCCTGATGCAGGTCTCATTTATGAGTCGCATGGCCCATCAACACCTAGTCCGACTCATAGGCTTCTGGGCGGACTGTGATGAGCGAATCCTGGTCTACGAGTTCATGCACAACGGCATGCTCTCCTCGCCGCACCGTCTCATCACTCTGTGCCCTGCTCCTGTGTGCTTCTCCCTTCCGGTCCTCCCCCGTCTGCTCCCCTCTCTCTTTCCATTTCCCTCTTCCCTGCTCCCTCTCCCTCTCTCCCTTACCCCCGCCCCCTCCTAATGCCAGGTATCCTTTATGAGTCGCATGGCCCACCAGCATCTCGTGCGACTCATAGGCTTCTGGGCGGACTGTGATGAGCACATTCTCGTTTATGAGTTCATGCACAACGGCATGCTCTCCTCCCGCCTCCACCGCACCTCCTTTCATCTCGCCGCCTCCTCCGAAGCCCACGCCAAAGACAGCAAGCCGTTTTTCAAGCTCTACCCGTCTTCTGCCTCGACGAGCAAGGCCGCTTCTGCTGCTGCTGCTCGTGCCTCTGACCTCCCGCCTCCTCTGACGTTTGACGAGAGAGTGAGCATTGCCGTAGGGGCGGCAGAGGGGCTTCGATATCTGCACGATTTCGCTGCCGATTCCGTGATCCACCGCGATATCAAATCAGATAATATCCTCCTCACGGATAAGCTCCAGGCGAAGATCGCGGATTTCGGGTTGCTGAAATCGGCCGATCTAGGAGGACCAGGAGGGGGCGGTGCGGGGGTAAACCACACCCGACTCATGGGCACCCCGGGGTATTGCGACCCGGAATACTCAAAAACCTACGTCGCGTCGGCTAAAAGTGATGTTTATAGTTTCGGCGTGGTGCTTTTGGAGCTGATTACTGGGCAGCGGGCGATTTTATCTGAGAATAGAAAGAAGGGCATAGCAGGCAGCATGGCGGCGCTGCTGTGGCTGAGACCGGGCGTGGGGGGAAAGACGCAGCAGCAGAAGGAGATGGAGATGCTGGGATTTAAGAAGAACAAGAAATCGAGCATGCGGGCGATAACGACGCTTGTCAGCTGGGTGAGTTTCTCCATTATGAATGCTGCATGGCACTTACCATATGCTGGGCTTCAAGAAGAACAAGAAATCGAGCATGCGGGCGATAACAACCCCTGTCAGCTGGGTGAGTGTCTGCTTTGAATATTGTTGTTATTTCCGTTGGCGTTCGTTGCGGTCGGTTGCACAATGCATTTCATGAAGTGTTGGCATAACATTGTAGTCTCACACTCTCTCTCTCCCTTGTCTCCCTCTCTCTCTCCCGCCCCTCCCCTCCCTCCAGACAATTCCTCTCATAGCAGCAGGCATGCTGAAATACGTGGTCGACTCAGCTCTAGGAAACAGCTGCCCCTGTTTACGTTTGTTCCTTCTCTCCCTCTCCCTCCCCTCATGTCTGTCCGTCCAGGCCATTCCTCTGATCGCAGCAGGCAAGCTCAAGGCCGTGGTCGACCCAGCTCTTGAGAACAGATACTCCTGCTCATACCCCTTCAAAGTTTGTTCCTTCTCTTTCTCTCCCCTCCCACCCCTCCTTCCAGGCCATTCCTCTGATCGCAGCAGGCAAGCTCAAGGCCGTGGTCGACCCAGCTCTTGAGAACAGATACTCCTGCTCATACCCCTTCTCAAGTTTGTTCCTTCTCTTTCTCTCCCTTCAATTCCCCTCCCACCCCTCCTTCCAGGCCATTCCTCTGATCGCAGCAGGCAAGCTCAAGGCCGTGGTCGACCCAGCCCTGGAAAACAACTACCCTTGTTTCAAGTTTCTTTGTCTCCCTCTTTCTCCCCTCCTCTCCACTCTCCTCCTTCCAGGCCATTCCTCTGATCGCAGCAGGCAAGCTTAAGTCAGTAGTAGACCCTGCCCTCGAGAACAACTATCCACTGGGAGCAATGAAAGCCCTCGCCAGCGTGGCAGCCATGTGCGTCCAAAAGAGTGCCGCCCAGCGGCCCACCATGGCTGAGGTGGCGACTCGCCTGTCTGCCATCCAGCACAAGGTGCAAGACCTGCACATTCAGGGGGAAGAGCCCAAGTATAACTTCCAGCCCACACTTGCCGGCCCGTTGCCTACCTCTGCCTCTACTGGTGGTGGTGCTGCTGGTGGTGGTGCTGCTGGTGGTGCTGTTGTTGTTGCTGGTCGGTGGGGGAGTGGGGGAGGAGGAGGAGGAGGGGGAGGCGGAGGAGGAGGAACAGGGGGGTCTGGTTCAACCAGTAGCAGGAGCTTCAATCGAACAGTGTCGGCACCGGCTCAGCGGGCTGAGCAGGCAGGGGGTGGGAGTGGGAAGGAGAAGAAGAAGCATCGGTATCAGGAGGTGGGTAGGCCCGCAGGGAGCAAGGAGGGGACGGGAGAGAGTGGGAAGGAGGGTGCTGTTGGGAGGGATGGGAAAGGCAAGGGGCTGTCGCGGCGGGAATCGACTAAAAGCTCGAGTAAATCGAGTCTTCCTCTTCTTTCTGCTGGTGATGCTGTAGAGTTTAGCGCGCAACATGTTACGAACAGATACATGGCTGGGGGGGCTGGGGGGTTTTAACAGAATCTGTGATTTCTTGCACATTAGTACATCAGAACACTGCGTGTAACGGTCCAATCTAATCCCAAGATGTGTACAGCAGTGTGTATGTGCCTGTACCTACCTAGAAACAGAAAGCAGCTAAAAATCATACGACCAACATGCACCCACCCAGGGGTATGGTACTTTTATATCATTCATATACGGTAGTTGGCTCGAGCCTACGTATGCATCCCAGAGCTTCTGCCTCTCATTTCTTGTGCTCCCTCCCCCTGTACTGATGTAACTTCAGCTGCCCTTTTCCCATCAGTTCCACTTTGACCCCAATGCATTTCAGATAATTAAACGGGATATGACAATGTACTAACATATAGAATATATACAGTGCAAGCAAGATCCAGCAGTTCTGTGCTGTAGTACACCGTCTTGTACTCATTTCATTTGAAATGAATCGAATTGGTAAGATGGTGTGCAAATCCCCTGATTCCCTCGCTCCCCTCACTCCCAGGATCACCGCATCATCCGTGCGAGGCATCTGGCCGCTCGTCCATCAGATGTGTGGCCAACGGTTCAGGGTTTACGGAGCTCGCGATTGCACATTTATGACCTGTCCAGGCGAATGGTCGTGATTTTTTAACGTGACGTGTCTTTGGAACTTTCGGCCGTATTGGGGAATCTAGAAACTCAAATGATTCGCCACATGGGCGAACGATGGGAATTGAATCCACGGGTTTGGGTTTCTGGAAGAAAGACAAATCTAGTACCCATCATCCGTATCTACGTCCGATCGAAGGCTCGCAGCTTTCCCGCCAACGGCAGCTTCCTGTCAGCAAGTGAATGCCCGCGTGGGAACAGATGCAAAAAGATCCAGGAACCCCTGACGTTTTCCGTTTTCTCCTCGATCTTGCACAAATAAAACAAAATTTGGACATTGTTCAAGACGGTGGGAAGAAGTCGTTTTTTTTTTTTTTTTTGCGTAAAACTTCTCAGAATTGCTCCACAAACGAAACCAGATTGCTTTCATAAGCCATTCAACTGTACATTGGTGATTTTTTGGGAATACTGTACATTTCAAATACTTCCGTGATCATTATTTCAAGGGAAAGTATATCCCCGCTCCTGACTTTCAGATTTCTCTCATATTCAGCCCTAGGTTTACTCAAAAAGCACCACTTTCTAGAATTTCTCTCACGCGAGGCCCAAAGTATGTTCAAAAGTGGTCCTGCGGGGCGATTTTTTCGACACGTGTCCTCTTGTTACACCATCTGACGAACTTCCACGCATGGAAAATTTGGACGGGGGCAAAAAAAATAAAACCCCTAGAGAACCAGGACACATTCGCGGGAGGGATCAACCCTAAACACCTAGCAGGTCCCGTGTTTAGGGTTGCTCCCTCCCGAAAATGTGTAATGGTCCTTTAGGGGTTTTATGTTTTTTTGTCCCGTAAAAACTTTTCCGGCGCGAAAATTGCCCTGACAAACGGTTAGTTCAGAGTGGAAGTGCGTCAGCTGGTAACAAAACGACACGTGTCGAAAACTTCGCCCCGCAGGACCAGTTTTGAACATACTTTGGGCCTCGCGTGAGAGAAATAATGGAAAGTGGTGCTTTTTGAGTAAACATAGGGCTAAATATGAGAAAAAACTGAAAGTCAGGAGCTGGGATAGACTTTCCCTTATTTCAACGAGGACCAAGAAACCCCAGATATGCTTCCTCCCAGCTCAGCTTCCTCTCCCCACCAGTCCTATTCGCTGTGCAGAGCAACTTCCGTGCTGCTGATGCAGTCCACTGTACGGAAATGCCAGTCATCAATCACATACTACTACTCTGCCACACGAGTGTGTTTCTTTCCACTCACACATCCTCTTGAAGCATTGCGTCATCTCTACCTAGGACTTTGAGGGAGCAGTTTCCGAAGGTACTGAGGCAATTTCTTTCTTTCACAGACATAAACGAGAGATGTGTGCTGAGAATAAGCACGTAAATCTGCATTATCTCCGTTACATATAGAGGCGACGTTCCGCTTAAACTTCTCGGCGTGAATTTTGCTAATCGATCATCCGTAGTGGATCTAGGATTTTACTAAAGGCTCGTTCTTCCTGGCACACAACGCTCCTGAAGTGAACGTTTACGGTTTCCATTGCTAGTCAAAATAATCTGATCTTGAGATAAGCCGTCCGATCCAGCAATGGACCCTAGTTCCCGTGTTATCCGAGACGGTGACGTGCCGAACAGCCAGCCTCAAAACTCCAACAGCAGTCCCAACCACCCTCCTCGTTCTACCCACCCACACTCACACCCCGCTCTCGCAAACTTCCCTTCTTCTTCGGGAGCATCTCTATCAGCGGTCCCCTCCTCTCTCTCCCCTCTCCCTCTTTCCTCCTCACTCCCCTCCCTCCCTCTTTCCGCCTCTTTTCCCCCCCTCCCTCTGTCCTCTACCTTTGCTTCATATCCCCCTCCCTCCGACTTCCCTTCCACGTCTCATCACCTCCTCCCTAACTGGTGGTGCGGATCAAACCGCCAATCAGAGCTCGCCATTTGGAAGGCGACCGCATTCTGTGAGCCCCCCAGCCCTCCCCCTTGTCCCCCCTTCCGGATCCCTCGGGGAAAGAGGAGGCGGAATGGAAGGGGAGGGGATGGGAGGAAGAGAAGAGGGAACGGAAAGGGGAGAAGGGCGAGGAGGAAGGGGAGGAGGAGGAGGAGAGGGAGAAGGGGGTGAGGAAGAAGAGCAAGTTATAAGCGTCAAGCCTATGAGATCCTGGACCCCTTCCGGCAAACCTGAAAAGCAGCAGCAGCACCAGCAGCAACAGCAGCAACGGCAGCAGCAGCAACTGGAGCCTATGGGTTCTGCGTTTGTGCGTGCTCTTTCAGTCAGCCGCTCGTTTGCATTCCACGGCGCTGGCGCTTCAGGTGTAACTCCACCTGCATCAGCATCAACAGCAGCAGCAGCAGCAGCAGCAGCTGGAGCAGCAATAGATTCAGACGCAACAACTGATGCAGCAGCAGCAGCAGCAGCAGCAGCAGCAACAGCAGTGGAAGCCGGAGCTTCAGTGAAAATCAGTAAACCGGCAGATTCAGCAACGGAAATGGGACTACTGGGGAAGATTTCTGAAGCGGGAGACAGGGAAGGAGGCAGGGGAGTTGAGAGTGCGGAAACTCGCTGGGGTTTGGGGGTTGGACTGACAGGCTCGGCACTTGCTTTGGGGCCTGCTCGACTTTCCCGGACCAGAGCAGCAGGCTCGGGAACGGAGCCAGGGTCTTCAACTGGGGCGGGTTCATCTGGGGGAGGCGTTACTGAGAGGTTGTTGTTCAGGGAGACTCAGGTGTTTCCGCTATCGAAAACTCACAGCCCTCTCTCGGGATTCCTTGCACCGTTGGCCGGTGGGAAGAACAGCGGCGGTGCTGATTCTGGTGGTGGCGGCAGTGGTGGTGGTGCTGCCGTTGGCGGTGCTGGCGCTGGTGCTGCTGCTGTTGTTGCTGCGGGTGCTGGTGCTACCGCTGGTGGTGGTGGTGGTGCCGCTGGTACTGCTGCTGGTGGTGTTTCTACGGTAGATGTCACTGGCTCTGGCGGCGGTAGAGTTGACGCTGTTGGTGCTGGGAGAAGGTCAGGCGCAGGGGTAGGATCAGCGGATGTCGGAGTGGGGTTATTAGGAGGAGGGTTGCTGGGGGGAGGTATATCTGGAGGAGGGCTATTTGGGGGAGGTACGTCAGGAGGAGGGTTGCTGGGGGGAGGTATATCGGGAGGAGGGTCACATGGGGGAGGCTTATTAGGAGGGACGATGGCGGGAGGTCAGAATCAGACTCCGGAGCTCAGCACGGGCCTGGGCCTCAGGTTCGGTCTAGCTGCTTCGGCCGGACTTGACTCCGAGAGAAGAGACGGAGTTAGGGACGGAAATAGGGAAGCGACAAGGGAAGGAAACAAGGATAGTGATAGAGAGAGGGACAACAATAGGAGTCGAGATGGGGGCAGGTCTGCTGAGCACATTGAGTATGAGAGTCGGGAGCTAGCCAGAGCAGTGCAGCAGAACAGAATACTAGAGGAGGAGATCACCCGGCTGCAGTTGCAATCCTGGGAGCTAAAGGAGCAAAACCAGGAGCTGCACTCGCGGGTGGTTCGGCTGGAGAATACGATGAAGTATCGGGAGCAGAGAGGGGTTGGGAGCGGTGCGGGTGGGTGGGTGCAGCCGCAGCTGCAGCGGATGGAGAATCAGGTGGTGGTGCTGACGGGGAGGGTGCTGCAGCTGCAGCAGCAGAACCGTGCGGCTAAAGGGGAGATTGAGAGGTTGAAGAAGGAGTTGGATGCGGTGAGGGGGAGAGGGGCGGTGGAGGGGGGAGAGAAGGGGGAAGGGGGAAGGGTAGGTGGAGGGAGAGGTGGAGCGGGAGGGGAAGGAGGAGCGGGAGGGGGAGGAGGAGCAGGTGGGGAAGGGGGACAGGTGGGGAAGGGTGAGTGGAGAGGGAAGGAGGAAAGGGTGGAGGGGGGGAGGGACGAGATGGATGTGAGTGGAACGGGAGGAGGGGGAGGGAGAGCTGTGGGTGGTGGCGTGGGTGCTGGTGCTGCTGCTGCTGCTGCTGTTGCTGGTGCTGCTCCTGTGGGTGCTGCCATTGGCAATGCTCCTGACACTGCTGGTCCTGGCAGTGCTGCTAAAGACGAAAGTACTGTCAAGGGCCCCCCTGCAATTATTGCTATTGCCACTGCTGCTGCTCCCGCTCCTTCCACTGCTGCTGCCACTGCTTCGGTGGATGGTGCTGCTTCTGCTGGTCCTGCGGCTGCTGCTGCTCCAACCACCACTGCTTTAGCAGCCATGAACGTTCGTACAGAGGTGAACAAAGAAGGGGGGACAAGCATGGGGGAGGGGAAGAGGGGAGGGACGCTAGGGAAGCGAGTTAGAGAGTCTCACGGTGAAGAGGAGGGGAAGGAAGAGGAGGAGGGAGGGGGCCCAACCTAAACAACTTGGTGGTTTTTTAGTCAACTTAAGTATGTCACTCCGGAAGCGATCTTTGAGTCGATGGGAAAAGCATGTGATCCGGCCTGATTAGCTTGGTGACGTTTGATCCAACTCAAAGGTTACCTTGGGAGCAGTGTTAAGGAGAAGCGAGGGAGTCTTAGGAGGAGGGGCGGGTGGAGGATGAGGAGAGAGGTGGTCCGAATCGAATAGCTTCTGCAACAGAGCATGCAGCACAAAGGAGGGTGCATCCAAAAGGAGGGTGCATCCAAAAGGAGGGTGCATCCAAAAGGAGGGTGCAATGTGCACCCAATGGAAGGGTGCAGCAGGGTCTACAGCATGCAGCTGTCTAGTCGGCATGTTAAAGGTCAGATTGTCTTGCTTGGCTGGTAGGGTCATATGTTCCAGAAGGGAGTGCTGATCAAGAGGGTGCAATAGAGCAAAAGCTTGCAGCTTAAGATGGTGCTACATGGGTGACCTATAAGTATGATCCGTGTACTTTTTTGCTGATTTATATGATCGTATAATATAGCTATTCGCCGAAAGGCATGTTCGCTCGTCACTGCAGTTTGCTGTCAGGGTACATTTCGGACGTGACACGTTCAGAAAGAGTGTCACAAGTTTATTTGTGTGATACTCGTCAGCTCGCCTGTAAGAGACACCTCGTAGCATTGCATTCCTGATTTCATGCTCCGTCATGCCTCCAATTGTATGATTGGCAGTGCCAAACAGATCATGACAAGCAGACTCCCTCCTTTTGTCTCAACACTGCAGTTGGAGAGTGTACGAATGACAAAGCGAGAGGAATGGTGTGTAACTAGTAGGAGGTGCGCAGATGTGACAAACCATAGAATATGTTGTATCTTTTGTACCCTAGACAATGCACCTCGCTGTAGCCTTTGCTGTAGCCTAAAAACCTAACACACATATGAGTATAGTTTGACAGAGAGAGTATCGTGGTGCGAGTGTCAGTGAATGGTTGCTGGTAGACTGCCGCGTAAGTAATTTCCTGAAGAATAACGTGATGCATGCTGTAAGTATCAGAATGCATCCTTCAAGGCCTCTGTTTTTTTGCGTTGACTCTGGATCTGCTCTTGTTGAACATGGTTTCCCCGAAAGGGAGCCGCAACCCAAAAGAATGCCTCCTCAAATTGCGCCGCAATTACAGTGATCACACCCATCTGCGTACGCGTTTTTGAAGGACCTTCATCTACCAGTAGTGGTGATGAGTCGTGTTCGTCTCTTTTGTGGACCTCGTGTGCTTTTAGGGCGCGTGTCTTTTGGTGTAGATTGTCAAAGTTCGAGCCTAGTACCGCTTTGTAACGTGGCGACACGTCTCTCAACTGTATCCCAACGCGTACAACCTTTCTAAAAGTTCAACTTTTGGCCAAAGTTCAACCTCAAGGACACGCGCCCTTAGTACACCTTGTGAATGGTAGGCGCGAAGTGCTTCCCGCCGTGGGTATCCTGAGATGAGCAGGAGCCCCAGGGTCCACCCGTCCACGCCTGCCACCAACCCCGTTTGACCCGCTCTGTGCTGGCCCACATCCGCGCCAGCGTCAGCGGGTTGGGGAAGCCCCTTGTGCTCGAATTCGAGCCACTCACAAGTCACCAGCACAGAAGTCAGTGATGCCAGCAGGGAGATGAAACCAAGGCCCAGTTTCGCGACCCACGTCATCCTTTTTTTCGTCGTTTTACGGGTTCCACTTTTGTCGCGATAATCCTGCCGCAATTCCCGCAAGAATATGAAGCCCGAATTCTCGGATGAATCCAAGGCCCAATGTTGCCGAAAGCAGCGCAGCAATGCTGGTGGGCAGCTGGTTGTCCCCCTTGACGGCCCCTTTGATTATGCTGGCTCGAGGCGCACATATGGAGCCCTCGGGTTTACAGTCGCCCCTCTCGCCTCCTCCACCTGATATCACCACACTGCCCTCCTCTGCACCGATTAATATTCGCCTCCTGCCCCTCGACTTTTCCCTATCTCCCTGAATTCTGAACCAGGCTCGTCCACCAGTCTTCGCCAAGCTTGTTGCTCCTCGCAGGCGCTCACCTGATCCTTCTGGTTGTTCCTGATCACCGCACGAGCAGCAAGTGCGTTGCACAGCACGGCACAGCACGCCGTCAGGTCAGGTTGGGTTCAGCTGACTTTCCGTAACGTGATCCTCGGCTTCCCTGAATCCCGACTTTTTCTCTCGCTTTACAGCTGCTTTAGGGTTCCGCAGGCGTCGGTGGAGGAGTATATCTTCTAGCCTTGCTGCAGGTTTCCAGTTTCATCCCAATTAACTTGCTCAGTTGTGCTTTTCCATTCTCAAGAATATCCGCTGCATCTCTCGTTCCTCGCACTTTTGGATTGTTCACGGAGCCACCTGTGTTTTAGAGTAACTCTTAGGACTGACTCCCTCGTCCACCATGGTTCACTCACAGGGGGTTCTGACCATTCAGCAGCGAGACGTTTCTCCTTGTCTCTACAGATTTTCAGCCCTCCCACGGACAGACAACAACTCAGCTCCTAGGCTATCTCACGGACACTTACGCTCACCCGTCACAGCAAGACTAGCAGCCACTCCTGAACGGAGAACTGGCTCAGAATGTTTCAGCGTTTTAGGGATTCCATCCAGTGCTGGTGCTGATGATATCCGCAGAGCGTACAGGCAGCTCGCACGAACCTACCATCCTGATGCCAATCCGACCGAAGACACCACCTCCAAGTTCCTTGAAGTCCACTCCGCATACGAGGTCAGTAGTCGACGAATCTCATCTCTAGCTTGATTCTTTTCTCAGTAGTTGACGAATGTCATCTAAGGTATTTTGAGTCTTTCCTCGTTAGACTTGAGATTGGTTTAACGTGTGATCCCGTGCTCCTTCCTTTGCCTTTTACAGCTGGCTCTTAAGCGTTGCGAGAAGAGGAGAGCGTCTGTCTCGATGGTCTCAAAATCTCCCTCCGAGCCCTCTCGCAATACACCAACACGGAGAAAAACGCAGCGCAAGGACGATTGGGACGACATTTGGAACGACCTCATGCCGGCCAGCCCTCGCCGCCGGCCGTCCCGCCGGAAGTCCACCATGAACTCGCCAAGCTTCATCTGATACCGTATCACAATCAAGCAGCTCAGCGAAGGCCACGCCCACATGATGCTCTGTGCCGACGTGCCCTGAGCTTGTACAGATACTATACGGTCTCTGGAGCTTGGCTTCAGACCACACCATAAATGCTTGTTGGATATGACCGTCTCACATAGTCTAGTAGTGAGAAAGCACATAAAAGTTGCATTGTCTGTAGTCAGAGAGGTCCATTCATTTGTTATTATTGATATGTATTGTCCAAGGTTGGAATTTCATTTGAATCGAGAAACGTGGTACAGCACAGGATTTGTCTAATGGGACTATAAATGCGCCTTCCACATTATACTCCACGGAGATTAGCCAATAGCAATTTTGCCTGGAAAAAAACGCACATCAAACCACAAATAAGTCGAAGTGACAATGAAGCAGAATCCTCAACTGTTCTTGTGGTCTACCAACACACACATGAAGGAAGAAAATTCAAGCTCACCTTCTCTTTAGCCCTGGGAGTGCCAGTCTGTAGTAGACCATTGACTGAAGGCAGCAGCGCCTCTCCAAGGATCATCCTCCTGTGCTCCTCATTGTTGCTTGCAATCTGCCATAATGCCGCTACTGCAAACTCCCTCCCTCTTGGTGTACCTGTCTCCAGAACCTCCACCAGAGCCCCCAAGCCATCATCTTCATCCTCCATAATAGCAGCCCTGCCATCGGCTTCAGATGCGAGGTTTGAAAGAGCGGCCATAGCCTTCTCTGCAATGGCCGATGCGGGTTCAGATAGAAGCCCCAGAAGGGTAGGAATAGCGCCTGCATCAATCAGTTGTTGCCGCTTTGTATTCAGCATGGAGAGGTTGAACAGCGCTTTGCAGGCATCCCGTTTACCCTGCTCACTACAAGCTGGCTCGTATAAAAGCTCCAGCAGCGGCGGCACAGCACCCTCGTCTATCATCATCACCTTATTCTCGTCTTCAGAGGATAAGCTAAACAGTGTAGCAGCAGCAGTTTCCCGTGCACTCATACTTTCTGCACTCCCAGCCACACGAATCAGATGCGGAACAACCCCTAGATTGGGCATGAGTGTGCGAGATTTCGGATGGATGGACAGATTCAGTAGTGCAGTTATTGCTTCCTCCATCACTGCAGTTCTAGAAACTTCTCCCGGACCTACGCCTGCTGCTGCTGCTGCTGCTGCTGCTGCTGCTGCTGCCGACCCATCTTCCCGGGTAATTCTTCCAGAACTCCCACCATCACAACCTTCAACCTCCTGTTGCCGACATTGCGAGGATTCACTGGGTCCCAGTAGCGGAAGCAACGCGGAAACAGCCCCCGCTTCCACCATGGCCGGGCGGCTCCCCTCGAAGTCGCGTGCAATTTCGCGAAGAGCACGCGCTGCAGCAAGCTGACGTGGCGGGTCCGACATTGCCCCCAAGTCTTTCAGGGCTTTGTGGAAAATGGCTGGGGGAGGGGGAGGCGGACCAGCGGCTTTTCCCCCCGGTCGACTGACAGGGGAGGGCATCGAAGATGAGTGTATTGACGGACGTGATTTTGACCCCGAGCCGCTAAGCGGCGACGACGGCGGCGCAACGGCTAGTTGACCCGAGGCCGTCCGATTGTGCATGATCTGACCGGACAGCTCGGTCCCCGCGGCCTCAATTGTCATGCCAGAAACTCCCCCCGGAACCACCTTCAGCTCACGACTGTAGACGGACACTCCTGAAGCGGTTCCTCCTGATCCGGAATGAGGGGAAACGCCAGGCTGAAAAGTTTGTCGTGCGATTGATGTTCTGTTGGCCGGCGAAGGGACACCATACGAGCCGGCATCGTTGCCGTCGCCGTTAGTTGTGCCGTCGGGTATTGACAAGTGATTGGTGCTGACGAATCGCTCCCGCTCCCGCTGCTGCTGCTGCTGCTGCTGCGGGTGATCGTGTTCCCGGCGGAACTGAGCCGGCGGCAAGGAAAGGTCACTCATTATTTACACGATTGTCAGCACGGCGTTAGTATGCTAAGGTGAACAGAAACGGATCGAAGGACCTTGGACAGTGCGGTAGTCGTTATGGAACATAAACAGCAGAAAATGGCACTGCGTGACGTTAATTGAAACTACTTCAGCTCGCAGGACTATCCGATGCCGGCTCGGTCGAGATAAATACGGTGACGGAAATTTAACTAGGTCGAGCATGAAGGAGCATAAAGGCTCCTACAGTACAATGTCGATGCAGACTGATGCCGCAAGCTTGACTGGCTTTTGTGCTGCTTCGCTATAGCAGAGGACCACTACCGGATCTTCGATGTTACAGTATCGAATGCCTCATTTGTCCTAGCTCCCATGGTCACACTAGTGGGACCATTCAGTACTGTCACCGTACAGTAGCGGGACCATTCAATACTGTATGTGATGTGCAGAGTTTGCATTTACACTCTTGCTGTTGAGACGCAAGGATCAAGCTTCACCATCAGGTGGCATCCACTTCTGCAGAAAATATGCCATATCCGAGGTTGTTTTCCGCCCTTTCATTTGCTCGGAATGCTAAACTGGTACCCCTACAGCTGGGTTGGAACTTTGCCTCCACATCCATGCTGCGCGAGGCAAAGTGTGCTTGCGACAAAAAAACATTTCAAGGCACTCTGCAGATTCACCCTCTTGTTTCGGACAGACGCATTGACTTTTGCCACTGTGTTCAGGATTCCACAACAAGACTCAGACCCGCACTTTCTCTGTATTACAGGAGTTGATAATAGCTAACTCGATTGACACTACCCTTCTAGTACCCATTCATTCATTGTTCCGATTGAGCTGTGAGTTACCCCGCAATAACGAGGGTCATCCAGGCTGGCCTGTTTGGGATGGCAACGAAGCATGCCGACGTCCACAGAAAGAGGCATGTTGAAAATACTTGCAGCGAAAACAGTTCACGAGATGGATGCGAAAGGTTCCATTCGCATACATAAGCATAAAAGATCAACGGGGGGTGTAGGCAAATCCATTATACAGCAATCAGTTTCACTGGAGAAAGAAAGGTGGAGGAGCTAGGGTTTCGTCAATGGCTCCACAGCAACGAAAAATTGTGAGTGCTGCCCGGATAACCTCCAGATTGCGCTGGTCCCCTCCACCAATGGTCAGCGCAGTGGTTTGAATGCCACGCTGGACCATGAGCCGCCAACCAGCCTGCTGTGCAGCGCTGCCCGCAAAATATTCCACGTCAATCTCCAATCGGGCAGACCATAAAAGTTGTAGAAGTTAACTATATCCTGGCTGAAGTGCTGGTACGGCTTAGCAGGGCACTATCATTCAGTGCTTCAGACCTGTATCCGCGGCTTTTGACGAAACCCTGGTTTTTCTTCAACCAGTACTGGTGGGCTGGAGCCCAACAAACCTATCGTTTGCGTTTGAAGTTTCAAGTTTTTGAGTTGTCGAGTTTGGTGTTTTCTAGAGGCACTTCCTCGCGGCAACATCCATGGCTGTTGGTCCCTGACCACTACCCTCGCCCAACGTTTCCTAGTGTTCCTTTCTTTGCCCTCACCTTGCTTGGCCGCTAGTGTTCAATAGAACAGAAACCAGCACCTCCGTCGCCTGTGTTTCTGACCTGATACACGCAGTCAGACTTCATTTTCCTTGCCACAGGACGATTGACTAGCTTTCGGTCAGCCAACGCAAAGCTTTATTTTCTTGACCTCGTGCGCTGCTATTTTCCGAAACCGTTTTATTTTCTTCATTCTTCCCCTAGCGCAAAACGTGGCATAATGACATCTGGATCTCTGCAGACGCTACTACAGCTGCAGACAGCACCTACAAATCAACAAACCACCACCTCTGAACCGCCTCCCACAGCCAACGACGGTGACTCCTCCGCTGCTCTAGAAAATGCTGATGCCCTAGAACCCGTTAGCGGTCACGACGCGAAGCCTGATAATTCTGTCATTGGTCCTACTACTGCGAATGAGCCTACTCGCGGTTCTGCTAATGCTGCAAAGCAATCAGTTGATGGCAACCACGCGACTGAACGTAATGACCCTGAGAAGTCGAACAATGGATCGGGGCCAGAAGGTGGAGCTGGAGCCTCTGAGGTGGAAGGTGGCCAGAAGGGTATGGAGCCACAGCTCGCGCCGATGCTTGCGCCAGGCGGAGGCGGAGCGGAAGGCGGAGGCAACGCGGAAGGCGGAAGCGGAGAGGGAGGGGGTGGCGGAGCGGAAGGTGGAGGCCCAAATGTTGCGGACGCTTCGGTTGACGTCGGAGAAAAGATATCCGCGGAGGTTCCGCAGTCGTCGCAATTTCCCGCGGATCCTCCGCGCAAGGACATGATGCAGATGTTTCAGGAGCAGACGGCATCCGTCCTGCTGGATCCTATCGAAGCCGCTTTTGACGAGGATGGCCTTGGCGAGGATGACGCGGACCTTGACGGAGACATGAACGGTGGCGATGACGATGACGGCGAAGGCAACGGTGACGGCGACGGCAATGGCGACGGCGACGGCGACGATGACGGTGACGGCGGCGACGGAGAAGGAGAAGGAGATGGAGACGGGGACAAAGGCGATGGCGACGGTGGTGGCGATGGCGGTGGCGATGAGGGTGACGGTGACGGCAAGGAGCTGCCGGCAAATTCAAGTCCGGCTGGCGCGGACCTTCCCTTCAAGCGGAAACGCGGACGGCCGAAGAAGATCCGCAGAGCGGAGGCACCAGACGCGGACGACTTTTCTCCGCTCATGGGGGACGCGCTGGGGGGGCGGCCTTTCAAACGGCGCGCTTTCGCGGAGGCGGACGCGGTGCGCGTGGGGATGGCGTTTCTGGAGCGCGGGGAGAAGAAACCGCGCTTGGAACGAGACATGGCGCTACCGCGCGGATCGGCGCAGGGGCTGGCGCAAGGATTGGCGCAAGATCGCGCGCATCCGCACAAACCCCACTCACGGTTCGGACTCCAGCCGCAGCATCTTCCGCCGCCGCCGCCGCCGCAGCAGCAGGTGCCTCTACCGCTGGATCCCCTTTTTGGCCGCTTCGGGCGGCGACCCCAAGGGGATAGCAAGTTCGTTCCGGATTGGGCGGCGAACTTCGCGGCGGAGATGGGCATAAGCGCGCGTGCGAAGGCCCCGCGTTATGGGGACGCGCATTACGATGAGATGGGGGAGGAGGAAGAAGAGGAGGAGGAGGATGGGAGTTTTGCGGGTGGAATGCGGGGAGAGGGCTTGCGGAACTTGCGGGGAAGGCGGGGAGCGGGGGCGGGTTTTCGTGGCATTGCAGGATTGGATGGTTTTGGCGGTGCTGACGTGGACGGGAGGCGGAAGCGGAAAGGGCGGAGGCGGTTCCAGCATTTGCGGGATGAGGATGATGACGTGGTGGAGGTCAAAGATGACGTGTTGTTCTTTCCGGCCAACCGCGGGGGAGTGAGCATGGACCGTAGGCGACGCCGTGAGATGCGGCGTGGGTTGCACCGTGGGTTGCAACGTGGAATGCGGGGGCATAAGGAGAGCCTTCGAGGTTCGTTAAAGAAGGTCAGGCGGAAGGGACTTGAGAAAGAGAGGACCAAAATTGGGACGAAAGGGGAAGGAGAAGGAGAAGGGGAAGAATCAGGAGGCGAAGCAGTGGGTTTGGACGGGAGTAAGATTCGTTTGACAGATAGCATGTCTGTGCCTTTGTTTCCGGGCACCTTGGGCAGCAGCGGGATAAAAGGGCAGCCACAAATGAGCGTTCTCGGGGATGACTTGTGGGCGGAAGAAGAGGAGGCCGAGGAGGGAGGGGAAGGGGAGGGGGAGGATGGGGGCGGAGACTGGACGCACCAGCTGCGCCTGGAGCAGGAGTTTTTGCGCGGGAAGGCGCAGGACAGGGAGCGCGAGCGGGAGAGGCGGCGGGGGGCGCAGAGGGACAAGGCGGGAGAAAAAGAGCGCCCGGGACAACAGCAGGGAGAGGGGGAGGGGAAGGTTAACCAGGAGGGAGTTGCGCCCGGCGCGGTTGGTCTCGGGGCGGAGGGGGAGGGGAAGGCGGAGGGGGAAGGGGAGGCGGAAGCCGGCGCTGCCACTGGCGGAGCTCCCGCAGGCGCTGATGATCAGGAGCTGGCGGAAAGGGAGAAGGAGCAGGCGGGGAGGGAGCGTTTGGAGAGGGAGAGAAGGGAACGCGAAAGGATGGAAAGAGAGAGGGTGGAGAGGGAGCGCGTGGACAGGGAACGGCTGAGGAGCCAGCAGAAGCTTCTAGAAGAGGCGATAGTGGAGATGAAACGCATGAGGGGAGAGCAGATCGCGATGGGGCGGGAGCTGAGGCGCGCGCGGAACACCAAGGAGGCGGTCAAGCAGGCATTCGGGGAGATGAAAAAGCAGGTAGGGCGGCGAGCACAGTGGGTGTGTGTGTGAGCTGTACAGTCACGCGACAATTATGTAGCATCGCTAGTCATGTGGCTACGAAGATTTCATAGCCGCGACCTGTTCTCCCTGTCCAGGCACTTGTTCTGAGCGGCCCCCCCTTCCTGGCTCCCCAACGATTTCCACCACTTCCCACCGGTCCCCAAAACCTCCCATCGCTCTCCGCCGCTCCCTTTTCAGGTGGTGGCAGGAGCACATGCTGGCGCAGGCTCGGGTTCAGCTGTCCTTGCTGGAGGGGGTCAACAAGGCACAGACGGAGGAGATCTCGCCACACCTTCCCCACCGCTTCCCACCGCCTCCCACCGCCTCCCACCGAATCCCAACCCTTCCCACCGGTTCCCAACCCTTCCCACCACTTCCCACCGCTCATCACCCCTCCCTTGTCAGGTGGTGGCGCAGGAGCACATGCTGGCGCAGGCTCGGGTTCAGCTGTCGCTGCTGGAGGGGGTCAACAAGGCGCAGACGGAGGAGATTTCGCGCCTCTGGATGGCCGCCACTCAGAACCAACCTGGGCTTCCCCCAACCCTTCCCCACCGTTTTCCACTGGTCCCCACCCCCTCCCACCGTTTCCCACCACTCCCCACCGCTCTCGTTTCAGGTGGTCGCGCAGGAGCACATGCTGGCGCAGGCGCGCGTGCAGCTGTCGCTGCTGGAGGGAGTCAACAAGGCTCAGACGGAGGAGATTTCGCGCCTCTGGATGGCCGCCACTCAGAATCAACCCGGGCTCGCCCCTATCACGGGCCTGGCTGCTCCCCCTGGTACCGTCATGGGGTCTGATACGCGGTTCTTTGCTGCTTGTGCTGGTGGTTTTGGTGGTGCTGCTGGTGGTGATGATGTGGGTGGGACAAGAGGAGGGGGCAGTGCTGCTGGCGCTGCTGGTGGTGGTGCCGATGGTGGGTCCAGTGAGGAACAACAGCAGCAGCTGCAGCAGCAGAAGCAGGACCTACAGAAGCAGCAGCAGCAGCTGCAGCAGCAGCGCGAAGCCGTAACAGCCCAAGCCCTCGCAGCGGATCTCGAGCTAAGTGCCACAAAGCTACAGATAGCCATGAAGGAACGGCCAGTCCGCACCCTCCTGCAAATTGCATGGAGCCCTGCTAACAACATTGGCGCGCTTGCCAAGGCGAAGTTTAAAGAGGCTAACGGGGGGATGGCGCCGGGCCATCCGGGGGACATGCAGTGGGAGGATGTTCTTAAAGCCCTGGAGGAGTATATCCGGCTGGGGTCGCTGGAATTTGCCAAGTACCAGCTCATGTTTGGCTTTAAGGAGAAGGCAGTGTACCGCGCCCGAAGCAGATTGCAGGACGGGCGGACCCAAGCCATGCTGCTAGCCGAGGCACATGATGAGGCTCGGCATCAGCTGATGGAAGGGACGCTGGAGTTTGAAGCGCATGCTTTGGCGTCTTCTGTGGCGACCAGCATAAGGAGTCTTCTGGGAACTGTTAAGGACGAGAAGCAAGAGGATGAGGACGAGGAGGCAGCAGTTCAGTCTCTGATTGCGTCGGCCGAGGCTAATGCGCAGAACACAGCGAGGGAAGCGGAGAGAGAGGTGATTCAGGCGCAGGCGAACGCTGCTGCTGGTCTCCCGCCTGCCGCTGACCCTGCTGCTGGCGCTGCTGGCGCTGCTGCTGCTGCGGGTGTTCCTGGGAGTGTGGGTATGGACGGTGGTGTTGGGTTGGATGCGGTGGACGCTGCAGGGGAGATGGGCCCAGGGGGGGAGGGGGATGGGGTGATTCGGCGGAAGCCTGGGCGGCCGCGGGGAGGGGGGGCTGCGCTGGCGATAGGGAATGGGGATCTCCCCGCGCTCTCCCGCGTGCGTATTCCCAAGGCGCCCACTCTCCCCGCGTCCGCGCAGCAGGCGAATGGGGAGGGGAAGAAGAAGAAGAGGAGGAACCGGGGGAGGGGGAGGGGCGCTGCGGAAGGGGGGGATGTGGGGGCGGACGAGATGGGGAATGCGGGCGAACTTGGTGGGGGGGGTGAAGGGGCGGGGGGAGGGGAGGGGATGGCGGGCGCGGAGGGTGTGGGCGGGCGGGGGAGGGGGAGGGACGGGGGGGTGGCGGAGGTTGATCCAGCAGCAGCGGCGGCAGCAGCTGCTGCAGCAGTGGCTGCTGGGTTGGAAGGGCAGATAGACGTTGAGGCAGTAGCAGCAGCACTGGCGCAGGCGACAGGAGGGGGTGGTGGCAGTCGCGGGGTGGGGCAGCAGGCAGCAGGGGGCGGGAGGATTGGGCTGGACAGGCAGCGGATGCAGGAGCAGCAACAGCAACAACAACAGGCGGAGCAGCAGCAGCAGCAGCAGCAGCAGCTGGGACTTCACGGGCAGGGGCAGGGGCAGGGGCAGGGGCAGGGGCAAGGGCAGGGGCTGGGGCAGGGGCAGGGGCAGGGGTTGGGGGAGCTCGAGCAGATGGCCGCGAACTGGGCGGCGATTGTTCAGCAGTCGGGAGTAACGGACTCGTCTTCTCTTGTTGAGCTAAGAAACTCGTACATCCAGCAGCAGCAGCTGCTGCAGCAGCAGCGGCAGCAGAGCCAGCCGCAAGCCCTGGGCCAGCAGCAGCAGCAGCAGCAGCAACAACAGCAACAGCAGCAGTTAGTGCAGGGGCGAGTGGAGCAAGCAGATTGGCAGCAGAATCAGACTCACAGCAACCAGCAGCAACACCAACAGGCAGTGAGACACTCGCGGGCTCAGCAGGTGCCGTATCAGCAACAGCCGCAGCAGCAGCAACAGCAGCAACCAATCCAGCAGCAGCAGCAGCAGACGCAGCAACAGCCATACCGTCAGCAGCAGGTGCAGCAGCAGTTTCAGCAACAGCAGCAGCAGGCGCCGCAGCAGCAAGAGGTACCAGTACCCGAGCCAGAAACAGGCCTCATGGGCTTAGCAGGGGCAGATGATGCCACTCTAGCCAGTCTCAGGCAGGCTGTGGGGGACGCCTGGCAGGGTTCTGGGTTTGGGAGCTTGGAGGCTCTCTGGCAGCAGGCGGGGCGGAATGCAGTGCTCGGGCAAGGAGGGGCGGGCGGAGGGAGGGGCGGTGCTGGTGGTGGGGCTGGGGCTGTGGCAGTAGGGGGAGCAGGCGGGGATGCTGCCGGTGCTTTTGCAGCTCAGAATGTTCAACAGCAGCAGCAGCATGGTAATGCGCATGCTGCGGCGGCGGCAGCGGCTGCAGCGGTGATTGCAGCGGCAGCAGCCGGCAGTGCGGGGCTTGCAGGTGTAGCGGGTGGGGGAGTGGCGCAGCAGGACCTGCAGGGGGGAACGCCGGTGATGAATCTCAATTTCCCTGTGGCTGAGGATGCAGCAGGAGGTGCTGCTGGCGGGGGCAGCAGGAGGGAGACTCGTCGGCAGCAGCTGCAGCAACAGCAGCAGCAGCAGCAGCAGCAGCAGCAGCAGCAGCAGCGGCAGTATCTGGGTCCCCAGAGGCAGGGATCTCAGCAGCCCCAGCAGCATCAGCAGCAGCAGTATCTGCGGCAGCAGCAGCAGCAGCAGCAGCCGCAGGTGCAGCCCCAGGTGCAGACTCAGCAGCTTTACCAGCAGCTGCAGGAGCAGCAGCAGCAGCACACTCATCACCAGCAGCACCAGCAGCAGCACCAGCAGCAGCAGCAGCCGCAGCAGCACCATCAGCAGCAGCAGCTTTTTGGTGCCACAGCAGCAGAAGCTGCTGCGGGGTACGGGAGCGTGCGGCAGGAGGAGGTGCAGCATCATCAGCTGTACCAGCAACAGCAGCAGCAGCACCAGGTGCAGCAACAGCAGCAGCAGCAGCACCAGCAGCAGCAGCACCAGCAGCAGCAGGAGGTGCATGAGCCAGAGCAGCAAAACTCCCAGTGGCCCCAGTCTCTCCCATTTGCGAACCTCGGTGGCCTCGATAATGAAACTGAGCCTCTTCAGTTTACTACCCCTGCTGCTGCCGCTGCTGCCAATGCTGGGGGGCATGCTGGGGCAGCTCGGGTGTTGCAGCAAGGAGGGCTGCAGGCGTCAGCCTGGGGTGAAGTAGCCTCGGCATTAGGTTCGGTGTCGGGGGTTGGGGTAAATAACCCTGTGCATTTTAACCTCGGGCAGCAGCTGGCGGGAAATCGGGCAGGAGGCGAGGCGGAGTTCGATCGGGTGCGCCTGTGGGGGAATGAGTGGGATGGGGTGAACGCTGGGGCAAATGCTGCTGCGGCGGTGGCGGCTGCGGCAGCAGCAGCGGGTGGAGGGCAAGGGGAGGAGAGTGCTAGTGCTGGTCTGCAACAGCTGCACAATCTGGCTGCAGCGCAAAATCAGTTGCTTCAGTTCTCGCGTGCTTTTGGGGCAAATGCCTTCGCTCGCCAGTAGTATTGGGACCGCCTTTTGTGTTTTCAAAAGGCATGTGATGTGATTTGTGACTGGGTAGTTGTGACATATGTTTGACATTAGGCTGACTTCCTGGTTTTTAGCTTGCAACTAATGTACGGCAGCAGCCACTAATTGGTACTTTTCCTTTGTTGCTGAATAGAGTTTTAGTTTGGTTCTATTGTATTTCTCTTTTGTCTGCTGGCTTACCACAGCGCTCTAGGTTTTCCAAGATCGATCTGAGCTGGAAAGTGCAAGGCTCCTCTGCTCCGCATGTCCCACACGCGGCTTGGATCCCCGTTCCGCCCCACCTAGCCAATGATGTGAGGGGAAGGGCCAACATCACTGGTTATGGTGACGTCAGCTAAGGCCGAAGCCACAGCATCAGTCCGTCCGCGTGCCACCATCCACCCTTTGCCGTCGCTCTGAACCAATCATAGCAGAAGGGCATCTTGCGCAACGCGCAATTCTCAGCCACAGAAATGGGAGTCAGCAGCAGCCAACACCGCACTGGCTCATCCCCACCACACCATTCAACCCCACCCGACCTGACAACTGCCATTCCACCCAACCATTTCCACCCAACTAAACCCATATCTTGGTACACGTAGCAGGAATACGGACCGCGATGACCTCGGGCCATTTGAAACGCACCACCCACCACCACCACCACCAGCCCAGCAAACACCACCACCAACCAGCCTTTTCCCCCATCACCACCAACATCACCCTTTTCCCCCATCTCACATCACAAGCTCAAGCATGAAGGTACTAGATTACAGGTGGATGATGTATGTATGGATCATGATTCATGGCATGGAGTCTGTTTCATTCTGGCAATCCGTGTTGTCAGCCGCACTTGATAAAGTAGGGAGGGAACTGGTGTGGACGGTTGTATTCGGAGATTGGAGTAGGGAAATAGCGGCTAATCTGTTCTTGTAGTCCACTTGTTTCATATTCCGGTACTTATTACGCGACTCCAATAGCAGCATTTTTAAGATTGGTGTCAAGTGCAAGTGCTGAAAATCGATAGTGTAGGAAAGCACAATCAGTCTCTTTGTCCTTCGCCTTTGATTGCGATGTTGTACCTGGCGTAGCACCTAGCCTTTGGAAGTTTATGCGAAAATGGTGCAATACGGCCGATATCTGCTTTCTCACCGCGTACCAGGATGGGAACCGTGAGTTGCTGCCACTTCCTAGCTTTCAGATGGCATACCGAACAGTTCTTAGTATGTCGCCGTCTTTTTATAAATATTTGTTTGTGCCATGTTTTGGGTATCCGAGTGATCGTAACATTCTGTTTCAATTGTCTAGTTGTCAAACCGCTGTCATGGATAATCGGTTTTGAGTGACCATTCGTTTGCGACAGATATTACCTCAACTATAAGTCGTTGAAGAAGGAAATTCGAGCCTATGAAGCGGCCGTGGCGTCGGGGGTCACAGAGGAAGATGTTCAGCAAGACATGGCGCGTCGCTTCTCAGAGCGTCTCGACTCGCAGGTAGATTTCTGGTTTTGGATTATTCGTTGCTTTTGAGACTTAGGCCTGTTTCTAATCCCTAACGCTTGTACGTCTGTTTAATTCCTTTTTTAGTTTTTTTTGGAGTTTCTAGGCCAGGCTAAGCTGACATTCGCCTTCGTTTGAGCGGCATGAGTAGTTTCTCGGCTGAGATTAGGCAGTTTCGGTGACCAGGTGCCATCAGATGCCAATACAGCCTGAAGGCATCCAGGGTTTCCAAATGGCAGTTGCTATTCGGATAAGTCATTTGAGTTCTCTTGAGACGACCGTTGGTATTCAGGCTGTTTAATGCTACGTAAATAACATGTATTCACGCAAATCCGTATTTTGTGTTGGCAGATGGAAAAGGTGGTGCTGTTCTTCTTGGAGCAGCAGGGCGTGCTGGCGGGAAAGCTCCAACGGCTACGAGAGCAGAGGGAAGGGTCAAACACGCGCGGAGACGAGTCCGGCCTGGCGATCGTCATGTCGTCCGACTTTAGCGACATGATGGAACAGTACAGGTAACTGTGCATTTCGTTTTTTTCGTTGAATGAGCAATAAATTTTCTGAGCAGGCTTCTGAAAGATTGTTCCATTGCAACATGCGTTTTGCGGAACTATCTGTCTCCTGTCCCTTACTACCAGCAAGAGCGCTCGTTATCCGCGTCTCCCTCTCTCCTTCTGCTGTAGCTGCTGCAGTTCGTGGAGCTGAACCCACGGCGCTGCCTCCTTATCCCCGTTATAGCGTTAATTTTTTACACTTATTCTATCAATCGTCTGCAGAGACGTTGGGAGGGAGCTGCTGCAGCTGCTGCAGTTCGTGGAGATGAACGCCACGGGGCTGAGGAAGATCCTGAAGAAGTTTGACCGGCGTGTGGGCGTGAGGCTGGGCCACACGTACATTGCCTCGCGCACGCTGCACCCCTACTCGCACCTGCAGCAGATCTTCAAACAAGTGGTGAGTGGTATTGTGGTCTTTTGAATTGTGACGTGCAGAGAATGAGACGCCCCAACGCACTGCATTTCTGCTAGTTCGCGCCTGCAGCCGATCATCGGACAAGTGGTGGTGAGTGGCGATGTGATGTGAGTTGTGCTCCTAAAGAAGTTTTGGCCAGAAGAATCTCGCTCTCTCTATCTCTCTCCCCACGTACGTACCTACCCCACAACCATCTCCAGGGTTTGGGTGCCATGGTGGGGACCATTATTCGCAACCTGGACGAGCTGCACCGCAGGGAGCGCTGCTTCTCCTCGCCCTCCAATCTCCTCTCGCCGCGTGCCGGCACGCCCAGACGCACGTCTTTCTCGCTCTTCAGGCAGGGGGACGAGTCACCAGTGTACGTGGCTCAGGAGGAGCCAATCATTCAGGTGGGTGCTGGTGGGTTCCTCAGTTCGGTAATACATGTTATGTTTATAAAGGTGTACGTTCTCGCTCTTCAGGCAGGGGGACGAGTCCCCTGTGTACGTGGCTCAGGAGGAGCCGATTATCCAGGTGGGCGCTTATGGAGCAGCCGAGTGCAGTATGGTGATATGTTGCATGCACTCTTATGGCACATGGATCATGGGGTGGGGGGTACACACCGACTGTTTTCAAAATGAACGATTGTTCTTTGCGAATGTTTGGGTGTGTGTGGGAGGGTATGCGGGAGGGGGGGGGGGGGGGTGTGGTTGGGAGTGGGGGTGAGGGTGAGGGTGGGGATGGGATTGGGGGTTGGGTTGGGGGTGGTGGTGGAGGTGGGAGTGGGGTTCGGGGGGAAATGGGTGGGTGGCTGGGTGGGGGTGGGGGTGGGGGTGGGGTGGGGTGGGGGGTTGTGGAGGTGTGTGTGTGTGTGCTGTGAACCTTCTTTCAGGAGATCGAGGCAGCACGGGCCAAGCTGACGGATGCAGCGAGCTACAGCACGTACATGGCCAAGGGGCTGCTGCTGCCTCCTGCACCAGAGAGAGGGCCAGAGGCAGGGGAATCATATTCAAATCCTCGTCCGGTCAGCACATAATCAACTGCTTTTCCTTGTGAATGTGTGTGTTGGGGTGGGGGGAGGGGGTGTGCATGGTGTTGACTTCTCTCAGGAGATCGAGGCAGCGCGGGCCAAGCTGACAGACGCAGTGAGCTACAGCACGTACATGGCCAAGGGGCTGCTGCTGCCTCCCGCCCCTGAGAGAGGGCCCGAGGCAGGGGAGCCGGAGTTCCACTGGTGGTCGCTGCAGCTCAACCAGTTCAACACCTTCCTCTACATGGTGAGAGCACTTCCCTGTGCGTGGTGATATCTCATATGAGAAGCGGGGTTGACAAATGTTCCACCCTGTGTTTTCCTCCCTGTTCACAATTCCAATCCCATCCCACCCCACCTCACCCCGTACCACCCATGTGAACCACCAAGTTATTTCCCCCACGTCCCTCTACTCCCATCCCATCCCAAACCCGACCTACCCATCCTAACCCACCCCAACCCTACCGCACCCCACCCCAGGTGAACTACTACATTATCGTTCCGACCTCAGACGAGTACGCTGTCCTCCTCTCCGCCCCGCCTGCTCTCTGTGGCATCATCATCGGCGCCACTCCTCTCTGCGCCCTCGTCTCAGCCTTCATCTTCAGCAAGTGGTCCAACACGTCCTACACGCAGCCTCTGCTCGTCTCCACAATCGTTTTGCTGCTTGGGAATTTCGCCTATGCGGCCGCTCTGGATTTCAACTCTGTGGCTCTGTTGCTCATTGGCCGGTCACTCACTGGGTAAGGCACAGGTGAAAGCTGGTGTGTGGGGAGTGAGGGGGAAGGGGAGTGGGGAATGAGTGCGTGGGGATGTAAGGCAGCATGAGCGCCCCTGTGTGCGCTGGTCTCAGCCTTCATCTTCAGCAAGTGTTCCAACGCTTCCTACACGCAGCCTCTGCTCGTCTCCACGCTCGTCCTGCTGCTTGGCAACTTCGCCTATGCGGCCGCTTTGGATTTTAACTCTGTTGCCCGGTTAAGCAGAGGTTAAGTCGTAAGGAGTGGGCAGATGTGGAGTGAGGTGAGGAGGGAAGGGGGAAAAGGGTAGAGGGTGGGTGGGGTGCAATGCTCGGCTCATGCCGCTCTGTGGAAAGAGTGGGCAGAGGAGAAGAGAGGGATGACGGGCAATCTGAGTGGTTGCTGAGATTCTATTACTGCCTGTACCCACTGCATCCCCATCCCTCCCTCCCTCCCTCCGAGCGAACCCCTCTGCCAACTGAGACTCACGTATTCCCGGAGCCCAAGGAACCGTGCTACCATCTGTTGCTCCAGCCTGGGAGGGGCTGGTACGTTGCCGATCACGTCCCTTCCTTTGAGAAACCCTCAGCATCAGCCTAGTTCACTTACTCCCTGTACCCGTCCACTCCCCCACCTGCTCTTCCAGGTTGGGAGGCGTCAGGGCAATTAATCGCCGGTACATAGCCGACCACGTGCCGTCGTCTGAACGCACCTCAGCCTCTGCCGGGTTCGTGAGCGCGGGAGCCCTGGGCATGGCAGCAGGGCCGTTCGCCGCCTCCCTCATCGACTTCCTCAACTTCAAGTTCCTCGGCTTCACCGTCAACTCCGTCACCTCCCCCAGCTGGCTCATGGTGCTCTCCTGGCTGCTCTACCTGCCCTTCCTTTGCACTGCATCCCCTCCCTCCCTCCCTCCATCCCTCCCTCCTTACAGGCTAGGAGGGGTGCGGGCAATCAACCGCCGGTACATAGCCGATCACGTACCGTCCTCCGAACGAACCTCAGCCTCGGCGGGGTTCGTGAGCGCGGGCGCCTTAGGCATGGCAGCAGGGCCGTTCGCGGCCTCCCTCATCGACTTCCTCAACTTCAAGTTCCTCGGCTTCACCGTCAACTCCGTCACCTCCCCCGGCTGGCTCATGGTGCTCTCCTGGCTGCTCTACCTCCTGTTTGTCGTGCTTTTCTTTAAGGAGCCGGACCGGACACACCTGCAGCCGCCGGTGCCGGCAGGGGGAGTGGCGGGGGTGAAACGGGAGAAGTCTGGAGGGGATTTGAGGAGGCGAGGGTCGAAAGAGGCTGCGTTGGGAGGGAACTTGAAGAGGGGGGGTTCGAAAGAAGCGGCACTTGGAGGGTTGGGAGCGGCGGGTGTGAACGGGGTTGGGGGGAAGGGAGGGTGGGGGGATAGGGATGGGGTGGTGGTGGGAGAGGGGGGTATGGTGACTGCTGCGTCGCCTGCTGATGGCTCACGTGAGATTGAGGATGGAGGAGGGATGGTCAAAGGGGCAGGGGACGGGGAAAAAGGGGTTGGGGCATGGAGCAGAGTGAGGGGATGGCTAGGAGTAGGAACGGGAGAGAAGGGAGGGGCTGGGACCGCCGTATGTGAGCCTCTGTTGACGGGGCTGGGAGGAGGGCAGGACAGTAGGAATGGTGTAACAGAAGTGACACCAGCAGCAGGAACAGCAGCAGCTTCAGCAAAAGCAGGAGGAGCAGGAGTGGCACCTTCAGCGTCAGTTGCTGGGCGAGGGCACAGTGGGACGGCTGATGAGAGTGACGCGCGGACTTGGCTTATGCTGGCCTCTCTGGTGAGCTTACTTCTCTGGTAAGCGTGTTTATCCTTACCTGGTGAGCTTGCTTCCCCCTTTCCAGGATCTCTGAATCTCTGCGTTGATAGAAAAACTAGCTGCAGGGTCGAGGCACACTGGGATGGCTGATGAGAATGACGCGCGGACTTGGCTTATGCTGGCCTCTCTGGTGAGCTTGTCTCTCCTTTCCTGATTCTCCGTTCTAGCATCTGTGTGCCCATCATTGCAGTTCCATCTTGGCATTTCTGCATTTCTACATGTCTGTCATCTCAGCACATGAGAATTTCTGCAGCACATGTCGACGTCCAGCATCTCTGGTCACTAATTTTTCTCCCGTCGCTCCTTCCCTGCCCCATGCCCCTCTCATCCCTCCGTCTTTCAACCACCCCTCCCTTCCAACCGTCCTTCCCCATGCCCTACTTTCCTTCATCCCCCCGCCCTTCTCCCAACCTAATCCGCTTGCACCCCCCTCCCCGCTCCCTCCCACCCTGGTCAGCTTGTACACACCAGCCGGACGAGTGGGAGGACGGGGAGGACGAGGATGATGATGAGCACGCCCTCCCTTTCCTCCTTTATCCCCTCCTCGACCTAATCCGTTCCTCCCCACCCTGATCCTCTTGCTGTATCCTCCAGCCGGACATTGATGAGGGCGAGGACGAGGAGGACGAGGATGATGACGCTTCACCCGTCCGCCCTTCCCCACGTTCTCCCTTCCCTCCTTCCTCCCCCCTCTCTCTCCCCACCCTGATCCGCTTGTACCCCCCAGCCGGACATAGACGAGGGAGAGGACGAGGAGGACGAGGATGATGTTTGAAGCGCCTCAAAAAATCCTTCATTTCCTTCTTCCTTTCCACCCTGATCCGCTTATACCCCCCAGCCGGACATTGACGAGGGCGAGGACGAGGAGGACGAGGATGATGTTTGAAGCGCCTAAAAAAATCCTTCATTTCCTTCTTCCTTTCCACCCTGATCCGCTTATACCCCCCAGCCGGACATTGACGAGGGCGAGGACGAGGAGGACGAGGATGATGATGGGGCATCGTCCACTGGGGCGGTGGAGACGCTGCCAGAGCTCATGAAGGAGTTGTCGCGACCCATCTCGGTACGCGGGGGTAGATGTTTATGTCAAGTGGGGATGTGGAGACGCTACCAGAGCTCATGAAGGAGCTATCCCGACTGGTCTCGGTACAGTGCGGTTCAGTGATGTCAATGCGGACTGGGAGGTAGATATTGATGGGTACTGGGGTATGGGAGCGAGTGAGGTATGCAAGCATCGTCCACTGGGGCCGTGGAGACTCTGCCAGAGCTCATGAAGGAGCTGTCTCGACCTATCTCGGTATGCTGGGGCTCATCGTTATGGCAATGTGGGCTGGGGGGGATGTAATGATGGGCACTGGGGTATGGGAGCAAGGCATGCAAGCATTGTCTTCTGTCGCCGTGGAGACGCTACCAGGGCTCCTGAAGGAGCTGTCACGACCAATCTCGGTACGGTGGGGTAGATGTGTTTGTCAGCACACACATGGCTGTGAGAGAATCAGCCTAGTCACATTGGGGTCAGTTCTTCAGCAGGTGCCTGAAACCTTTGTTGTTTTCTTCTCGTAATCATCCTTGTTATTGCAGGTCCTCCTCTTCATGTACTTCATGATCAAATTCGCCACAGAGGTGCTTATATCGGAGTCGAGCCTCATCTCCAAGTTCTACTTTCAATGGACCATCAACGATGTACATTCCATTTCTCTTCCCACCTTTCCATTTTGTAGAGGTTTGGATTTGTCCTTGTCAATCTGCAATGCTTATCATTAGCAATGAATACAATTGGCAGAGCTTTTTCTTTTTGTTCACAAGTTTCAGAACATGGTCTGACTGATTAAGGATATGAGAAAATGTTGGTCAGTAACCTTTTGCTCCCGTGTTCCGACAGATTGGTTGGTTTCTGGGTCTCCTGGGCCTCACGGTTCTGCCCATCAGCTCTGTGGTTGGGAATTACATCACCAACATCTATGAGGACAGGTCAGCAGTGGGTGTATGACAATGCTAGTGCATGTGTGATGCAGGATTGCACACATTTGGCGCTGGCTGGCTAGTAGGGTGATGCAGGCTAGTGCATGTATGATGCAGGATAGCTCAGGTGTAGGGTGGCTGGTACATGTATAATGCTGGCCAAAGCACATCTCACGGTTCTGCCCAACAGGCCTGTGATTGGGAACTACGTAGCCAGCATATACAAGGACAGGTCACCAGTAGGTGTGTTGTGCTGGCTCCTACGCATACCTTGCAGGTTGGTACACGTTTCACACTTCAACTGTTTGTAAGCTGATGAAACTGTTCGTCTATTTCCTCCTCGTCTGTTCACTGTGCTCTTTCGCAGGCTGGTGATCATGTGGACGCAGGGTCTGATCGCAATTGGGGTGATAGCCGTGATGTGTTTCGCGCCAATCATCAAGTACACCACACAGCAATACATTGTTGCTGCGGTCATCATCTTTGTCTCCTGCAACGTGCTCGAAGGTGCGCTGCTGTTCCTTGGTAATTAGTGTAGCATCAGAGTGGGGTACATCTTCTTGCAATATATGGCTCTGCTGCTCCGAGTGCACGCAGCTTTGAAGGGCCGATCATGGGAGTCCTCAGAATGCTTTCCTGTCGCACTTTTCACCCACTCGCCTGTCTGGATTGCTGTTTGAAAATCGTGTGGCGTTTTGCAGGGGTTTCTCTTTCGCTAATGTCGCGCATTATGTCGCCACGCCTTGCAAGAGGAACGTTTAACTGCGGCCTTTTGTCGACCGAGGCTGGGACTTTCGCCCGAGTGGTGGGCGACGGCCTCATCACCCTTGTTGGATACTATGGCACACATCTAGTTCTCAACCTTACAATGATTCCGGTGATAGTAAGCGTCCTAGTTTCTTTGCTAGCCACGCGGTGGGTGTACTATGCATTGTACTAGCAATGTCTGCTACGTACGCGGTCTTCAGTCTCGTTGTAGATAGATTTAGCTTTAGAATATGCATGCATTGTATGCATCTGTGCTGCTCTTCAAAGCTAGTTGTCTGGTTAACGGATCTGTCGAAACGGGGTCAAAGATTCCCCATAGCACACGTTGCAGTGCGGGTCGCCCAACGGTCATAAGTTTGAAACCACGTTTTCAGGAAATGCGAAAGGGGGCCGGGCGGGACTTGCTGAACGCCATCCACTTTCACAACCGTATTTCTACCCAGCCCGTTCCCTCCTCTCCCGTGACCCGTCCCGCCTGACAGACGCAAAAGATTCGCCCCTACGGGCAGCATGACTTTCTGCCGAATTTCAATTCCTCGTACGGCAAAGGGTATCCACGCATCGCCTCGCCTTTCCCGTGACGCGAATCCAGCCAGCCCAAACTGCCCTCCATCGTCCATGACTCTCCAAATCTCTGCAAAGAAGTTTCACCGTACCGTAAAGGACTCTACCGTACAGCATTCCTTCCATTTTGTTCCTTGGGACATCCCCTCCACTTTCGCTCACATCATCAGACACAGCTCATTCTAAAACTTGTGCATTTCGGAAGCGGCATCAGACTCAGCTCACAACTCCTGAGGACATTGCTGATTGCTGCAGGTAGCTTACTAGTTGATGTAGGCATAATAATCAGTGTCGAGGCAACTTACAGACCGGTTTTTAATTTTATTTTTTTCTTCGTGGAGCGTGCGTCGGTTGTCAGTAAAATAACGACTGACTGTCTCCCTCAAAGGGGTCACCATGGTGAACAATCCGTCCTCGGTTTCGGCCGTGGGAGCATGGACCATGAACGTGGTTAGCTCCGTCGGGATCATCATGATCAACAAACAAGTCATGTCAGGATATGGCTTCAGATTTGGTATGTCTCAAGAACAACTTTTCAGGGACCGGCTAAACTCTTATACAGACCAGTGTAGCCAGTCTCCTCGAGGCGTAGTAGCAGCGTGATTTTCTGGGCTACAACGTGCAATAACACTCGATACGCAATACACACGTGAAGAGATCTGACGAATATAAACTTTCTTCACGGGCGACTGACAGAACTATCACTAATCTCTTGTGTATTCGCGTTCGTTTGGTCCGTGCAGCTTCGACGTTGACGGGTCTGCATTTCGCCGTGACGGCTCTGGTCGGGATGGCGTCAGCTGCGCTGGGATACCTGAACAGCAAGAACACGGTTCCGCTGTGGGAGCTGATTTGGTTCTCCATTGTTGCGAATCTCTCCATCGTCGCCATGAATCTCAGCCTTATGCTCAACACCGTCGGATTCTACCAGGTCGGGTCAACATGGCGACATGGCTTTGATTACGGCATGAAAGCACTCATTTTTCGAGTGCAGGCAGAGCAGCTAAGAGTCTGTTGTCAATTCAAAGAACCCTGTCAGTCGCATGGTTTCTGTTCATAGCGTTTTTATCTGTTTCATCTCGTCCTCCTCCTTTCCCTCTCAGATTGCCAAGCTGAGCATCATTCCAGTGGTCTGCTTCTTCGAGGCTCTCCTCCATGCTAAGTCCTACTCCCGGGAGGTCAAGTTCTCCGTGGCCGTGGTCATGGTTGGCGTGGGTGTGTGCACCGTCACTGACATCAACATGAACGCCTTCGGCTTCATCGCCGCCACTGTCGCCGTCATCAGCACGTCGCTCCAGCAGATCGTGAGTGCCTTCGTTCTCGTGTGTGCTTCAATCCATCCTTCTCTTCTCGCTCCAATTCTCTCGGCACACTCGCTGATACACTCCTCTCGGCTTCATTGCCACTCCACTTCTCTTTGTTCCCTCGCCGCTGCTGTCGCCGTCGTCAGAACGTCGTTCCAGCAGACTGTGCGTGTTGCTTGACCTTGTCGTGAAGGGGCCGACGCCATTCCCTTAAGCGTCTGATGTCCGCCATTTTCCTCTGACCTCAAAACCTCGACTTCACGAAGCTCCTGCGTCTCTTTTCTGTTCCCGTTCCTCTCTCTCCATCCGTAGTGCCCATCACTCTTCCCTCTCATCCCTCTCTTTATCTCGTTCGACGTGCCTCAACGATATTCCCGTGCCGTCTTTCTCTCCCTTTCCCGTTAGCAGTTCACTGGATCCGCGCAGTTCAAGCTGCTACTTTAGAGTGCGCAAAACAATGTTTCCTTTCATCCCCCTCTCTCGTTCTGCAGTTCATCGGGTCGCTGCAGACCAAGTACAGCATAGGCTCCTTCGACCTGCTCAGCCAAACGGCTCCCATTCAGGCTGCGCTGCTCCTGCTGCTCGGCCCCGTTATTGACTACTTCCTTATCTCGCAATCCATTTTGAAATACCAACTCACATGGGTCTCCGCGGTGAGTTCTTCTTTGACGCTGTAGATGGTTTAATACCTAGTCAAAATTACAGAGCTGTTGTGTGTTATTGGGACATTTCTGTGTGGTGCTTTTTCCATTGCTTGACATTTTCAGCTCTATTTTCCATGCAGATTTTCATCGGCCTCTCATGCTTCTTTGCGGTCTTCTGCAATCTCAGCCAGTACCTCTGCATTGGAAAGTTCTCAGCGACGTCCTTCCAGGTCTTGGGTCACATGAAAACTGTCCTGGTTCTTGCCATGGGCTTCCTCATCTTCAGCTCTCCGATAACTCTGAAGAATGTGATGGGCATGCTGATGGCCGTGGTGGGAATGGTTTTATACAGCTGGGCTGTTGAGAAGGGCAAGAAAGAGAAGGAAGCAAGGGACAAGCTCCTGAGATCTCCGGTGGTGTCTGCTGCTCTTCCGACCAAATTGCCTGATGAGGGGATGGAGAATGGTGAAAAGTTGGCACTTCTCTCTAGCAATGATGATGTCGAAGCTGGAAGGCAAGGCTAAATGTATCTCCGCTAGCCATTGCTTCTCAGGTTGATGTGTGCCATCTACAATAAATTATGCATCTAGTATAGAACTCCCATGATTTGTTGATTAGCAGTTTTGTTTTAGTCGAGATATTGCAATATCGGAACTCCAACGCCCATTTGCCTTGTCCGTCGCCACCACCAACCGGATCTGAGATGGATCTGCTACCCCCGAGCTTACTCCTAGCCTTAGCCAGCGCTTGTCAGACATATCGCCGCCTGGGCGCGTTCCCCCTCTTCGACAACGCGAATCTGCCATGCTGGTTTATAGGTAAGCTCTGGATCTTGGTAGCTGTTTTTGTTGTGAAAAGAACTAGGCAAGAATGATGCATTGAATGGAAGAATTGGGTACAAGTAGCAAACCCTAGTTGGGGTTGTACCCCATATTGGCTACCCCACTACAGCCTACAAACATAATACAGTTTAACACACCCCCATAGGCAAAGTGGGGGAGAACAAAGGGTCACAAGACCAGTCCAGCAAAGTCGACAAGCTCAGCGACCAGGGCAGACGCAGCAGCAGACTCAAACGACGGGTCAGTGACAACAGTGGCGAGAAGACGCGTAACAGTAGGGTGGGCAGCACGACCCTGAGTCTGACAGTGTTCGTGCTGCCCACCCTACTGTTACGCGTCTTCTCGCCACTGTTGTCACTGACCCGTCGTTTGAGTCTGCTGCTGCGTCTGCCCTGGTCGCTGAGCTTGTCGACTTTGCTGCTGCCTGTCGTCTAGACTACGCCGCCAGTCTTGTTGCCGGGTCTGAGTCTGTCTGTCCTCCGTCCGTCGGGGGTGAGTGTGCTCTTGGCACGGACGTCCTTGAGGACAGGCAGGAGGACTTTGACTCTCTTGCGGCTGCTGTACCTCATCTCGTGGCCTGGTTGCTTGCCCCTGAGGGAGACCCGGATGCTCTAGACCTTCTCCCCCACCCCGAAGATGACCACTCTTCGGGTTCTGCTACACGTTGCTGCTCAGCGTGACTACGAGCTTCACTCTCTTGACTTCAGCACAGCGTTCCTGCAGGGCAGCCTGCACGAGGAGATCTGGCTGCGCCGCCCACCTGGCTGACACGTCACTGCCGCCGTTCTACATTCTCGTGTACGTCGACGACTTGGTCTTTGCTACTGCTGACACTGAGGCACTCGCTCGTGTGAAGTCGGAGCTGCAGAAGAGACACACCTGCACTGACCTGGGTGAACTGCGTAGCTACCTTGGCTTGCAGATCACCCGGGACAGAGCTCGCCGCACCATCACCCTGACTCAGTCACACATGGTGCAGCAGGTCCTTCAGCGCTTCGGCTTCCAGTTCTCCTCACCACAGGCCACACCTCTGGCTACCAGCCGCTCGCTCTCAGCTCCACCTTCGGACGAGTCCGTAGAGCCGAGTGGCCCGTACCCAGAGCTTGTAGGCTGCCTCATGTACCTGATGACTTGCACGCGACCTGACCTCGCGTACCCACTTAGCATCCTTGCTCGTTACGTTGCGCCTGGGAGACACAGGCGAGAGCACTGGGAGGCTGCTAAGAGGGTGCTGCGTTACTTGTGCAGTACATCAGGCATGGGGCTGGTGCTTGGAGGACGCGACAGAGTTGTCCTCACTGGTCACTCGGACGCTTCTTGGGTGGACGACCTGGCTACGCAGCGGTCGTCACAGGGTTACACCTTCAGCCTTGGCTCTGGTTCTGTCTCGTGGCGGTCCACCCGCTCTTCTTCTGTTCTCAGCTCCAATTGTGAGGCTGAGATCTACGCCACAGCCATGGCTGCACAGGAGTTACGCTGGCTCACCTACCTGCTGACTGACTTGGGAGAGCGGCCTAGTTCTCCTCCAGTTCTGTACGGTGACAACAAGGCGGCCCTTGCCTTGTGTCAGGAGCACAGACTGGAGCACAGGACGAAGCACATTGCTCTTCGCTACTTTCTTGCTCGAGAGCTTCAGCAGCGCGGTCAGCTTCGGCTTGTGTACGTGGACTCGAAGGCCAACACTGCTGATATCTTCACCAAGGCGCTCCCGTCTAGTGATCATCAGCGGCACTGTACTTCTTTAGGCCTTGTGTCCACTTTTCCTCATTTGCTTACTGCTTGACTTTCTTTGTACTGTACTTTATATATATCTTGCTGCTTGTCCTGTTCTATATCTAGCACTGCATGTGAACTGGCCTTGTGGCCTTTGCTTGTGCTCGGAGTGTGGTGACGTTGTGATCCACCCTGGGCTTTGCTTTGCTTTGCTGGACTGGTCTTGTGACCCTTTGTTCTCCCCCACTTTGCCTATGGGGGTGTGTTAAACTGTATTATGTTTGTAGGCTGTAGTGGGGTAGCCAATATGGGGTACAACCCCAACTAGGGTTTGCTACTTGTACCCAATTCTTCCATTCAATGCATCATTCTTGCCTAGTTCGTGGGTTCGTGGAAGAATTGGGTACAAGTAGCAAACCCTAGTTGGGGTTGTACCCCATATTGGCTACCCCACTACAGCCTACAAACATAATACAGTTTAACAGTTTTTCCTTTTTTCGCCTTGCTGCCCCCACTGTTCCTGCACCTATACAGGCCCACCCCGCTGTACAACTCAACCATCGCGGAAAGGACACCATCTGCGCTCTTTCTCTCGAGTCTACCCCAACCTGCGATTTCTCCAATCTCCACTTCGGGGCCACGTAACCAGATCCAGCGTCTCGTCAAGTGTCTTCGCCACCTCTCACAGGTAAGTTTCCCTTCCACCTGCCCTGTTTTCGATTTCTTTGTTCGTGTTTCGTTTTTCACCTTTCTGGCTCCTGTCTTCCATTTCATTTTTGCTGGTTCTTCCGTGCGGGGCTGCCCTGGTCTCCTTCTACCTTCTCGGTTTCTGCACCCCCCCCCCTCCAACTGATCGCCCCCCTCCGTGCCTTGTTTCAGCGCCAGATTCCCTTTGTTCGCCTTTCCCCTCCTGGAACAATCTCGAACCTCTTCCCTGCACCACACCTCGTCACCCTGTTCCGTTGAGCTGCACGACTACCTCCCTTCGTTCTCACGGCTGCTTTGGTTGCTGTGTGGTCGGCTTTCTCTTGTTCTGGCATCGTGATAACTTCAACGTCTCTCCTTCTCGTTACTACCACGTTGAATCTTCGTTTTCTCCCTGGAACATACCTAAATGCTTCTTGCGCGACTCGGGCTGCCGCTTAGGCTGCCAGTCGTTTTTACGGGACTGCAATGGCCCTCGCCTATGCTTCCCCCCCTTACTGCCATCACACGCCCGGATCTACCGTTATTTCACGCTTTTGACGATTCAGATCCCTGTAATACTCGTCCCAACCGTTCCCATCCATGGCTGCTGGCCTCCCACTCAACCTTTACACCGACTTCTCCCGATGCGCCTCTCTTCCCACGCCGCGACGCCACTTCCGACTGCTCTTCGTGTCTCCTCCTCCTCCCCTGGCTTGGGCGCGATATCACCATCCTTCCTCCTATATTTCAATGTTCAGGATCTCTTATTTTTCATCCCTCCAACTGCTTCCATGGCCTCCCCCCTCTACTCTATGGACCACGCTATGGCTGACGACGCTCCCGCTGCCGATGGTGAGGAGTTCCTCCTTGACGAGACTACGGAGGAAATCCACCTTTCGGAGCTCGAGACCTCCAACCTCCCCGCTGCTAAGAAGGCATGCGTTAATATGAGCAATGATACCTCTTCGGGCCCCTCTGCTGCTGGCTCGGCTTCGCCCTCCCGAGCTGCAGCGTGCTCCTACCCTGGTTCCCACTCTCCCGAGTGGATCTTCGGCTGCCTTGGGGAATTCTGCTCCCCTGCCCCGCCTCGCACCTACTGCTACGGTCGCAGCTCCTCCCGAGCAGCAGATTTCTCCGCTGGCTGGCTCTGCTGCTGGGCCGATCCTGCTGGCAACCCCGGGCATGCAGGCCCCCCCTCGCGCCCTTCGCCGCCCCCGTCTGGCGCAGGCTGGCCCCGCCCTGCTGCCTCGCCGCCGTCGCGTCGTTGTCACTCTGCTCCTCCCGGAGGCCGGGGCTGATGCGAATCGGGTGGACATCTTGCTCCGCCTTGGCGCGATGCTGAAAGGTCACATGTTCTCCAGCGGTACGATTCCCTCCTATGATGCCACCTCCGGGGAGGTTCTCCGGGTGCCCCGTCGCTCCTACGCGCGGCTGCTCTTCTCCTGGCCTTCTGCTGATGACGCGGTCTCTTTTCGCAATCTCTTTCCGCTCACGCTCAAGCTGGCGAATTCTCGTTCGGTCCTGCTCAAAGTTTACGAAGACCCCAACGCTGGGTTTACTGCTGCTAAGGCTGCTGGCGCCACCACCCTCTCCATCCGCAACGTTCCCACCGGTTATGAGCCGGAGGATATCAAGTCCTATACCCTCGCGGCTACCACGGATGACGGTCTGCCGTGGCTGAACGATCTCCAGCACCTCCACCGGGTGAAGGACCCGTATGAAGGGGTGGTGTATACTATCCTCGATGGTATCCCGATCCCCTCTGCTGATGACCCTAACTTCCAGCGCATTCCGGCTGCCATCTTCCTGGAAGAGGGTGGCCCTCCTATGCTACTGAATTTCTCGTCGCATGTGTGCCTCTTCTGCGCCAACAATCACCGCGATGCGGACCACGCTTCCTTCGCGGCACACCGCAGGCAGCGCATCACCAATAGGCACGTGATTTCCGTTGCGCAGCTCCAGCAGACCAACGGTACGCAGCTCGCCTCCCTGTGTACTCTGATTGTCCTCTCCGCTGGTTGTTTCTTTCCTCTTTGGTCTAGTTCCCCACTAGCCAAGTACCCCTCTTTCTGTCCACTGCTTATATGCTGGTCTGTCCGCACTCCGACATCCACCTCTATCCCCCAGTTACCTCCCTCCCCTTGTGTTTTTCTGCTGGACCATCTACCCCCTGCTGTCCTGTTGCACCTCACCCTTCTCTGGCCATGTGTCTACCTTCCTCCTTGCGGCTTCTGCTATCTACAAACTTCACCATCTCCCTCTGTCTCGCACATGCTGATGCGCCTCCCATTGTCTCCCCAGCTGCCCCCTGACCAAACACTCCGTTTTTATCAGGGCAGCTGCTCCTGGCGGGAGGATCCCCCTCTTAACCAACCCATTCTGCTGCCCATTTTACACTTCCCTGCCCTTACTCTGATTATCTTTTCAGACATGTTTTATCAGGCTGATTCCATGCCGGTTTTTCTACTCAACTACTCTTGTGCTCCCACAACCCCCCTTCCTTCCCTACCCCCCTTTTTTTACCCCCCCGCCCTGCCCATCCTCCTCTCACCCGGTGCTCCTCGGTCTCTCACAACGTTTCTGTTACGATATACCCATGGACTTCCCTCAACATGCCTGTCCTTGCCCGGCTCAGGTACCATTCGCCCCCTCCATGCTCCTGGTCGCACCTATGTATTTCTGCCCATACCCCGGCCCTATGTGACCGTTTCACTCCCTTTTCCTCCTTCCCCTCCCCCATTCCTCCGACTTCCCGCTCTCCCTGTCCCACGCTCTGCCCGTTTGACCCTAGTTTGGTGTTCTTGCCTTACCATTTTTCCTCTGATATGCTGCCTGCCCTTTTCCACCTGCACTCAGCACGCTACAGTATGGCACCCTGGTTTCTACCATCTGCTCATCCTTCACCGCTGCCTCTCGTATGTTTGGCTTCCACACCCCCCCTTGGGCTACCCCTTCCCTTCCAGCCTGTCTGTACTCACTTTCACGCCTCCTCACGAACTGTTTCGTTGTTACCCTTTCCTACGACCAGGCCAGATTCTTGGATCCCATGCTGCCCCTACGGCGATCCGCAACGACCCTGGGCTTCTGCTCATCGGACTGGACTCAGAGATGGAGACTTGGACTTGCGTGCTGTGCGAATTCCAGTGTGGCCACGCACTCGACAGTGCGATGGCCCACATCGCTTCCCCCACCCATTCGGCTCGCCTGCGAGCCACCGCTCATCTCCCGGCTGCCAAGGACAAGTACAGCACCTGGCGTGCTATGACGCTGCTCGAGACACCGCGTATCGCAGAGTTCCTGCGTGCCTAGCATCTCAGGCTGCGACACTTATGCTACACCTTCTTAATCGATGTGGCTGCCTATGCTTCCTGCTGTCTTTCTCGTCGCTTTCGCTTGTCCCACCTATATATAATAATGCGAATCAGGGGTACTGGCTTGCCTCTCGCACTTATCCCTTCTTTTCTTGCGCATCAATTTACTACCCCTGTGGATCCGTGTTCTTTCGAATGCGGGGGGTCCCTACATCTATTAAATGAGAACCTACATCCGTTTGCTAACACTCAACGTTAATGGTATCAACCATGCATACAAAATGAACTGCTTAAAACAATGGATTTCTTCCTACTTTGTTAAAGTTGATATCCTTGTCCTTGTTGACACACGTTTGACTTCAAATATCCCTAGACTCACACTCACTTTTCGCCCCAAGGAAGCCGCTCATGCACCCTCCTTCACTACTTCAATACACCCAGCACCTGGTGGCATCTTTGTCCTAATCTTTAACAAGGCTATCACCATCTCCTCACATGCACCTTCTCTTGACGGTAGACTCCTCTCGGTCCACCTGAACTATCTACATGAGCAAATGCGCCTAATCGCAATCTATGCCCCTACAGCTACTATCGCTCGTCGAATGTGGTGGCGGTCCACTCTCCCCTCTGCCCTTGAAGTCCCATCGTCGGCCGCCTTTACTATCCTCGCAGGCGATTTTAACTCGGTTGACTGTGCACTTGATCGCAATCGTCTGCTGCATGGGCATGAGCGCAGTGAAGCAACCTTGTTTTCCAACCTCATGGCGCAGCACTCCCTCGCCGACTCATTTCGTCTTCTTCACCCCAATGTAACGCTCTTCTCTTTTTTTAGTCGCCAACGATCCACTGCCTCCCCTTCATCACCCCCTCCAGCAGCCCGCTTGGATCGTATCTATATCTCCCGCACTGCGCAACACCGTCTCTCTGCCACTCCTTATATTCTCACTCCCTCTGGTGTTTCGGATCATGCCCTGGCCCCACTTTGTTCCCTCCTGTTTGATAATACAATGATCGCTCCAAGGCCTTGGCGCCTTAGTACGTCCCTCCTACACCGACCCGCTCTCCCTCGCATCATTGATGATTACCTTAGTCTCCTCCCCCCCTCTCCCTCCCCTATCGACTGGGATCTGTGGAAATTCAGCCTCTGCCTCACCCTCAAACGATTCTCTTCCCACGAGCGACAACGCGTCTCTAAAACCATGGACCACCTACGCCAACTGGTCTGCACCTTGCAGCTCCAAGTAGCTACTCAATCATCTGTCCCCTCGGTTACAAACTCTCTCATACGCGCCAAACAGCAACTAGCTTCATATGAGGCTTCGAAAACGGCAGAAGTGGCCCTCAAAGCGAAACTCAAAGTTGAAAGTCATAGGGAAATGGGGCTCTCATCCCTGCTAGTCGGTCTTGGCTCACGCTCCAAAGCCTCTCTCATTTCGTCCATCACTATGCCAAACGGACAAGCCACCACGGATCTACCCACGATGACCATGATCTGTACCAATTTTTTTAAATCCCTCTATAGTGGACGAACCTGTATATCGAGGGATGCTTCCTTTTGGCAACACATTTCCCGTACGCATCTAACCTCCTCTCTTATCGCCCACCTTGCTGCTCCCATCTCTCTGCACAAGGTTGGAAAAGCCATCTCTCAGCTTGCACGAGGGAAAACCCCAGGCGCTGATGGCCTCCCGGGCAAACTCTACAAACACTACAACCCCAGATTTGCCCCAGCCTTCCACGCTCTATTCAACCCAACGGTTCCGTTGACCTCCCTCCCCCCTTCCATGCTTCGAGGCCGCACAGTACTCATTCCAAAAAAAGGAGACTCCTCCCGGCCAGATAACCTTCGGCCAATCACCCTCATGAACGCTGACTATAGAATCCTCGCGCTGTGTCTTGCTAACAGGCTCCAAAAAGCCCTTCCGCGTATGATTCACCCTTCGCAAACGGCGTTCATTCAGCACCGGAAAATCGAGGATACCATCAATGATACACTTGACATTATGGACTGGGCCTTGTTCACCAATGCACCCCTCCTAATACTCACTGTCGACCTTCGTAAGGCCTATGATTCTGTGGATCGTCAATTCCTTCTGCAATGCCTTGCACATTTGGGTGTTCCTGAAACTTTTATCCATTGGGTTCGCCTTATGCACTCCGGCACATCCACCTGCATCTCAGTCAATAACAACGAGGGCCCTGTCTTCCCAGTAAACACGGGCGTTCGGCAAGGCTGCCCACTAGCACCACTCCTGTTTATCTGTATGATCGAAAATTTTCACCGTTACACTTCTCTCTACCTCCCTGGTTTTGCCCTTTCTCCCACGCAACGTCGTCTGATGGCCTGTTACGCTGACGATATCACCTTATTTCTTAATTCTAATGCCGAACTTGACATTTCTCTTGGCCTTCTCGCCCAGTTCGCCACTGTGTCGGGTGAATACCCCAACTGGGAAAAATGCTCAATCATACCTTTCAACGTCCCATCTTCTCACATCACTGCCTCAGGCCAAATCCCGATTCGCCTCCCACATGAAGCTGAACGTATACTGGGGATCTTCGTGGAACTTGGCTCCCCTGGGCTCACTACCTGGACCACAACCCTCTCTCGTGTATAACGCATTGCTAAATTTCTCGCCACTTTTCACGCCACTGCCACGTGCCGGAAATACCTCTGCTCGACATACCTTAATTCTGTTATTTCTTTCCCTGCTCGGTTTCAACCAGCTCCTACCGAGATTTGCAAAAATCTTGATCGTACAGTAAGTACTTTCCTTGGAACGTCAAAGTTTAAAGAACAAGGACGTACTCAGCAACAAATTTCCAAAAGAAACTTGTACAACCAGGTTAAGCATGGTGGCTTAGGGGCAACGGCCCCCTCCACCCTGATTCGGGCTCTTTCGATTCAACGTGCCCTCCGCCGTTTTGGTGTTTCCTCCGCTGAGTCGGTAGCTCGCACATGCATCCCTTTACCTTACGGACATCACGCTTTCCTTGCACACGAGGCCATTCTTCGTCCGGGTATTCTGCCCCCCTCCACCCCTCCGCGAATCCGTGACGAACTTTCTGCCTTCCTTTCTCTCAAGCCTACTGTTCATCCTCCTCGACTTGACCCACGCTGTATTCTCAATGAACCTATTGCCTTCAACCGATCTATCCTCAAACCCAACAATACCCCTTTCGGTACCCTTAAGGGAGAGCATTTTCTTCTATCTTTAGAAATAAGAGTAGGGCACATATTTCGTTCTACCTCCTCGGCTGCTCGTCCCATTTCTGACGAGGAATTTATTGAGCATTGTCCCCCCTCTGAGTACCCTGCTGGTCGTAGAATTCTTCACGAGATCATTGAAGCCATTCCCCGTGAGTGGAAACTTCTACTCTCCAACCCGCCTTCTCCCCAGGTGGCGGTCGGGGATTGGTTTATCCCAGCTAACGCCCCTTTTTCATTACCCTCCCTTGCCTTCGAAGTTGTTTCGTTCTCTCCACCCCGTCTGCTCACCGCACGTATCTTCCAAGTATCTATCGACTCCCTCATTCAAAAAGAAATGATTTGCATTTCCACATTTGACATTGCGCATGTAATGTGTGCTCATGTACAGGGTCGTCGGCTGTTTGGGCCTCTTCATGAGGGTGCAGGGCTCGGTGCGCGTCTGGAGATTCTCTCGGGGGGCACCCCCACACTCGCAGCCATCCGACGCCTTCTCTATCAGCGACAACCACTAGACCACGATACTCGGTGGACAGCAGCTCTCACTGGTCCTCCTCCTCCAGTTCTTCCTGACCTCTCTCATATCTTTCTTCGTGATCAACCGAGTCTTCAACGGGACGTACTCTTCCGCTTCTACATCCGCTCCCTCCCGAGAGGATCCCGCTTCACCTTTGCAGGTGATCGGGGTATCTGCCTCTCCTGTCGAACTGGCTCGTTGGAGACGCTCTCGCACCTCTTCTTTGAGTGCCCGGTAGCTGTCCCGGCAACCCAAGCTTTGCGATCAGTTGCTCGTCGCCACCTTGGAACTCACCTCTCCACAGAGCAAGTCTATTTTCCCCTTGCTTCAAGGGTTGGTCAAACTGTTCCTTGGAATCTCCTCGTTGGTGCTGTGGCAAAGGTTATCTGGAATAATCGGTGTGATAGGAGATATCGCGACGTGACATCCTCTTCGTTTGAAATCCTCCAGCTCATACTCGCTCAATTCCTCATCGCCTTCAAAATCTTCCTTTGGCGCTGTTCCAGACAATATGTCAAAAAGAAGCGTCGGGCAGCGGCTTGCATCTCCCGGGCCACAAAACTTCGCTTCATTGACATGTCGTTTGATGGCACGCCGCGCATTCATCCTGACTTACGAGCTTCATGGCTGCTCAATGATCCTTACCGACCTTCTTAATTATTTTCGAGCCATATGAACAGAGCAAACCTCTCCCCAGAGGCTGCCTTACGGGACAGTTGAATAGCGTAGGTTTTTTACGCACCTTCGCACAGGAGGTTGGTTTGTTTGCCATTTTCAATTTGCTTTGTTCATCTCTGTAACTGATTACGATCAATATACAACATTCAACCCATTTGCCTTGTCCATATGTCGTCGTGCCGAGCCTGCCCAGACGCCAACAGGTTGTCCATATGTCGTCGTGCCGAGCCTGCCCAGACGCCAACAGGTCCCGAGAGGCCTCCACGAGCCGTTGATGCGGTTTCTCTCCACCCCGCTTCGCGCCACACCAACTGCCAAAAGCAAGAAACCTTGGAACTGACGGATCGCAGCGATTGACCGAAGCGAACCGGACCGAACCGACTGACGACCCCCTGAGTGGATGTGATGTGAAGAACGTTGAATATTGAAATGAATTTGGGGAGCTTTTCACAGCCTGCCGACCTTCAGGGAATCTCGAAGGTGAACCTGCTTGTCTGTTAGCTCTCAGCCATTTCCAAGGCTTCGATATCGAAGACCTTGGTATCTTGGACCTTTATCAAGCATTTTATTGAGAGCAATAGCGACGCCGAGTGTCAGCACCGGGCACCGGGCTTGACGTCGACAAGCAAGGAGGCTGATTTGTGCAGATCTGGCTATTAGGTTTAGGCGGCAACCGAGTCGAGCAGAAGTTACATTTGTTTAGACTGTGTGCTGTAGTGGTTGCTGCCGGCTGTTAGGGTTAACACCTTGCCGTGCGGCGTACTTCCGTTGAATTCATTACATCAGAAGTAGTTATCAAGATGGTTAACAATCCAGCAGCCGTTTCGGCCGTAGGAGCATGGACCATGAATGTAGTCAGCTCAGTCGGCATCATCATGGTCAACAAACAAGTCATGTCGGGCTATGGCTTCAAATTCGGTAAGTAACTTTTTTACGTAAGTGTATGCAATCAGCTGAGAGTATCAACTTATACGTAATTCATACTGATCACGTCCGCTGAAGGTTAAAAAAAAAAAAAAGGAAAACAAAACAAAACAAAACAAAAAAAAAAAAAAAAAGAACAAAATTGCCGAAGCTGGATCCTTCTGTACCTGTTTCAATCACACAAGCGATCAGAGTATGATGAAGCCTCAATGTCTTCTTCTGTCAACTACCGTTTCAGCTTGCACATTGACGGGGTTTCATTTCGCGGTCACGGCGTTAGTCGGCATGGCATCAGCTGCAGTGGGTTATATTTCAAGCAAAGCCACCGTGCCGTTCTTGGAGCTCGCCTGGTTCTCCATCGTTGCAAATCTCTCCATTGTTTCCATGAATCTCAGCCTCATGCTTAACACTGTTGGCTTCTACCAGGTACGAACAGTATTTGCAGATGAAATGTCATTTGTTGGTTAAATCAGGCTACGCACTGGCGTTGTTACATCAGATTAAGCCCATCTAACTGCTTCAAGAAGCACTATTCAGAGCTGTTGATTACCATCTCTAATTCCATCATTCCTAATCACATTTAATGTGTCATTCAACAGATTGCGAAACTCAGTATCATACCGACCGTGTGTCTCTTTGAAGCGTTGCTCCACTCCAAGGCTTATTCTCGAGAAGTAAAATTCTCTGTGGCCGTTGTGATGGTGGGAGTGGGAGTCTGTACCGTCACTGACGTCAGCATGAACCTTATGGGTTTTCTCGCTGCTCTTGTCGCCGTCATCAGCACTTCCCTACAGCAAATTGTGAGTTATAACCATTGTCCCATCCTCTCCTCATCCACACGCATGTCTGCTTTCAGTATTTGAAACCAGCAGGAAATGCATGTGTGTATCCCACTTGCAATACTTGTGTTTGTGCAACTCACGTGCTCATAGTGTCTATGATCACGCCTTGCACGTTTTCTCTTGTCCTTTTTCTTCTTCTGCCTTTTGGCTGATCCATTCTCAGTTCATCGGGTCTCTTCAAACCAAGTATAACATTGGATCCTTTGACCTGCTCAGCCAAACTGCACCCATTCAAGCAGCATCCCTGGTGGTGCTTGGCCCCTTTGTTGACTACTTCGTTACGAAGCTTAACATTATGGACTTCACCCTTACTGCAGGATGCACAGTGAGTTCAATTTAACACTGTTTCTCTTCCCCCATCCTATCCAGCACTGCCTTTCCCAAAGTGATCAGCACTGTCATCCTGCTTGATCTCATCTAACTTTCTTGGTCCATCCTGAAATGTATTTCCTGCCTGAATCAGCATTCCTTGAATTGATCCTGCTCATTTTCCGCTCCTCCTTAGAATTAACATTCACTGCACATATACTCCCCCCTGAACCCCTGCAGGCTTTCATAATCCTTTCCTGCTTGCTCGCTGTTGTCTGCAACCTCAGCCAGTACCTCTGCATTGGAAAGTTCTCCGCAACATCGTTCCAAGTCCTGGGCCACATGAAGACAGTCCTTGTCCTTGTCCTGGGCTTTGTATTGTTCAGCTCTCCAATCACCATCAAGAATGTGATGGGCATGCTCGTGGCTGTAGTAGGAATGGTGCTGTATAGCTGGGCTGTGGAGAAGGGCAAGAAGGAAAAGGAAGGCAAGGAGACTGGAATGGTCAAGGTGGGCCAACCTTCCCCTAGAGGATCGGAGGGGAATGCGAGTGGCGGTGAAGAGGAGAGAGCAGGTCTGCTTTCGACAGGTAGGGCTGGAGAGGAGGATTTGGAATCTGGTAAGCAAGGTTGAAACCCGGAATGGCAGAACATACTGGTTCATGCTCCAAACAGCCCAACCCAGTTGCCCCATTCTTTTTTTTTTTTTACTCCTATGATTCAGTTGCCTTAGCTGGAAGTGCTTTACCTGTGAGCGTATACCTCTTATGGCACATATGTTGCAGCCTGCTGCGCTGGATGTATATTACACTATCAAGTTCCTATCACCTAAAAGAGACACAGTTCCATGTCACAACCTTTGTATATGGAAGTGCATCAACTAGACACTAACAGTACATGAAGAGGCATTTTTGTAATTGCCCGTTTCAATTGGTCTAACGCAACGCATGGCAATGTTTGACTCGCAAGAATGTTTTAGACAATGTCAATCTCAGCAGTATCTGCTCATCGAGGCTCCTTTCGCGTACAACCAGATGACAACAGCAAGTTTCTGCGAAAAGCCCAGTGCGATGGCGATGGTGCTACCCACGGGCAGCTACCCGAACAAATGAACTCATCGTGCCAGCTTGTGGGATAATTTAGAGCTTAACGTACTTACGTAAGAGTATTTTCTTATTTCCTGTCGTATACCCAACATTTTCGCCAAAATGCCTCAAGAAACGCACTGCTACATGAGAGCCGAGAGGCGATCGGGAGTATTTTCCACTTTGCCTCTTTCGAGAATCCTTCCACCTCAACAACCCAACCGACATCACTGGTCGTCGCTGACAGAGCTTGTGCGAGCTGCGTGCTCGTGTGGGCACGCGGGATGTCTCCAATCACGGGTCACACGATGAGGCGCGCGACTCTGGCAAAGCGCTCCACAAGGGTGGTCTGGTTCGGTTCGGCTGGTTTGAAACGGGATAGTCATGGGTTCGATCAAAGACAGCCTAGAGAGTAAATCGTAGCTCGAGTTCATTTTACAGCTCTGATTGAGATTACTGTAGTTGTATTATTGCCTGGCTGGCATTCCCCTTGGTTTCTTCTCATCCCAGATTCCCAGCTTATTTTCCAAGCTTCCCTTCCGAGCTTGTGTTCCAAGCAAGCATTTTTCGCTGACGCAACCTTCTATTCCACGAGTGCCTTTTGCAGCTTTTCTTCCAAGCGTATGTTCGTGGCCTGCTGTTCTGCGCGTCCCTCGCGCCATGCTTTGCTGTCAAATCTCGTGTGGCCGCTCTTGTCATTCGGAACCGGAATCCTCACCCGCGTCTTTCGCAGCAGAAGTTATCCTTTTCCCGTTGGCCTTCAGGAACTTCGACCACCCAGCCCACTGCTTATTCCCGAAGCTTGCTGCTTGCAAACTGCTAGGTAACCGCTGCCTAGGTCAGCGCTTCCCCTCCAAGCTGCATGCAGCCCAGCCCATCTTTCCAACGCACGCCTGAAACGCATATACCGGAAGGTTCGGAAACTAGGTCCGGCGTTAGGTACCGAAGTGAGTCAGATTAGAAAATACTAGTAGACGCATCGCCAGGCCTTTCCACGGCCATGGCTGCTCCTATGAAATTCGATTACGCGGAGATTCCAGTACCCGATATGGAGGACATCGATATGAGGTTTATAGACACGCTTCCCGAACTGCGCGGAGTAGCCGCGCCGGCGGACGATATCCATCGCGCGATCGCGTTTCTTGACGCGGACGAGGCGGCTTTAAGAGGAGCAATGACGGGGACAGGGATCCCGGGAATGGCGGGTTGCCTGACAGGCGACGCGGATCTCTCATCGGACGGCCTGGATTTCATCCCGGACGGATCTATTACCACTCCTGATGGAAGCAGCGTCGGCGGCGGCGGCGGAGGCGGAGGTTATTGCGCGGAAAACGGGCTCCAATCTGCTGGGAGCGGAAATATTATGGCTTGCGGGGACGAGCAAGTTTCCCGCCAATATTTTCTACAGCAGCATCAGCTTCAGATGCTGCAGCAGCAGCTTCAGAAGCAGCAGCAGCCACATCAGCATCAGCAGCAGCAGCAACCGGTCCTTATTCAGCAGCAACAACATAACGACAACCACCAAGACCTATCACCAGCGACCACGTGGCAGGGAGGCTCGCCGCCAACCACGGTTTCGACCGTAGTTAACCACGTGTCCGGCACGTTCACGGGCAGCAACTTCAACAATGGCGGGAACTACAATAACGCGAACATGAATGGCGGCGGGGGCTTCAACGGCAGCGGCGGGCAGAACTGCACGTCGCTGGTCCCCGGCGGAATGTTCGAGGCGCCCCAAAACTCCCCCCACCTCGGCGGCGGCGGAAACCACCTGTCCGGCGGAAATCACCTTATCGGCGGAAGCCGCCTGAGCGTGGAGCAGGCGCTGCTGCTCAACATGTCGCGCACGGAGGCGGAGATGCGCAAAGTCGTCATGGAGCGCGACGTGCTCCGGGAGGAGGTCGCGCGCAACCAGGCGGCCATGCGCCAGCTCTCCGCGGACAAGTCCGCGCTAGAGGAGCGCGTGCGCGCACTGGAGAGCACCGTGCGCGGGCTCGAAACCCGCGCGCGCCAGCTCGCGGGGGACAAGGGGCAGCTCTCCTCCGAGCGCGCGCAACTTTCCGCGGAGCGCGCGGGGATCGAGTCGCTCGTCCGCGCCGCGAAGCAGGAGGCGTTCTCGCAGGCAGTGAGTCAGATCCACGTGGCGCTCAGCTGCGCGCCGATTCCGCGCGGAATCCGCTTCGCGCCCGTCGACGCGGAGGTTTTCCAGTACCTTTCGCGGAAGGTTCGCGGCGAGGTAGAAGACGTGGGTCTAGACCGCCTCCTAGTCCAGAGATTAAGACGCGTCGCGGACTGCGACGGACTAATCCCCGAAATCGAGCTCCTTAAGTTCCCCCGGCCGTGGCACCTCCCCGGATTAGACGTCTCCCCAGACGGCAAGGGCTTGACGGGCTTCTTTTTCGTCCGGCCGGAATGGCGGCCGAACGAGCGGCGCAGGCGGCGCGAAGCGGATATGGCGAAGTCCGACCCGAAGCCGCCGTGCTGGAAGGAGTCGTGCCAGCCCACGCCGTTCGCGGATCTTGCGCCGAGCCTTGGCCCTTCTGTGGGGGCGGGGGGAGTGTGCGCGGGCGGAGTGGGCGAAGTGGCGGGAGCGGGGATGGGAGGGACGCTTCTTTTCCGGCCCGAGCGCCGGATGTTTCGTTTCAAGCTGCCCGGGACGCGGGAGGGGCCGGCGGGGGAGAAGGAGAAGTGGAAGATGTATGAATACACTCTAAAATCGGACTTGGAAATGTATGAAGACAAGAGGAGCGGCTTTCCCGTGTGGGTGGTGTGTAAGGTGGTGAGAGAGGGGCCTATGACGAGGGAAGAGGAGGAAGAGGCGAAGGCGCGAGCCGCTGCTGCGGCGGCGGCGGCGGCTGCTGGCGGGGGGTCGAGCGGGAGCGGCGGGGGGAACCAGGGAGGCGGGGGAGGGGGAGCGGGAAGCGGAGGGGGAGGAGCGTATTCGGGGGGGAGCTCTGGGTCCGGGGGAGCGTTTGGGGGAGGAGGTGGTGGAAGCGGCGGGGAGAGCGGGTATCGGGGGAATGGGGGCGGAGGGTATGGGGGAGGAGGGGGGGGATACTCAGGTGGGGGGGTAGGAGGAGGGGGAAACGTGTGGTCGTTGCTGCCGTCTCTCCCGGAGCATCTGGTTCCGCCTGCGCTGAAGCTTGCGCCAGCAGCAGCACGCGGAGGCTCTCCCAAGAATTCTCCTGGCAAATCACCTGAGAAATCACCTGCGAATTCGCCTGGAAGAATCCCCCCTGTGATGCTCTCTCGCATGCAACTGCTGAACCAATGGCTCGCCGCTATGCCTCACCCTTCGTCCCAATCCCTTTCTGCCACGTCAGCGTCATCCCTCACAACAGCTTCACCTCAAGCAGGGGCATCACTTCCGTCCCTCCTGGCTGCCACGTCATCCTCGTCCACGTCAGCCATCCAGGTGACGTCAGCAACGGGACAGGTGTCATCCACGGTCCAAGTCACGTCGTCCGTGTCTGTAACTGCAGCAGGTTCGGGAGCTGCCGAGCCTGTCGCCGAGCCTCTGGCGATGCTGGCCATGGCTGCCGCCAAACGTCTCCTGGAGGATCGGCTGGTTCGGCACGTGGGGAACATCAGCGGAAGGAAGCTTCTTCTGCTGCCGGAGGTGGAGGGGCGAGAAGCAGTTGCTGCTGCTGCTCTTACCACCACCACTGCTGCCGCCACCGCTGCCCCCGCCGCTGCCACCGCCCCTGCTGTTTCTGCTGCTTCTGATGCTCCTACTGCTGGTGACAGAGTGGGGAATAGGGCCGGGATTGAGGAGAGCGGGGAGCAGCAGCGGCCCTATTGGCTGCGCCCGCCGTCTTGGGCCCGAGCCTTGCCTGATTCTTACTGGGATAGCCCTGAGGCAAGGGCGGAGGAGGAGGAGGTGGTGGGAGAGGAGGTGGAGGAAGGGGAGGAGGACGAGGAGGAGTGGGAGGATAGGGAGGAGGGAGAGGAGGGTGAGAATGAGGAGTTGTGTTTGAAAGCAGGAGGGGAGAGTGAGGTGGGGATGCTGGCTGCGGAAGTTTCCAAGAAGCTGAGTGAGCTGGTGGAGGCAGCAAGGAAGCTTTGGGGAAAGATGCAGGGATTCGCTCCTGTCGAGGCTGCCGTTTCCCGTGTCTTCAATCTGGTTACACGTGTTGCTGACGTGGCGCTAGCAGACGAGCCTGCCGCCCTGCTCTGGCTGCACGCAGTGGGCGGCGCGGTCAGTGATGAGCTGGCGCCAGGAATCTTCCTCGCAACTTCGCTGTCTGCCTCGCCACTGATGCTTTTAGTTAAGTTCCACGACTTGAGTGTGATTATAGAGGGCGGGATGAAAGCGGTGTGGAAGCAGGCTGTAAAGAGGTTGCCGAAGGCGCTTGTAGAGAGGATGAATGAGGAGGGGAGGAGGGAGGTGAGGGGATGGAGGAAGCATTGGAGGGAGGGGAGGTGGCAGTGGGAGTGAGTGAGGGAGTGCGGAAAGCACAGGAGGGATTGCTGGCGCTTGTGTTGGCGTTGGGAGGGGGGAGTGAAGGAGGGAAGGGAGGAGGGGAGGGATCACTGAAGCTAAAGGGGATTTCTGATACTGGGAAGATACAGCATCAGAAAGAAGCACCTCAGATTTCACCTGAAGCTGTGGAGTCATCTGTGGTTGGTGATTCTGAGGCACCTCCAGCTGCAGAGGCCGGGCAGAAGAAAGTTTTGTTTTCGATTGACGGCAGTGAGCTGGATGAGAACACCAAAGCGGCCAATCAGCTGAAGAGAGAGCTGATGAGCCTCTGCGAAAAGGGCAGCCGAAAAACTTTCGAGCTGCCTGGGAGCATGTCGAGCACCGTCATCGAGGTTTTCCGGGCAGTTGGGTTCGAGTATAACCTGCCCGACGTGCACGAACAGGTGAAGAAAGAAGCGCGCCTGAAAGGGGAGGCAAAGGCGCTTCAGTGGAGAGGAAAGGAAGGGAAGGAGGGGAAGGAGGGGAAGGAAGGGAAGGAGGGGAAGGGGGGGAAGGAAGGGAAGGAAGGAGAGGTTGGTTTGGAGGGGGAGATAAGTCAGCTGCAGGCGTTAAAGAAAGGACTTGATCTGGACTTGCAGCAGCTGGACGTTAAACCCAGTGTGCTGAGCAAGCTCGTGGAAGGTTCCTCGGTGGCGAGTGTGGCGGATGGCATGATTGCTGTGCTGCAGGCATGCAGCCGTGCACTCGAGGCCAGTGCTGCTGCTCCTGCTGCTGCTGGTGCTGGAGGTGCTGCTGATGGTGCTGGTGCTGATGGTGGTGATGATGGTGCTTGTGGTTCTTCTGGTACTGCTGGTTCTTCTGCTGCTGGTGCTGCCATCGCTCCCTCTTCTGTCCCCAATGATCGTCCTGCTCCTCATGATGGTGCTGCTGCTGACAGCACTGCACCTGCTGTGGCTGCTGTGGCTACTGTGGCTGCTGTTGATGCTGCTGATGATGCAGCGCCTGCACGTCCCTCCTGTGTGGTGTTCTCTCGAGACGAAATTCTCTCTGCCCTTCCCGGAGGCCTGGAAGGCTGCTCTGGTCGTGTAGATGCCTCCATGCGGTTACCACCCAACTCCGCTAAAGCTGTTCCACTACAGGATGTGACTGTAGAGGTGCTTGATCAAAACAGCAAGGCCAACCCCATGCTACAGCTGATAAAGGAGGCTGAAACCCTCTCCTCGCTCTCCCACCCCCACATCGTCCCTCTCCTCGGCTACTCCCTCGAATCCCCCTGCCTGGTTTACCCCCGGATTCCTCACCTCTCGCTTGCCGATCACCTGCCGTATGGTAACCGCGTGGCACGGTTACCGCCTCTCCCGTGGTTTGTCCGGGTGAGGGTTGCTTATGAGGTGTCTGCCGCGCTGCTGTTCCTGCACCAGCAGCAGCCGCACCCCGTGCTGCATCGGGATCTCCGGCCGGCAAACATCGTCCTGTTCTGGGAGGAGAAGGGCGGGCAGGAGAAGGATGGAAAGGTGGAGGGAGAGAGGGTGGCCAATCAAAGGGCCCCTTCTTGGTGGCCCAAGTTTCAGAGGGAGGGTGAGGCAAAGGCAGCAGCTGCTGCTGCACCGGCAGAGGTCTCCGGTTCGAATCCTGCTGGGCGCAGATTGGTGAGCAAGCTGGCTCGCGTTGGCTTCTCGGCTCTGAGCCAAAACCCAAGGACTGGGCGGGCGAGAGTGGAGGATGTGGTTTTCTTGGATCCGGAATATCCGAGAACTGAGGAGCTGGTCCCATCTTCTGACGTGTATGCGCTGGGAGTGGTGCTCATGCAGTTGCTGACTGGACGCAATGCCACGTCAGCACTGAGCGTGGTGACTGGCGTGATGGAGGGGAACAAGGGGCTGGAGGAAGTTTTGGATGAGGGGGCTGGTGGATGGCCTGCTGATGTGGCGAAGGAGGTGGCTGAGCTGGCAGCCAAGTGCACGGATATGAGGAGGTGCAAGAGACCCAGCTTGGTTGGTGAAGTGGTGCCTGTGCTGACAAAGATGCATGCTCTGGCACTGGAGGTTGAGAACAAATGATGCTAAAGTACCTTGTGTTTCTCATTTTCTTGCTTGTAATAATTGTTCCCACTATGTACCCTACTACTCTTAGTGAACAATAAAGGAGTTCCTTTTTGAAGTAGTTAAGGTTTACACACGCTCAGAAGAAGCACCACTGCTGATATTTTCCTTCGCAACCTCGCACGTAACGCGTATGTCCTCAGGACTGTCAGAACGGTTCTGCTTCCCGCCAAAATACCCAACCTCCGCTCCCTCGATTTCTCCGTTTCAATTTCTCCCTCCCCCCTGCACCAGGCACTCGAGTGTTGTCATCTGGTGAGTCAGTGTGACTGGTTGGGTATTTTAGAAGACAGCGCCAGAAGCGATTCCTTTCATCCATCCAGAAGCACTGCCTATTAGTTTGTGCACATCCAGAAGCGTTCCCCGAATCCCGCTTAGTGATGACAGCCATTTCTCGTACATTGTAGTGCGCGATTGTCTACGGCAGACGCGAGTGAATAGCCCACTGTTTTCCAGAATGCACCGTAGTTTTCGTAATACGCGATCAACTGCGACTAGAGCGGGAGTGTGACGGTAGCAACCTTAAGCGACGATGCTTCCCTTATGGACTGAGTTACGCACGACCACGAACAGCGTCGGCGTTATTGTCATCGCGTGTCTGCTACTTATAGGAGCATAGCAGACATCGGCGCCGTGCTAAGCCACTGAAATCCTACCCCCCCCCCCCCCCCCCCCCCCCCCCCCAACCCCGTTGCGAGTCCATCGTTCCTCACAACGTAGCAGGAATTGCGTGTGACGAAACCCCCAGCATGTGGTTACCCTGGCGAAAATCGCGTCTTGGAAATCTCACCGACTCGCTAGCAGAGCAAGGCTCAGATGGATTGTTACAGGCGAAAAACACCAGCGGCAGATCGCAGAGGAATAACAAGATTTCACCGCGAAACAGAAAGAGCAGCAGCACCAGGAGCGCTTTGGGATTTAGTGGAGGAGTTTTCAGCGATCGGCGGTTTTGGAGTCGTACAACAGGAGGTGGAATGAAAGGAGACGAGATTAGAGAAAGCGGAAGGCGTACGGTTTCGGCTGCTAACACGCGTTCAGTCGACGGCGACCTCCCTGAACTGTTCGGCTTTCGCAGCTCTACGCCGGGAGGAGAGACAGCAGCAGCGGCGGTAGCACCATTGGAAACACCCGCGTTTCGTTCGCGAAATCAGGAGCGTGGCGTTTCAGATGCACGCGTGGTGGTTTCCGAGGCAGGATGCTCTGCGATGGAGACGCGTTCAGCGCATCGTGAAAATAAGCAGAAACAGGGGCATCAAAAGCATCATGCGCATTGCAAGCATCGGGCGCAGGAGAATCTAGAGCCGTCTGAAAAGACGCTTTGGGCGCAGCTGCTTCGTAAGGATTCTCCAGATTCTAAAGTCGCCAACGACGGAAAAGAAAACGACGACTTTAGAGGAAATGGAATGAGTGGAGACCGGATAAGCGAGTTTGATATTCGAAATGGCTGTGGTAGTCGCTTCAACAACTGTATCCAACAGGAGCCGTATCTCGTTCATGAGAGAGGGGTGCTTGGAGAAAGCGTTGGCCCAAGGGTGAATTCCCAAGCAAGAACTTTTGGGATGGGTAACGTCACTAAACCGCCACTTGGCGTCTCCAATGCGTCGACAGCCCTTCATGGAAAGGAGAGGCTGGCAAGTCCTCTCTCTGGTTGCATCACATCCTCAGTGCCACTTCGTGAGGCACCTTCAAAGACGCCGATTCTTCCGCCTGACTGCATTCCCTCATCAGTACCAGGTGCCAAGGGCGTTGCGTCACTCCGTCCCGTTGAAATTGTTCCATCCTCTGCTTGTGAGCCGGCCATTATTAGTGACTGTGTCCCTGCAGCCCTGGACCCTCCAACAGAATATTCACCTTTTTTTCTGGAAAAGCCCATTCTGAAAATCAATAGAATCAGCCAGTGCGAGTCACAGGGGCCTGGTGGGACAAATATGTTCGGGGCACCCAGGGCGTTTCGAGAAAATCCTGCTTCCTGTTCGAACCACATGTCGCAACCTGATTGGCTGTCAGCTTCTGCGGGGTATTGGGAGAGCTGCTGTGTTGATGGCGGTTGTGGTGGGGGGAATGTTTTGGGGGGGAAGTATGCGGAAGAAGAGGAGGAAGACGATGACGATGGGGAGGAGGAGGTGGATAGCAGCATGACATGGACCAGGAGCAGAAGGGCAAGCGGCAAGCCAAGGCAGGTGGGTAATGCCTCGTTGTGCCTCGAGTGCTCGGCTCTGTCACACAGTTTTCACACAGTGCTGTCGTCACTCAGTTTAGCAGTTGCTGGCACCGTGCTTCTCTGCTGCTGACTTGACTCTCTAGCCTCCCTCCATCCGTCGTCCTGTCCCCACATCCCACTCCTCTCTCCCCCTCCCGCCTCTTTCTTGTTGCTCCTTCCCTCCCTCCTTGTTATGCGTGTCACAGGAAGGGCGAAGGCCTCTTATGATGAGGGCAGTTGTGAAAGGTGAGCGTGCCTTGAAGCAGGGTGAAAGGTGAGGGTGCCTGTGCAACTTGAATGGACGTTCATTCCCCCTTTGCACACCCTCTCGCATTTCCCTCACTCTGTCATTTTTTTCTTAGGCATTCCCATTCCTAGCCTTTTCCTCCAGCATTTCCCATTTCTCGCGTGGGCATTTCCGCCCCCCTCACTCTCTCCCTCACCCTCACTGCTCCCCCGCTTCCTCCCATCCCACAGAGGGCAGGGAGCAGCCTTCAGAGAGCAGCTCTGCAATGAGTGGGTGGGACATGTACCCTCCAGTGGCAGAAGCTCATTGGCCCATTGGGGTCCTAGAAGGGTATTCCAGTTTCTGCTCCTCTCCTCTCCTCCCCTTCTCCATCCATTCCCTTACCTTGCCTGACTTACTACATAACTGGCTCTACAGTTCTTCACACCTCTTCAGTTATGTCATTTTTTTAGTCGACTCAAAAGTCTTCTCCATCCATCCCCTTGCCTTGCCTCACTGACGACTACATAACTGGCATTACACTTATTCACACCTCTCTGCGTCTACCCCCTCCTCGTCCAATCGCAACGCATTATCTCAAATTTGCTGTCACTCCCTCGCTCTCTTTGTTCCTATGCGCCCATCTTTCGTTATCCCCTCAATATGTTGTGTCTTTCTCACACATACCGCACCCAGTCAACTGCTCTAGTAGAGGTCACAGCGACACAAAGTCCCCCCTACTTGCCCATGCAATGCCTGCCAAATGTTCACCCTTGTGTATTTCTCTTTGTGTGCGTGGGTGTCTGATTATATACTATTGGTTGCCACAGTCAACTCCCCGCATTCGCCAGGACCATCGCAAGTGGGTGTACAGTCCAGATGAGGTGGCAGAGGATGAACGAATTGATCGAATTAGATCGGTAACATCAGCGAGCAGGTGCAGTTCAATGGTTGACTGAAATTTATATCTTCCTATGTGGTGTGCTGATTGCAACCTGATTGCCATTGTTGCCTTTTCTCATGAGCCTGCACTTACAGCTGCAACTTGCATCCGAGTCTGGCGAAAGTTACTGCGGTGATTACATTGTTCTGGCCCTTTGATATCTCTGGAAAAATGTTATGTGTTCGCATCTGCAGTTGACCTATTGACACGCCAAAGGCGCTGCCAGGTGGCTTGAGATGGGATAGGACCACACCACAACGACAGCAGCACTGCACTTAGCAACCAGTAGTCACTTGTACGATTTGTTTTGAAAAAAGCTTGGAGAATTTGCATTTGGACTCGCTAACGCAATAGCGAGTCGGTGCAAATTCAGGTTGATGGTCGCGGTTCGCCAAATAGATGGAAATCACGAATTCGGCGGAAGGAAATCAACAAGCGTCTCAGCGGTAAATTCTGCTCCTTCATGCACACTAGAATTCTAGCTGGATCACAAGGACGGCAGCCATGAAAGCACTAAGGACATTGCACTGTGAAGCAAGCATACATTGCAGCCACCATTTATTTCCATCTCAGAGCAATACAGCCTTCCCAAACGCTCTAAGTCTTCCACAGACCAGGCTCTAGCATCCCACTACGAAATCAAATCACCCACGACCAACAAAATCCTCATTTTAGGCTGCTCAAGAACCTCCTGCTAGTCTCCTCCACTCTTCCAGAAAACGCTCCAATATTTTTTTGCGCCATAAGCTGCGCGCTGGTGCCTCCACTGCGCGCCACTAGTAGGTGTTGCGCACGTGGCAGTTGAGGCGGACCTCGCCCTGCGTGCCGGTGAGCGGCGAAATGACGCCCATCTTCACGAGCGACTTGGGGAAGGCGTCGAACCACGTGCTCTTGGCGTGCGCGAAGGCCTTCACTGCCTTCTCCGTCTTGTCGTCGTAAATGAGAGCCTGGTCGGTGGTGAACAGACCCTTGTGCGCGAGGAGATTCTTGTAGTACTGCGGAGGAGGCGAGACACGTGGAGGCAAAAACAAATGTTGTTTTTATTCTCACGTGGCTATAAAACTGTGCGTGACGATGTTAAATGCTAAGTACGGTAGGAGGTGCGAAATGGGGAAGCCAGGGATGGCAGGAAGGTGACGGAGCGGGACAGGAAAGGATGGAAGAAAGGGTCAAAAAAGGGAAGGTGAGCTTTGACGAGATGAGATGTTGAGCGAAATTGCTTCTCGTGGGGTTACCTGGTTGTCGAACTTCTTGGGTGTAGCATAGTCGTTGTCAATCATGGCCTTGGGGTCAATGTTGGTCGTGCCGCACTTCTGCTTCACGTACGCCGCGAATTCCGGGTCCATCGTGGGGTCGTCCTGCTCCAGGCGATTCTTCAGGCTCACGCAGCGGCCCTCCCCGATAGTGTGCGCTCCGCTAAGAGTCACAACGTCGGTCATATCGAGGCCGACGGTGTTGAAGTTGTGGACGAGGCCAGACACGTTGAGCGTGGATCCCGGAAGGAATGTTTCCGCGGCGAGCGCGAATGACGTCAGCCCGTCGCGACGACCCAGAGGCACCTCCGTGAAAGGACCGCCGGCCTGCGATTAGCGAAAATGAGCAAAGCAAAGATGTTAGGATATGGTGGATATATACATAGAGAGAGAGAGAGAGAGAGAGAGAGAGAGAGAGAGAGAGAGAGAGAGAGAGAGAGAGAGAGAGAGAGAGAGAGAGAGAGAGAGAGAGAGAGAGAGAGAGAGAGAGAGAGAGAGAGAGAGAGAGAGAGAGAGAAAGTGGGGGACGAGGTGCAGGGGCGCCGCGGAGGGGGGAAGGAGAAAAAAAACATGAAAATACGAAGAAAAAAAAAAGAGTGTACAAGGACGTACCAGGTGAATCCCTTCGCGAGCGGCGAGAGCGAGAATGTCGGCGCAAGACACGACGCCGGGGCATTCCGCCTCGAGATGGTCCTTGATGTCATCAACCACGTCGAACGCGCCGAGCGTGGCGTTGGGATCCGAATCCTTTTCCGCCTTGTTGTCCTCCGTCGAATCGAGGAGCACGGACGCGTCGCAGCCCTGAACAAGAAGAAGAAAACAACATGAAAGGAATTAGCGAGAGAGTTAAGCGAATGTGGACTACCTCTTAGTGACACATCACATGATTCGTTTTCAGATGGTTCGCGGGAGTTGCGGGCGGCGGCGTCACAATGCGGCATTGCCTGCCTCCACCTCGCGAAGCGCACATAAAATTAACAACACGCGCGGTTCTTAAAATTGTCGCAAATACACGAACCCGGACGGCACGCACCTGGACGAAGCAATCGTGGAAGTGCAGGCGCAGCAGCGGCGCGGGGACGGCGGGGTCGTTCTTGTACGCCTGGTACACGCGCGCCGCGACAATCTCCGCCGCCTTGGGGCACGTGGACGCGTAGTAGTCGTACGACAGGCCGCCGTGGCTGCTCGAGCCGTCGCTGCTGCTGCTGTCGTAGTGGTTGTCGTCGTGGCTGCTGCTGCTGCTGCTGTCGCTGCTGCTGCTGCTGTCGTCGTGGCTGCTGTCGCTGCTGCTGTCGTCGTGGCTGCTGTCGCTGCTACTGTCGTCGTGGCTGCTGTCGCTGCTGCTGTCGTCGTGGCTGCTGTCGCTGCTGCTGTGGTCATCCGACGACGACGAGTCGCTGCTGTCATGACTGTCGTCATGGTAGTCGTCCAAACTGCTGTTGTCGTGCGACGAGCTGTCGTTGCTGCTGTCGTCGTGCGACGAGCTGTCGCTGCTGCTGCTGTCGTGCGACGAGCCGTCGCTGCTGCTGCTGTCGTGCGACGAGCTGTCGCTGCTGCTGTCGTCCGTCAAAAGCCGCATTTCCTCGCGATTCCGGTTCTGAGTCAGGACGCCGAAGCTGCGATGCGCCAGCGCAGGCCGCGAGACGAGCGCAGCCGACACAATGAGCACCGCCAGAAGAAGCACGCGGGGCGACATCTTGACAAAATATCGTCGAGAGGGAATCAGGAAGAAAGGAAATGCAATGCACGCACCAGGACTCGGGAGGGAATTCGGAAAGAAGAAATTCGAGAGTGAGGAGGTGAATTTGGAAATCGGCCCCACTAATGGATGACGAGTAGGAATGCAGAGGGCACCTTCTCTTATACAATGCGCCCTAACCTGAAAGAAATTTACACATTGGAGAATGGGCGAAGAGGGGGGTGGGCGGGTTGGGGGGAGGTGGGGTTGGGGGGGAGGGAGCTGCGGAGAACGACAGGCTCGGCGGATACCGAGGAGTAGGCACCCTTATCCCGAAGCTTCTCAGGAAACTGGGGGTTGGGGCGGGCTTCTTGGCTCGGCGCTGGTGCGGGGACACGGGGAGATGAGGAGCGAACACGGAAGCCCACGGCGGGGGGAGGGATGGAATGGGAGGCGCGGCGCGGGGAGAGGCACTCCCCGCGCTTGCTTGGCAAGATGGCGCGTGGTCAAGGGGAGAAATCGTGTGTTCTAGGCCTTAGCTGGGAAAATATGCCATTTGTAACGATAATGGGACTCAAAAACATTTTTGGTAAAAAAATAAAGGGTACGGTCACTGCAAAGGGTGTTTTCACGCGACTGATAAAACGTTTCACGGAATCAGTCACTAGTAACTGGTAAGAAATCACGCGAATGGTCACAGATGAAACTCCCGCCAAAAAATATAACCCAAATGGAACCTGGATTCATTTTCGGACGAATCAACCCTAAACACGTAAATCGCCAGGTGTTCAGGGTTGATCCGTTCCCAAACCGCATCCGATTCCGATTGGGTTTTAGTTTTGTTAGAACTTAGCAGATTGGTTGGGCGCGAGCGGGAAATTTGTAGAGTTTCAAGAAATTTTGGCGGGAGTTACATGTGTGACCATTCGCGTTATATTTTTTACCTGTTGTTAATGACTGAATCCGTGACCCCACTTACCAAGCCCGTCAGCAAACCCGATACAGTGACCGTATACGTTATTTTTTTACTATTCGTGTTATCCAGTCCCATTTTGGTTACTTGTAACATATTTTCCCTGGATAGCACGCCAGCTTCCCGCGGAAGGCTGCCCTTCGCAAAAATGGGTGACGAACCCTTCCACATTGCGCGGAAGGGCTCCACATTGTTCGAGCCTTGCCAGCTGGATGGCTCGGCATTTCCTAGCCTGGAATCAACTCTTTCTTAGAGCGGCGCACACATGCTTCTGGTTTGGCCACAGCCTGAAGGTTCGAGGTCCCCCGAGCCTGAAGGGGCTAGCGAATCGCGCTTGTCGGTAGAATTGCCCCTCGGTATCCCGTCCCGTGCTTGTTGCCCTGGTAAGCGCATGCACAAGCCTACAGTACACAGGCATTCAAAAGGGAATAGAAAATCCGCGGTGGCGTGTGTCATCACACGCAACGCGGACCCTCACGATTCGTTTAAGCCCTACACGTGTGCTTACGTGGCATCCTGGCAGACTGCCCCGCCCAGGCATCCATCGGAGGCGGAATCACAGGCCATTCCACGTCAGCACGATGGTCATGACCTCATGATTCCGAGCATTATTCTCGGTATTAGCTGCTGCCAATGCATACTGTAGCTGTTCTCGAATTTAAATATATATATTCCGGAATAGCCACACCAACTCTTCTACAGCTATCATTGGCTGATAATATCGTGATGAGCACTTACAGGTACAACATGAATTATCGATGGACATGCCCCAGCAATTAGAGTGTCAGTTTCAAACGATTTTCTTAGCAAGCGCGGCAGTGTCACGCTCCCTATCATCAATCAACCATTTGTTGACAAGTAGCGAGTCAATAAATATCTGCAACCACAACAAAACCAGATTACACTTAGTATGACACACCGAACCAGAGCATCGGCCACAAGAAACAGACAAGCCCAAACTGGTAGGATACACTTGCACACACAATAGAAGCATGGCTGCACTGCACGCATAAGGAAGGGCAAGCATGTAGCTGACCTGGAGGAAATGGGTGAGGATGCATGGCAGCAGGACCAATGCTGGCTCTCCCATGAGTGTTCCAATCTTCTCCACCACTGTTGCAGCCACGGGAAGGGTTTTCTGCCACATGGTGACGAGACAAACAATACAAGGGTACGGGATTTTGCAGGAGGAAACACTTGCATGCACAACAGAAGCATGGCTCCACACAACAGATGCATGGCAGCAGGACCAATGCTGGCTCGCCCATCAGTGTTCCAATCTTCTCCACCACTGTTGCAGCCACAGGAAGGGTTTTCTACCACATGGTGACAAGCATTTGCACACCCATACCTACTTGCAATCCTCAATTGGAAATTGGGAAAAAAAAAAAGTGACAGTACAGTAAATACTCATGCAATAGGACATGTGACACGAAGGAAATACTCATGTGAAAATCCAGCGCATGAGTATGTATATGTACATTTCTACATATATTCTTTAACATGTTATGCATGTACGGTCGTGTTACCTGACTGGAGAGGATGATGACGGCTCTATCGACAGCGTTGGCCTCTTGAATGGGAAGGGGAGGGGTTATTCGCCTCAGGGCCGCCATCACTGCCATGTTGAGTGCCAGGAAGGACAGATGGACGGCTCTGATGCAGAGATAGGGAGGGATCATGAGGGATTGGGAAGGATCGGGAGGGGTTGTGAGGAGAAAATGATCTCAGGTCTTGCGGGTTTAGCGATGACAGTTCCGAAATAAGTTACTTTTCCACATTATTGACTTCTTGAAGGGTAAATGGAGCGGTGATTTGGCTAGGAGAAAATCAGGACATTCAGAGATGCTTGCGAACAAATCTAGCCAGCACAGGACACCAGAGAACGAAATGTGCCAGTGGCAGCAGCCAGATCGTGAATGGGATGTGCTCCGACTGGCTACATACAGAGAGTGCGGCGAACAATGGAACGATTTCAGTCCAGAGAAATCGAATGTGGAGAGCAGAAGAGACATACATGCCCGCAGCAGCAATGGGTAGCAGCTGTGTCATGTCGAGACGAAGAATCGCCGCTCGGGCGGAACTGACTTGCATCCAGGGTACCTGCAAGGGAACCAGAGGTGGGGCCACGAGCACAAAGGGGGAAGGAAGTTGAGCAGAGAAGACGCTTGGGCTGACTCCGAAGTACACGCGCTGCAATCAGTATGAGTGCAAGATGTTTGAATACAAAGGGAAAGTTGAAAGAACGAATGTCGCCTGAGGGGCAGGGCAGGTATGGAAAACAGTGGAGATGGGGATAGGAACCCACACGATCAAAGGATATGAGGGGTAAGAGGAACGCACGAATGAGAGCATGGCGTTGTTGGCCATTGAGAGTAGCTGCTTGCGCTGATCAGCCCACGTGGCAACAGCTGATTGGATCACGGCCAGGGAGGGGAGACAGGACGGAGAGGGGAGAGGTGGGAGTGGGGAGAGAGGGGAGAGCGGGGAGAGAAGGAAGAAAATAGAACGAGGGGAGAGGGAATTGAGGGGAGGAGGGGGAAGAGAAGAAGCAAGAACACTCTTTTCCTAGTGAAAGGACAGAGCAAGGAATCTGAACCAATCATAGCAGGGTGACTCCATCATGTAATGCTGATACAGATTTTTTTTTTTCCTCAACGCAGTCAGACAGGTATCCAAGGCTATTGGGAAGGATGAGATGCAGAATGGTGAATTTGTAGTGGCTATGTTATGCACCTGGGATGGTTCGTCGCACTGCCTGAGCCCATTGGGTTGTGACGGGGATTGATGGGCCCGTTGTGAACCCCGGGGATAGCAGCGTTGCACGGGGCAGATGGGAGGGGAAAGCGGTTTTTGAGTCGACTCAAAAATCGAATAGCAGCGTTGCACGGGGCAGATGGGAGGGGAAAGCGGTGAAGGGAAAGAAGAAGGAACGAAGGAGGGTGTGAAAAGGCTCAAAAGTTAATGGACAAAACACACGCATCATAGTCCATAGCATGAGACTGTACCACACCACACCACACCACACCACACCATACCATGCCTATGAAGAGGGGAACGAGCAGAGTGGTAACCAGTCCCCGTAACAACGGCCCTGCTGGTACCGACACACCCTCACTGGCTGGAACGAGCGTTGACAGGAGTAGAGGCATCTGAGAGAGAGACCAGAGGGAGGGGAAAAGGCGGGGAGGGGGGACAGAAAGTGGAGAGGGAAGGGGCAAGAGCGGACTGGGGTGATGTATGTATGACACAACTGCACAACTGGGGCTAGGGCACCGACACAACTGCCCACATAGCAATGGCCCTGCCGGTACCGACAACAGCCTCACTGGCTGGAACGAGCGTTGACAGGAGCAGAGGCATCTGCGAGAGAAAGCGGGTGGGGAGGAGGAGAAAGAGGAAAGAGGAGAAGGGGAGGAGTGGATTGTTGTGTTGTGAATAGGGCATGGCTGAGTGTAATAGGAAGGTGCCGAACAAGGGGGCGAATAGAGGGACAGCTCACAGTGAGTATGCCAACAGTGTTGGTGACGACAGTAAGGCCGAGAGCCAGTGCTGTGTTGGCATGCGCTGCCTGGTGGGAGCAGGGGCAGGCAAACAGGGTAGATGGAGAGAGGAGGGCGAGAGACAGGGGGGGGCTATGCCCTGAACAAGTGAAGGCCTAGCTGCCCTGCCTACCCGTGCAAGTGAGATTCCTGCGTTGATGGTTTCAGGCAGGCATGCAGCAGAAGCGACGATACCCGTGTCAACTGAGAAGACAATGTTAGTCGACTCTACTGTGATAAAACCATCCCTATTTCCGTGCTGAGCCTACCCGTGCGAGAGAGATCCCTGCGGTGATGGTGGCAGGCATGCAGCAGAAGAAACGGTGCCCGTGTCAACTCAAAGGCCAATGTCGATACTATTCAACTGTGATGGAACCATTACAATTCCCGCGCTGTGCCTACCCGTGCGAGAGAGATGCCTGCGGTGATGGTGGCAGGCATGCAGCAGAAGAGCGCAAGACCTGTGGGGAAAGACAGATAAAGGGGTGAGGAGGAGATGGAGGGGGTGGAGTGAATGAAAGGCGATGAGAGTGACTGCAGTGATGATGGTGGCATGGCAGGCATGCAGCAGAAGAGCGCGAGACCTGTGGTGATGTGGCGACACGAGGTGATTGATTGGGGAGGGACAAGAAAACAGGGAGAGAGTGCGACAGGGAAGGGGGGGGAGGGGGAGGTGGGGGTTGGGGATGCTGTGTTGGTTGGTTGGTGGCAGGCCTGGCAGGCTTTGATCAGAACCAAGCGAGGCCTGTGGGGACGAGGGAACTGGAAGGATGGGAAGCGAAGGTCATACACAGGAAGAGCGGTGGGGTGGGATTTGGATTTGGATGCTGTGTGGATGGCAGAAATGCAGCAGAAGAGCAAAGAGGGAGAGAGAGGGTGAAGTAAAGGGGTGGAACAAACAAATGAAAGCATGCTCACCGAGTGGAACCGCACTGCACACCTGTGGGCAGCTCTCGTGGCAGCAGTGGCAAGCGCAGCACGAGTAGAGCCATGAGGGGCGTTATGGCGAGAGTGGATAGCTGGTGGGAGGAGGGGGGAGAGAAAGGGATAGAGGGAGGGAAATAGGAAATGCTTAGTTGGAGAGGAGTTCTGAGTCGACTCAAAACTCGTAGCTGGAGAGTCCATGAGAGGGCTGAGAGGCTGTGAGGAGGCGGTCGCGGCGGTGAGGAGGCAGCATGGCGAGTGTGAAAGGAGAATGGACCGGGCCAGAGGAAGAGGTTGAAGTTTGAGGGCGAAGGCGGGAGGAGGGGGGGGGGGGGGGGGGGGGGGAGTGGGGTAGGGGCGGGGTGGGGGGATTGGAATCCAGGAAATGCGTATTGCTTGGATTTCACGCCTGGATCATAGCAGCGTGTAAAACGCGATGAAAACTGCAAGTCTGCAAGCCGCGTAATGCCCAAGTCAATGACTGAGTAGCGCGGGAGATGAATGAGTACCACTGCTACTGGTGAGGTCACTGAGGTGCACAGAAGACGGCTGGGCCGTGACTGAATAGAGGGTGCGATGGCTGTTGAATGATTAAGGGCGCGACGAGGAACGCACCGAGCCATAGAGGAAGGCAGGCCACGAGGCGCAATGCCTGGTGTGCGTGCGTTGTGTTGGTGGGAGCAAGAAAATGCGAGGAACAGGCATGATGGGGAACGCACCGAGCCATAGAGGAAGGCAGGCCACGAGCTGGCTGCTCTTTTTTTTCTGAGGCGCCTGAAAGATTGACAAGAGGGTGTGATAGGGCATGGAGGAACGCACCGAGCCATAGAGGAAGGCAGGCCACGAGCTGGCTGCTCTGCGGAGCTCGTCCAGGTCCAATGCTATGCCTGGTGTGCGTGGACGTGGCATGGGAGGTGACGTGGCACAGGGGGTGACGTGGCGTGGGGATTGGCATGGCAGGAGAGGCGACGTGGAATGACTGGACACGGGAGGTGGCATGCATGACGGGCCTTACGAATTCGCCCTGCCCTCTTTAGACTGGGCGTAGATGTTATCTGTAAATACCACCCTACCATTTCGTTTCCCACTAACTTACCCAGTTCACTCCCCATACTACCCACCAGAGACAAAGAAGATGCCGAACGTGCAGTAGCGCGCAAGGCCGATCAGAGACTGAGCGTAGATGCCCCCATGCCCTCTTTACTCTCTCTGCCCTGCTCCCTCCTTTTATTCCCCATCCCCAACCCACCGGAGACAAAGAAGATGCCGAACGTGCAGTAGCGTGCAAGGCCGATCTGAGACTGAGCGTAGATGCCGGGGGCAGGGTTCAGCACTGCCAGCGCGATTCCCGTGCTGATGGCTGCAGGAGAGGAGGGCGGAGGGGGGGCAGGATGATGGCAGGGGAGGAGGGAGAAGGGGAGGGTGAGCCTGAGAAGGTGAGTTTCAGGAACAGTTCAAGCCTGGGATGCGGGTGTCGCACAGTCAGTTCGATTCCTGTGCTGATGGCTGCAGAGGAGGGTGACGAGGGTGAAGGGTGACGAGGGTGACGAGGGTGAAAAGGGGGAAGAGGGAGCACAGCCAATGGTGATTAACTAGTGAAGATTAGGCGTGGAGGGGGAGGACGGGTGGGACGTACCTGAGTACAGCTGCCTTCCAGAAGGTGTAACTCACTCACCAACGAGGAGAAAATTGCTGGTAACGAACGCGCGAACTCGCTTGGCGAATCTCGTGAGCGCTCCCTCTTCGCGTTTCGTTTCCGTCCCGCCCTCCGCATCTCCCATTCTCTCTTCCAAGCCGGCCTCTCTACTTTCCCCACTTCCCCACCTTCCCTCACTCGCTTTCCCCGAACTCCCGCGAGAGCTCAACACTCCTGCTGGCAAATCGCCGCCACTTTCCGCTTTCCGCTCCTCACCATGCACAGACACCTCACCGCTTGCCTTCCCCGCTTCAGTTTCTCCCCCCGATCCCCTGCATGCTACTTCCCCCGATCCTCCGTCTCCTGCTTCCCTCTCCCCTCTCGTCTCCGCCTCATCCACCAAACCCACCCCTCCGCCGATTGAAGCTTTCGGAGTGAGTAGAGTGACTTTAAGAATTCTCCGACGCGCTATTTTATGTCCGACATCGCACTTGAAGCCTCTGGGGTTGCACGCTGCTAATAGCGATGATGCTGGGGTTACAGAAGAGATCAACCTCCGCGTTAGACGGCTTGATACATTGTTACCGGCAAAAGTTCGTACTCCTCTCGTTTCGGTTACCACTGTCCCAATGGTTACAGCTGGCTTGCATGTGGTGCTTACCCCAGTCTTCGCTGAGCGTGAACTTTCGCTTCTACTCGTAAATGACACAAGCCGTGCTGTTTTTTCCAGACTGAAGCGGTCTGAGAATCTGGACAGTTGTGCCGCCATGGCGCTTTCACTAGCCCAGAGCGTCATTCGCCGTTTCCACAGATTTGCGAAGCTGGCTAACGAACCGAAGTTGGTGCTTCGAGTCAGCGTCACGCCACCGTTATCTTACGACGCTACCAGAAAGTCGTTCTTTTCTGATCGTGATGGATGCCAATAAATACAGCAGCTAACAGACCTGATCGTAACAGGCACAAGGATAGCAAAACTTACGAATAAATAGATACCAGTTTTCCCGCCAAGGCGGAAGTCCTTTCATTGACGAATGGAAGTTCTTTGATATACTTCCGACAAACTGGGAAAAAAATGACTGCGTTACTTCGCGTTCTCAAGAGTTGGAATACTCTTTCCATACGGTTGAGTACGGTATTTAGCGGAAACGAACCTCAGCTCACGCCATGGATAAGACATTCTGGCATTTCAGTTTGATCAGCCTGCTTCGAACCACACACACGCACTCACCGCAGAGTGATGTGGCTTCTGAGCGGGTCGATCGGAAAATCGTGTTCGTCAATTCTAGTCAGTGGTTCGGGTGTAAGGGCGGCTCGTGAAGTGACAGAATACTCCGTTACTAGTAGCCCCGCGCTTGTTTTGGAGACAATGAAATCTCGTTCTTACAATGGGTTCTGTAGATCGATACTGCAATTTTGCACCTGTTGCCCTTCGTCCAGCGCAGAAGCACAGCCTCGAGAACGTCGAGGATTCTCGTTACATTACGCTCGAGACAACGAGTTCATCCATACCGTCCATTTCATCATCGTCGTTACGATGCCGTGACGCTAATGGCCAGACGAAGTCCCTCAATCCACCCACAACATTGTAACAGCCACCTGCACTGAGGCGCTTGTTGCTGAACGCACCGTAATATACCGCAATTAACTTCTATCTTTACATGCGAAACCGCACTGCTTGCCTTTTACAAACCCGCCATTCCTTTCTTACCTCCACACCACAAAGATGCAAGCCCACCCGCCGCAACGTCCAGCCTCCAATCCAATCCAAGCATGACCGTTTCTTTCTATTTCATGGCTTTCAGAAGAACGTAATCTATGCCACTTCCATTCCATGTGGCTCACCACGAGGCAGGACACGACGAGCATAAGCTGCATTGTCCGTACCTCACACGTCCCCCTCGTGGCTGCTTACGTGGTCCCTCAGCTTGCTGCCGTAACGTAACCGACTGGTCTCTTCCGCGCTGACCCTGGTCAACGGTTCATTCTCTTCCCTCCATTTCGTGAAGCTACATAGCAGAGGGGCTAAGATATCTAGGCCGCTTCCGTCATCCTTTTATTTATCGTAATAGTAGATACTAAGTCTTACAACCTTGCTTTCGGAGAGTAGTCTAGCCATATTGCGAGCAGCTAAGGGTAGTCTGACTCTCGCCTGCATTTTACCTTTCATCTCTTCTCAGCTGACCTCTTACGCTGACTCCGATCATCATCCCGCTCCAGCCCAACAAACTTAGCTAAGTTCCTGAGAGTCTTCGCGCCGTTCTATCCAGCACGACTTCGTTGAAGTAGCAGCATGTGATAAGGTTGTAAACCCAAGCTTGAGCAGCTTCCGTCCTCTGTGGCGTTATCAAGACTATAGTTGAATGATTGGTGCCATCAAATAAACGCGTTATAAGGGCTGGTTCTTTATCAGGACAGCATGACGTCATCAGCCACCAACCAAACTGGAGCCTCTCCGCCGAGGCTCTGGATGGTGGAAGCAAACTCCGTCAAGAACATGGAGCTGAACGGCGCTCTGTTAACGTTAGCGTTACACGACCGGCAGAAGCAGCTGGAGAAGGAAGCTGCGGAGAAAAGAGCAGAGGGGATTCTCGGAGGGAGAGACACGGATGGGGAAGGAGGAGAGTTGGTGCCGAGTCAAGAAGGAGGAGGAGGAGGAAGCAAGGGAGGATTGAATTCGAGTTCGGGGATTGAGATTGTGCTGTGCTTCGTGGCAGGAGAAGGGCTCGGCATATGTAAGTAGTTTTGCCCTAATCCTTCAAGTGTTGTGGCATGTGTAGCAGAGGAACGCTAAGTGAGGCGAGAGCGTGTTTATATCCCATAGCTCTGCATTACCGTGCGTTTCCTATCTCGTGCTGAAGGCGCTGCTGCAGCCGCTGCTGGAGCAGTGTGGGCATGCGCGCGTGCCTGTGCGCGAGCACGTGGAGTGGGGGCCTCGGCGAGATGAGCCCTACTGAAGCACCCTCTCTTGTCCCTGCTTCCCTCCTGCCGTTCCCTTAATTCTCTCAGTGGGTGCGGCTCTCCAGCAGAAAGGCAACACTGGGGGCAGCGAGATGAGCCCTACTGAAGCACCCTCCCTTGTCCCTGCTTCCCGCCTGCCCTTTCCTCCTCATCTCAGTGGGCGCGGCCCTCCAGCAGAAGAGCAGCGGGGGCAGCAGCGAGGGGGTGTCCCCTGTACTGCAGGCGCTGCTGCAGCCGCTCCTGGAGCAGTGCGGGCAGGCGCGCGTGCCTGTGCGCGTGCACGTGGAGTGGGGGCAGCGGCGAGACGAGGCTCTGTGCCAGGCTGTGCGGGTCACCGCAGCAGAGCGATTATACGTTGGAAACAAGAGGTGCGTGTGTGGGGAACAAGAGGTGCGTGTGTGGGGAACAAGAGGTGCGTGTGTGGGGAACAAGAGGTGCGTGTGTGGGGAACAAGAGGTGCGTGTGTGGGGAACAAGAGGTGCGAGTGGGTGGATCAAGGGGGTGCCTGTGCGCGTGCACGTGGAGTGGGGGCAGCGCAGGGACGAGGCTCTGTGCCAGGCTGTGCGGGCCACAGCAGCAGAGCGGTTATATGTTGGGAACAAGAGGTGGGTGTGTATGCGTGGGGAACAAGAGGTACGTGTGTGGGGAACGGTGGGTTTGTGGGGATCAAGGGGGTGCCTGTGCGCATGCACATGGCGTGGGGGCAGAGGAGGGACGAGGCTCTGCAGCAGAGCGGCTTTACGTTGGCAACAAGAGGTGCCACGTTGGAAGGGGGCGACAAGGTGAGCTGGATGCTTGGTCGTGCCTGACCTACTCACTGAATGCATGCCTGTGGCTGGCATGGCAAACCATACTTCCTCCCTCCCTCCCCTCCAACTAACTTCGCTCTCCCCTCCCTTCTCCCCCTTCTCCGTTCCTGCTACTCCCCCCTAGGTTTGTCTTCCGCCTTCTCACTCAATCCACACACCCCTTGCTCCGCCGCCTCCCCCCTGGATGCATGCTAGTGGTGGGCCAACCAGGCACCTCCTCCTCCTCTTCGTCCTCCAAATCCTCATGCAAAGTTAAATCACAAAGCAAGGGCAACCCCTCCAGTCCAAACCATGCCGCCCCGGCGTCGCCTCGCTTCCCCGACTCGCATTCCTCGTCTTCTTCTGCCACTCCTGCTTCACGTAAAGCTGGCTCCTCTGGTTCCTCCTCTTCTGCTGCCACCACCGCCGCTGCTGCTACTCCTGCTACAGCCGGCTATGCTGCTCTTGACAACGGGTGTGACGCGAACAATGCCGACGACGATCAACACGGTTACAACAACAAGGACGGCGATTACGCTGCTGATAGCGACAACGAAGATAACGAAGACGACTATAACGAGGACGAGGACGAGGACGACGACGACGATGGGTACGATGCGGTGTGTCGGCCCAAGTCGTCCTTCACAATAGCGGACTGGGAGGCAGAGCTTCAGAGAGTGGCAATCGGGCAACAGCGGATAGTGTCTCTGTGGGATAGAGCCGAGGTGGCTGGTAGAGTGCGTGCTGGGAGTGCTGCTGCCGCCTTGGGAAGCCCTGGTGGGGTGGCTGCTGCTGGTAGCTCTGGCTTTGGTGCCGGTGCTGCTGGTGCTGGTGGCGCTGCTGCTGGCGGTGTTAGTGGTGGTGTTGGTGGTACTGCTGGTGCCGGGGTGCCAGCGGTGCTGCTGCCAACACCGTCGACGGTGCATGAGGAGCAGCATCAGCAGCAGGTGCTGAAGCAGCTTCAGCTGCTGCAGCAGCAGAAACAGCAGCAGCAGCAGCAGCAGCAGCAGCAGTCGCAGGACCTGCCCGAGCAGCAACATAACCTGCCCGTCGGGCAGAAAAAATTCCGCCCGTTGCGAATCATCGTCCCAGATAGCACCTCCCCGCACCCGTCCCGCGCTCCCACCCCCAGCCCTGGCTGCCTTAGCGCCTCCAGCAGGGACGGGCGAACCCCAGGTGAATCCTCAGGTGCTTTGGGACTCTATGCTGGGAACAGTAACGCGGGGTTCAGCCGTGCGGCTAGCCACGACAATCCAAATTCACTCGTCCCCCTGGCCTCCCCTAGAGGCTTCTCCCTCCCAGGCGCAAGCCCTGGAGCATTAACCCCAGGAGGACGAGCAGCAGGAGGAGGGGTGGGGAGAAGAGGAGGGGGCATGGGGGACGAGGCGGGGGCCGCAGGGGACAAAACAGCTGTAGCAGCAGCGGCGGCAGCAGCAGGGGCAGCAGCAGGTTCGAACAGTGGGCCTGTGTCAGAGGCGGACCGGCAGCGCATGATGCGGCTGCAGCAGCAGATGCGGCAGCAGTTCACCGGGCTGCAGAAGATTCTGGTCGAGCAGCACAAGCCGTCCCCCGTGCACCCTGCTGCTCTAATAGGCACGCAGCAGCAGCAGCAGGGACAGCAGGGGCAGAAACAGGGGCAGGGGCAGGGGCAGGGGCAGGGGCAGCAGAACCAAGGGCAGCGGCAGCAGGATAAACAGGAGCAGCAGCAGCAGGGAACAGCAGCCTACCACACCCGTAGGCACTCCGGCTCTGTCTCCTCGTCTGCCTCCATCACCCCGCAGGGCACCCCCCTCCCCACCCCCCCAGGGGCCGAGGCTTATTCCCTTCCTCCTCGTCCGTCAGTGGGACTACCAGCACCAGCAGCAGCAGCAGCAAGGGGGGGCAGGGGGGGTTTGGCAAGGGGACGGGGCAGGGGGATAAGGCGTATGGAGGGGAGAGGTCGCAGGGGGATAAGTCTCCCCTGTGGAAGGGGCTGGAGAGTGTAGCGGCTGGTATTTCCGCGATTCACTCTGATTTGCAAGCTGCCAAGGGCTCAGGTGGACGTTCAGGTGGTTTTTCAGGTGGATTTTCAGGTGGGCGTTCCGGGTGGCATTCGCACCAGGGGAGCGAGGATTTCCATGTGAAGGGGAACGAGTTTGAAGGGATCGACACGAGCCTACTCATTGTTCCTCGCATTGGCCCAACCTCAGCCTCGGGAGCAGGTTCGGCAGCAGGGTCGGGAGCAGCTTCGGTAGGCTCGCCATCGCCGAACGTAACCCCGCTCACAGGTCCGGTGGTGGGCAGAGGGACCGGAGGAATGAAGGTTGCACGGACTGTATCGCATGAGCAAGCAATAGGGGGAGGGAGAAAGGTAGCAAGGGAGGGAGGAAGCAAGGGAGAAAGAGAGGGTGGAAGAGGAATTTTCAAGGGTGGGTTGGAGCAAGGGGGAAATCACCCAGAAAAAGGCTTGAAAGGTGAGGGATCCCCTGTTGTTACCCAGCAGCCTGTGGTGGTGGGCAAGAAGCTGTGGGTGTCTGGCAGGAGGAGCATGGGGAATGAGGGGGAGATGGGGGGAGGGGTAGAGGCAGTGGCAGCAGAGGTTGCAGCAACAGCAGGGTTTGCTGCAGCGGTGACAGCAAGAGACGGGTCAAGAGATGGTGGGTCGTGTGGTGCTGCGAGCCCTGCTAACAGCAGCAGCAGCAGTAATCCTGGAATGGGGGGCAACGAGCAGCAAGCTTTTCCCATCCCCTTTCCTTCCTCGTTCTCGTCCTCCTCTTCCCAAGCCGGATTCCAAACCAGCCGGGCAGACTCGGCGGACTGCCACCGCTTCCCCCCGGACCAGATTCTCCGAGCCACGGGGGGGTTCTCGCCCTCGCAGCTGATTGGCCGAGGCAGGCTCGGGCCGAGCTACCGGGGGGAGATATTTGGGTGCCAGGTGGCAATCAAACTGCTGACTGTGCATGAGGAGGCGTCTGGAACGACAGATGAGACTGGGAAGACTGGGAAAACTGGGAAGAATGCAGAAGACGGGGCAGAGGGAGGGGGACAGCAGGAAGAAGAGCAGGTGGTGGTGGAAGGAGATGGTGCTGCTGTTGCCTCATCGGGTGCGTTCGGTTCCTTTGGTTCCTCCGGTCTCCACGATCCACCCACAGAAGGCGGGAGTCAAGTAGCAGAAGCATCCCGAGAGGGAGTACAAGCAGCAGTACAAGCAGCAGTGCAAGTGGCAGTGGATGTCCTAAGGCGGCTCAGGCACCCACACCTGTTGCTGCTGATGGGTCACTGCCCTGAGTACCCTTGCCTGGTCTATGAGCTCGCTCCTGGGGGCAGCCTCTCTGCCCGCCTCTCCCGCATCCACTCCCTCATTTCCGCTGCCACCGCTGCTGCCGCTGGTGATGGTGGCGGTGCTGCTGGTTCTGCTGCTGCTACTGCAGCAGAGGAGGGTGCTGGTAGCAGCAGCAGCAGCGGTGCAGGGGATGGTGCCGCTGCTTCTCCTAGCGGAAAACAGGGCATGAATTTCGGGGATGAGGAGGAGGAGGAGCTAGAGGCGCTGTGGCTCTCCTGGGTGGACCGGCTGCGACTGGCCTCGGAGCTGGCAGGCGCGCTGCTCTTCATGCACCAGCACTCACCGCCCATGCTGCACGGCGCCGTGACTCTACAGAACGTGCTTCTGGACCGCAACTCCGCGTGTAAACTCAGCGGCGCTGGGCTCTCCTTCTCCTCGTCTCCCTTCCATGGTAGCCTGGGGAACAGCCCTCTCTCCGCTTCTGCCTCTGCCTCAGATTCTAACCCCAGCAGCAGCACAGCAGCAGGAGCGGAGGGCTCTTGCCAGCATGGCAACAGCAGCACGGGCGTACTAAGTGACGATGTGCATGCGTACGGCATTGTGGTGTTACAGCTGGTAACCGGCATCACCAGCCCGTCGCTCATCCACTCCCTCATGCACACACACCCAGCAGGAGGAGGGGAAACTGAGGGAGGGGTGTCTGGGGGAGGTGTTACCTGCGGATTCAACCTGGCTGAAGCTGTAGACGTGTTTTTGAGCCGACTGGATGTGACGGCGGGGGAATGGCCGGTGGAAATGGCGTCTGTAGTGGTGCTGCTGGCACTGCGCTGTGCTTCGGGACAGGCGGAGCTTCGGCCGGACCTGGCAGCTGAGGTGCAGCCAGCCCTGTCGGCTTTGGCTCGGGAAGCGGAGGAGAATTTTGGGCGGGCGGCCCGGCAGATGCTGCGGTCAGCCCTGAGAAAGCGGGACTTCACGTGCTTTCAAAAGAGGGTGGTAAAGGTATGCTGTGCTGTGATGTAATTGTTTTTATGGTGCCTGCCTCTTTCTATGTCCCTGGAACTGTGCTTGACTTTTTTTTCTGCTCTTTTCTCTTGATGCAGATTGAAAATGAGGCGTCTCCTGCTGCTGTTCATGATACAACAAAGCATCATAGAGTTAGGAAGCTGATGGAGTCCCTGGTTCCCCACAAGTCTCCTTCACTGCGCGCGAAGGGATGGATGAGGACTAAATCTATCAAGGGATAGGCAGTTAGAGCCTGCAATAGTTAACTGACAAATGCTTGATATCACGTTTCTGTAATATTTTAGTGGTGATGATCATTATAAAATAGTTTTCGGGAGTACTCACTATTCGTTTTTATGGTAAATGTGAAAGTACACCGATGCATGGTAATCGTAGCACAAGTGGAGGTTGGGTGGCTCGCTCGCGGGCTCTACTCTGATTGGTTGTTGCTCCACCGCACTCTCGGCTGACACACTTTCTGACGGAGCCGCAGTCGCCCATTTCCAACCGCCAGTGAACGGAAGCAGAGGGATGGATGTCGCGGACGGGCAATGCTGACAGGACACGGACGGAATCGACGTTTCTCCGTTAGCAATGACCACTCGAAAGGGTGCTGTTGGACGGAGTTCTATCTTTGTTCAATTTCAGCCTGTCAGGGAGTCAGACAGGCAGCAGCATTCTGTCAGGGAGTTCCCAAGGGGTTGCTTTAGCAGGGGATCCTGAACCTCGATGGTTGTTATCACCAGGCTGATTCATGTCTGTCTGTGCAGCCATTATCAGTGCTCAACGGTCGTTTTATTTAGCTTTTTGATGAGCTAGCGTGGCTCCATTGTCATTGTTCATTCACGTCAGACTACTCTACCGTTCGGTTCTGAAGCTTTCGATGGTAAATTTTCTCGTTCGTCAGTCTACGTCGCCGTCTCAGACGTGCTGTTCGTTCCTTTAATATCTGTTGTTCTGTGGTAGGCTTCCTCGAAAGTGAGTCCACTCCACCTCCTCCTGATTGCTCGTATTTTCGGCCTCGATTCGGCTTTTCATCAGGTACTGTTACGGAAGCTGGCTTACAATAGTATGGTAGGGTAGTTTATCGTAAACTGAACTTTTCTTCTCTACGTTAGAATCTATATTTGGTTGTAGATTGTATCGGTCATGCCTCAATCAGCCGTAATTAGACGTCGAGTCAGCAACGAAGGCAGCGCAGTGCGATCCACCCTTCAAGAGCCGCTACTGTCATGCGACGACAGACACGACGACGATGACGACCGACGCGATCCGCCTGCGACGTCTGCGACCTGTGCGAATCCCGCGAATGGTGTCGCCAGCCCAAGTGCAGACGCGAAGGTATGTCTATCAGTGACGCTCTTCGGAGCCATGAACGTGGTATTGAAGTCAAATAGTCATGGCGATCAACGAATTACATGCTGACGGCGTACCATGTTTTTTGTGCAGATAAGATACGGCATACTCTTCAGTTTGGACGCTATAGCATCTTTTATACTTCGTTTTGTTAACCGTCCTCCATAACCCCATACGTTCCTCAAGAACTAAGCATCTTACATGCCATCGTCTTTCCGTCGACATGTTATTCCCTTACAAGGCATCTATTTGCTTGGCTTGCAAAATTACATGTCTCCAGCCGTCGCCTTAGCTAGCGATTCACCCGCGTGTTGTCAGCCTTTCTTTCCGACTCGTTTTGTTTCGTGACCTTTTCCTTCTTGACGGAAGTCCTTCATTGCGTTCCCTCTGTTTCCCGATTAACCTTTTTTATGCCGTTCATTTGACGGAAATTTTGTTTTTGTGCAGACGCCCGGATCCCCAAGGCCAGGGGAAGGCGGCTCGAGAGTGTGGCAGCACCTTCTCGGATCCTTCGTCTTCCAATGGGCCTCATGGCTAGGTGGGTCTAGTATCATCATTCTCTTCTTTTTCCTTCTCTACTTTTACAAAGAGCTTTACAATGACACTAGTAATGTTGTTGAGTGCTTAGGACGAATGCAGGCATAACCAGGATAGGATTAATCCTTCTTTCCCCCTTCTTCCCGTTTCTCACTCCCTTACCCCACTACTCTTCCCGCATCTCGCCCCACTCCCCTGCCACCAGGCCAGCTTATGGCGGGTGCGCGCACCAAAGTTCTTGCTCTGGGCGGCTCTTTTGCCTCCACGCTGCTGCTCCCCCCGCACACGCGCGCACCCTCCCGCGGAGGCCCCCCGCAGTTGCGCGGGGGAGTCCCCGCCCTCCCCCCCATCACCCTCTCCGAACCCCAGGAGTGGTGTCTGAAGCAGCTACAAGCGAGGATACAGCCGCCCTTTGAAAACGACAAGGAGGAGCACAGATTGGCGCTGGTAGAGCTGTGGGAGCAGGCGTATCCGGGGCGGGTGTTGACTGAGGAGGTGGAGGTGGCTGGGTGGAAGGAGATGGGGTGGCAGGGGAAGAACCCGGCCTCGGATTTCAGGGGCGGGGGATTTTTTCGCTGGAGAATCTGGTGTACTATGCTCGCACGTACCCGGTACGTTGGGGGAGGTGTGGGGGGACTGGGGAGGATATGTTGGGGGGTTTGGGAAGTTTGAGGGGGGGGGGGGGGGGGGGGGAGGGGGGAAGTGGGGGGATGTCAAGGATGCGAGAAATGATTGGAGAATGGGGATGAGAGAAATGATATCAAGGAACAGCCTTTTTGAAAAGTCCTTTTTGAGATTCTGTAGGTAACACAATTTGCACCTCATTGTGAGCTCTTTTTCACCACATGTGATTCACCTTGTGCAGAGGTCGTTTCAACGTATAATGCAGAAGCAGGAGGGTCGCAGGGCAGAGTGGGAGTACCCCTTTGGAGCAGCTGGCGTGAACATCACCGTACTCCTCATAAGCATCCTCGACTTGCGCAAAGGTGAGCGCCCGGGTCTGAAAGACTGTCACACGTCCCTCCCTGTCCAGGAAGACAGGCAAACTCTTCCCTTCCTCACACCCCTCACACCCTCACATCCCTCACATGCCTCCCAACCCTCACACCCTTCGTAATTGAATATCTCTACCGTGTAACGTTTGAGACATTGGATGCGCCGTTCCCTTTTCCATCTCTGGATTCCCTTCCCTTGTCCATTCCCCCCCTGCCAATCTCCCTCCAGACATCCCCGCAACAGTAGCCGGACGGGCCTTCCTCAAGATTCTACCAGAGCACCCAACAGCGTTTGAGGATCTCTACTGTGTGACGTTTGAGATGCTGGACGCTAACTGGCTGGAGCTCAAGGCATCATACATGGAGTTCAACGTGAGTCAATGGAGAGTCAGGGTGAAGTCAATGTGAGTCAATGCAAGTCAATGTGTATCAATGTAACGTTGAGTTCAATGCGAGCCGGGCGGGTGAATTTATTGGAAGTCAAGGTGAAGTCAGTCTGAGATAGATCATTCTTTCAAGCAGAGCACTATCTGAGCCAGCCTAAATGCTGCTCCCCCCCCACTTCTCCCCCACTTCTCCCCCACTTCTCCCCCACTTCTCCCCCACCCACGGACCCCTCCCCTTTTGCTCAATCCCCCTTTGCTCCCTTATGGAGTGATGCAAGCCCCTAGAGCATACTGTTTGTAGCAGCCCAGATTGTGTTCTCACACCCATCCTCCCCCCTTGTTCTCATGCCCCTCCCCGCCCTCAGGTGGTCATGCAAGCCACAAGAGCAGAGCTGGAGCGTCATATGTGCCAGCCCAGCTTCACTGCCATCTCCGATCTACCCGCTTTCGCCAGACTCACAGCAGAGTAGCCCACCCACCCACCCACCCACCCACCCACCCACCCGCCCACCCGGACTCAACATGCATGCATACACACTCCTTCCTACCAACCTCTCCTTTTACCAGCCCAGCTTCACTGCCATCTCTGACCTTCCCGCCTTCGCCGCATTCACAGCAGAGTAGCCCACCCACCCACCCACCCGGACACAAACGTGCATGCACACTCCTTCCTACCAACCTCTCCCTTCACCAGCCCAGCTTCACTGCCATCTCTGACCTTCCCGCCTTCGCCGCATTCACAGCAGAGTAGCCTGCCTTGCCCATACACATGCATTGCATGCCCCCAAAGTGGGGAATAAGAGCCTTGGCTCACACTCTAGCGGATGGGCCCACTAGCTTTGTTTGTTTCATCATGTAGCTGAATCACTTGTGTCGTGATATGGTGTAAGCCAGGTCGATTTGTTTGTGAATGCTTTGGTGTAGCTGGTGTATTATTCACGGGCTGCTTGCTCTGATTGTTTGTTTGAATAGTACCATAGTAAAAGCAGGCCAGTGTCAAATCACTACACCCTCCAGGTCAGGAACTCTCTACAATATTTATCCATCAAGCCCCGACATTGCTAGTAAGCTGATTTGTACACTCCATCTGTGCTCAAATGTTGCGAGAACATGGAAAACATAGCAGTCATATGCACATTTCACAGCGTGACACAGAGGGGCAGGCAAGGGAAACACCCTAAGAAACACAAGAGTTCTCCTGCACACCACTACCATCAATCGGATCATCACCTCACTCACAATCACCGATGGCATCCTTTATCTAAGGAGCAGGAAGACAGTATCGGGTGGAGAGAGACAGGAAGAGGGGCTTGAGAAGATGGAGGGAGGAGGAGGGGGAATGGGGAAGGGGAAGGGGGAAGAGGAGGGAGACTGGCAGCTGAGAGTATTGGGGCAGGAAACGAGGGAGAAATCGGGAAAGGGAGGGGGCTAGGGAGGGGAGGGAAAAGCGGGAAGGGAGACTATCTTACACAATAGGGCGAACATTCCCCACCCCACCGACCAGCACCAATGCCCCTTCCCCACCACCTCCTCTCCTCTCCCCCACACCTCTTCTCCTCTCCCCTTCTTCACCTCCCCAAACTCCTCTATTGCCACAGCTATCCCCATGAGCAATGGGGGGAGGGTGCATTGCTATATTACACATCAAAGGGAGGGGTGTATCCATGTACTATCCCTTCACAACCCCCTTCGCCACTCTCCCCCTCCCATACCTCCCAAGCCACCTCTAGTCGTCAAATATTCCCATGGTTAGTCACGGGGATCTGCCGCATCTTTTTGCACTCAACGGGCGTCTCCCCGTGAAAGCTCTCCCACACAGCCACCTTGCCGTCCCCACTCCCTTACACTGTCACCAGCGCCCCCTCCCCTCACACCAGTGCCCCCTCCCCTCACACCAGTGCCCCCTCCCTTCCCCCTCTCCTCTCCTTCCTCACCCCCTCTACTCATCAAATAAGTCCTCGTGGTTGGTAACGGGGATCTGCCGCATCTTCTTGCACTCAGGGGGCGTCTCCCCGTGAAAGCTCTCCCACACAGCCACCTTGCCGTCCCATCCCACCGACGCCAGGGCTGGTCGTGTGGGGTGCCAGCAGCAATCCCGCACTGTGGATCCATGGTGCTTCAGCTTTGCCACCTGCTTGCCTGTCAACTGGGGGAATGGGAAGGGAACCAGGGGGGCGAAAAGGTGGGTTGAGTGTCCCCGTGAAAGCTCTCCCACACAGCCACCTTGCCGTCCCATCCCACCGACGCCAGGGCTGGTCGTGTGGGGTGCCAGCAGCAATCCCGCACTGTGGATCCATGGTGCTTCAGCTTTGCCACCTGCTTGCCTGTCAACTGGGGGAATGGGAAGGGAACCAGGGGGGCGAAAAGGTGGGTTGAGTGTCCCCGTGAAAGCTCTCCCACACAGCCACCTTGCCGTCCCACCCCACTGACGCCAGGGATGGCCGTGTGGGGTGCCAGCAGCAATCCCGCACGGTTGACCCGTGGTGCTTCAGCTTCGCCACCTGCTTGCCAGTCATCTGGAGGCACAGAAGGGAGGGAGGAGAGGCAGGGGCTTTTGACACGTCTCAAAACTCACCACTAGCTTGCATGTCAAACATTTAGACAGCACTGACGTGCGAGATGAAGTACACGAAACGCTGAGCCATGGAGTGCAGAGGGGAGCAGTGCCTGGGCTTATGGCAGGCCACACACACACTGTCTCATGTGTAGCATTTTCTACTGTAACCACCCATTCTGTACATTAAACACACATACCAGGTCAAAGAAATACACAGCACCGTCGTGCGACCCAGAGTACACAAAGCGCTGCGCCGTGGAGTGCAGAGGGGAGAAGTAGCAGCGGATGAGCGTCTGTAGCACCCCATACCAGCTCACACACCCTTGCCCTTCACGCGCCGTGCACTCACCAGGTCATAGATATACACAGCCCCGTCGTGCGACCCAGAGTACACGAATCGCTGCGCCGTGGAGTGCAGAGGGGAGAAGTAGCAGCGGATGAGCGTCTGCAGCACGTGGTGGTTGCGGTAGGTCATGAGCGACTGGTCGTTGGGATGGGCCACTCTCATTCCCCTGCCAGGGTAGTCCATCCAGCGATAGTCCCACTGAAAGAAGGGGATTCGGGGAGGGGGAAGACTGGCAAGGGACAGGAGTCAGAGAGAGGGACACAAACAGAAGCAAAGGCAGAGAGACAAAGAGACTGAGCTAACTTGCATGCCCCTCCTGGGATAGTCCATCCAGCGATAATAACACTGGAAGAAAGGAATTTGCAAAGGGGGGAGACTGGAAAAGGAGCAGGGGGGGATGGGAGATGACAAGGGGGGTAAGGGAGATGTGGGAGGGAGAGGGGGGCTACAAAGGAAGAAAAAAGGGAAGTGGCGTTCTGTTCCAAGGATAACAAAACGTGCCTACACAGCCTTCGCAGGATCAAAATGCACTCGATATAAGCATAACTTACTCTTCATAAGCATCATGACTCGGATGTCCCACAGCTTCATCGTCTGGTCCTTGCCGTTGGTGCCACTGATTAACCACTCACTCACCCACACACACACAAATTAACTGCTCACTCACCCACACACACACAAATTAACTGCTCACTCACCCACACACACACAAATTAACTGCTCACTCACCCACACACACACAAATTAACTGCTCACTCACCCACACACACACAAATTAACTGCTCACTCACCCACACACACACAAATTAACTGCTCACTCACCCACACACACACAAATTAACTGCTCACTCTTACACATGCTCACACTACATACTCGTTATGAACATATAAACTCATTATAAACTCACTCTTCATAAGCAGCAGGGTCCATCATGACTCGAATGTCCCACAGCTTCATCGTCTGGTCCTTGCCGTTGGTAAGGAAGCACCTCGCATCCCCTTTAGAAGCCAGATGCGTTATACCCTCAGTGTGCCCCACCAACACCCCCACCGGCTTGTTCCGACACCCCACCCCCTGCCTCTCAACCCCACCACTGCCACTGCCACCACCACCACCACCAACACCACGCAGCAGCAGCAGCAGCAGCAGCACCACCAGCACCACCAGCAGCAGCACCACCAGCAGCAGAAGAGCCAGCGGCACCACCAATGTGCATGGGTCCAACGGGGTCGAGCAGGCGAAGGGGGCCGATGGGTTCGGTGTTGTCTAACAATCGCCGGTCCCACACCTTGCAGATGCGATCGTCACTGCCTGAGAAGATGAGCTGGGAGGTCTCATCCGCAAACGCTACGGCGTTCACATCGTCCTGAGATGGGGGGAGGGGGTGGGGTGGGGTGCGGTGGAGTGAGGTCTGACTGACAGGGTCGAGCAGGCGCAGGGGGCCGATGGGCTCGGTGTTGTCTAGCAAGCGCCGGTCCCACACCTTGCAGATGCGATCGTCACTGCCTGAGAAGATAAGCTGCGAGGTCTCGTCTGCAAATGCAACTGCATTCACATCGTCCTGGTGTAGGGGAGTGGGAAGGCGGAGGGAACGGACCAGTGCATATTGGAAGAAGGGAAGGGGGGCTTTAATGATGCCCAAACGAGGTCGAGTAGGCGCCGGTCCCACACCTTGCAGATGCGATCGTCACTGCCGGAGAAGATACTCTGGGAGGTCTCGTCTGCAAATGCAACAGCATTTACATCATCCTGGGGGGTAAGGGGGTGCCGGGTGGGGTTGGGAGACCAGTGCACAGGAAGTAGAGAAGTCCAATGCGGTTAAAGGTGGTCCAGTGGGCTGCAACCGGGCTCGAGCAGGCGAAGGGGGCCGATGGGCTCGGTGTTGTCTAACAACCGCCGGTCCCACACCTTGCAGATGCGATCGTCACTGCCTGAGAAGATCAGTTGAGAGGTTTCGCCCGCGAATGCTACAGCATTTACGTCGTCCTGCAGTAAGGGAGTGGGGAGAAGGTAGGAGTAAAGGGGCATGTGGCAGGTGAGAGACAGGCGGCGGTCCCACACCTTGCAGATGCGATCGTTACGACGTAGAGGGAACGATTGCTGCCGCCCCCGATGAGCTGAGGTGCAAGCACGAACCCACCTGATGACCCCGCCCCCCCCCCACCTACCTGGTGCGCCTTCACTCGGAGAATCGGCTGATTCCTCTCCAAGTCAAAGACGTAGAGCGAGCGATCGCTGCTGCCTGCGATGAGCTCCCGACCGTCGGATGAGAATTGCAGCGACCAGATGCCGAAGCTGCGCTCCCTGCGCCGCGACTCCACTGCCGTGAAGTTCAGCTCCTCATGAATGTCCTGATGGCAGGGGGGCACCGAACGGCAGATGGTGGTGAAGGGGTAGTTGCAAGGAGGAGGGGCTTTTGAGGGTAGGGGATGACTACACGACCAGATGCCAAGGCGTAGAGCACTGCACTCAACAGGGCCAATTCCTACACCTGAGCATGTGATTTTAGCAGGACACACGAGAAAATGCGCTTTGAACAACTTCCAATCGGCAAGTGAAGCTAGTATATGGAACATGGTGAGCACATACCAAGAGTGTGCTTGGCTCACCGTGACATTGGCAAGAGATTCAACTTCCCCACTCCCATAACCAACGTTCACCAGATGCACGATGGGGGTGATGGATGCATAGACCTGTGAGGAGGGAGAGGGAGAAGGAGGGAAATGAAGGAAAAGAAGGGGTGATAATCTCATTTAAAGAGATCGGCCGCTTTGCTACCAGAGCCAGCACCAACGCTTACAAGATGCACGATTGGTATGATGGATGGATGCAGAGACATGAGGTGAGGGACGGATTGTCATCCGTCATGCTCAACAGGCTGTTACCTTGTTACGACTCATGATGTTACAACAAGAAACATACCAGGAATCGATGGTCAGGAGAGAGAGTGCAGTGTCGGTGTAGCAGTTACCCTGTTACCACCGAAAACTTACCAGGCGGCGATGGTCGGGAGACAGTGCAGTGTCGGTGATTGATGGACCATCAGTGACAGAGATTGCGAGCAATCACACCCTTCCTCAACGTCCACCCTCGACTTGCACTGCATTGTACACTTGCTACTGTGTTACTATGGTACCCCGTTTCCATGAGATACGCACCAGGAAGCGTTGGTCCGGAGAGAGTGCAGTGTCAGTGATGGTCCATCTCAGGTTGCGAGCTATCACATCCTTCCTCAACGACCACCCTCGATCCACATCGTACACGCGAATCCGACGGTCCTGATCGCGCGCGAGACGGTTGGTATAGGGCACAAAAGAAGGGAGAGCAATAGAGGGAATTGATAATTGATGTAGAGGTAGTGCAGGGAAAATGGAAGCGACTTCCCAATCGAGTAGCAAACAAATGAGTAACAAACAATTGAAATAGTGGTGGTAGTGATGCACCTCAATGGCAACGGCTCACTCACATGCATCTGCTTCCCTCCCCACAGCCAACGCAAAGTTTGACCCGACTCAAAAATCACCTACACGTACACACTCACCCCTCCACACACTCACCCCTCCACACACTCACCTGGAAGCCAGCCACAAACAGGTCCCCATCGCCGCTGAATTGCCCGATGTAAGCGCGCGACGCCACCTTGTCCACCACCATGGGGCCATCGCATGGGAGAAAAGACTGCGCCAGGTGACACCGATCCGACCCACTGAAGCGCCCGAATTTCTGTGATCAATGGGATGGGATGCAGTGCATTGGAGTTTCACGGGTTTCCAGACCGACTGAATCAATTTGAACGCCCTTGGGGTCAGACGTTTGACCCCAAAATGCCACAGACAGTTGGAAATCTAAGTCCAGACAGGCTGAATCAAATCAAATCCGTACCGACACATTCACTTCGCGCGACAGCAGCATCTGGTGCACGTTCACTGTATCGCACCGCTCTGCACCCCTCTTCTTTCCCTTCCCCTTCCGCTTCTCCCCACTCGCCTCCCCTTCCCCCCTCTCCCCCTCCCCCTCCCCCGTCCCCCCAAAATCCCACAGCGCCCCCATCTCCGCCTGTTTCCGCGCTTCCTCCCGTCCCCTCCCCCCGCTCAACCCGCTCCCCCCGTTCCCCCCGCTTCCGCCGTTTCCCCCGCTCCGCCTCTTCCTGCAGAGCGCGGACGTCCTGCCATGCGCGGAAGACCATACGCGCGTCGCATGCGCCACGGGATGCGCACTAAACGCGCGCGCAGCCTCCTTTCGACTCACCCACCCTTTCCGCTTGCCCCTTTCCCCCCTCCCCCGCGCGCCCCCTTCCCCCGCTTCCGCCTCCGCCTCCCCCTCGTCGCTCATGCCCGTGCGCGCGCCGAACGTGAACCAGAAATCGCTCCCCCTGCCCGCCTGGTGGCCGTACCCGCTATTATCATCCTCGCTACTGTCATCCTCGCTATTGTCATCCTCGTCACTGCTCTCTCCGCTACTGCTCTCGCTTTTATCCTCCCCCTCCCCCTCCTCCTCCGCATCTGAGTCGTCACTATCGTTACTGCTAGTATCCTCGCTAGTATCACCACTCTCCTCTTTATCCTCGTCCTCGCTATTATCACAATCGTTATCCGTGTCGCCATCCCCCCCTGCGCCCTCATCATCCTCCCCTGCACCTATCGCCGTTAAAATAGCCTGAAAGCCTCCCCCGGTGTTCCCCCCGCTCCCCCCAACTCCGCCTTCCCCGCTTCCTCCCGCCGTTCCCCCCGCGCGGGTGTGGTCCGCGCCTTCTCTTCCGCCAGCGCCTGCGCCGCCACTGCTGTTTCCGCCTCCGCCTCCCCTTCCGCCTGCTTGCGCGTCCCCCCCCGCGCGCTCCCCCGCCGCCTGGAGTCTCCGCTGCGCCAGTCTCTGCGCAAATCGCGAGGCCCTTCCGACGAGGTCGTCTAGCGCCGCCGGCTCTTCCGCGTCTCCGCCGTCTGACTCTTCCGCCTCCGCTCCGCCACACTCTCCGCCCACCGCTGTTTCCCCCGACCCTGCGGTGTCATCTCCCGCCGGCGGTTCCCCCACCGCCGCGGCTGTATCCGAATATCCCCTCCCCGCGCCCGCGCAGCCTTCCGCCCGCTGCTCCGCGCAGAGCTCCGCAATACAGGGCTGCGCGGAATACTCGAGGTTCAAATCCAGCCGCGCGGAGCGGTTACCTGCTGAGTCATCACCTCGAATGCAGGGACCAGATTCTGGCATGATCAGCAGCTGTCGCGAAACGTTACACCTTTTCGTCGGCTTGCGAAAGCGAATGCGCTCGGCGACTGGTCAAACAAGGATGTAAGGCGGAATGTGGTAACGCGGGGTGTAGGAGCAGCCTAGACACGCGTTCGTAACGAAGCAACTAAAAGGCGAAATTCACAAGCGACGTAACGTGTTCGTGGCGTCTCGGAGACTGCGCGAGAAGGAATCTGCCACGTGTCTAAACGGCGATTTCCAGCACCGTTTCGTAACAGCTTCGCAGCAAATGGGAAACCAGCCTTAGAAACCAGACATGCAAACAAGACCGAAACAGGTTTCAGAATCCGGCTTCAGAACAACGACCCACGAGGAACCACGCTCGGCTTTCGAACCCAATAGTAGCATGCAGTTGCCTAACACGTGGGATGCCGGGATGAAAGCAGCGCAAGGGCGGAGAGGGGCGGGTTTGTTTCTTGCTTGATGGCTCGGCTCTATTGCTCCCTGCTTCGGTGGGTGGCTCGCGTTACTGGATGCATGCATGCCTGCTGTTACGCCAGGTTGCCACAGACGACTCTTGTCAGCGTGGTGTGTCGACTCTTGTTCAAAGGTGGAATTCGCTTTTACGGGCTTCTTTGCGTTTCAGTAAGTTATCGTGCGGTTGTATATTTGAGGACGGGGGATCAGAAACAGCTTCTCGGCCGTGTTTGGCATCGGTTGGAGGCATCAGTCACTTGGGCGACTGTTTTGCGACAAGGTATTGGCTGACAGCGGCTCGCGAAGGGGAGACGCTTCAACGAAAAATCCGATTGTGACAATCCAACGCCGTTACTGTAGGAATTCATTTCCTTCAAATTCTTATCCTGGTGACACCAAATGAATACTAGTTAATAAGTTTGATGTGCTTACAAATGATCAGTCACTGCATATACTTGATAGCATTGAATTTAATGTAGGTGTACAGCTGACATGCTGCTACGACTTCCATGAAGAGCACACACAGATTTCTAACCTAAATCAACTTCCTTGAAATCACGCAAAAACCCTCCAACCACAACCAGACCTCACTCCCCACACCCATCTACCTCTTCTTGCTCTTCTGCTGCTGCTTACCCCCACGCCCACGCCCTCGCCCCTTCCCCTTGCTCTTCGCCTCCTTAACCGGCACCGGACCCTCCCTAAACGGCACTCCCAGAAGCTCCAAAAGCCGCTGCGCCTCCCCGTCAGTCTTGGCCGTGGTGACAATGGAAATGTCCATGCCGCGGGTCTTGTCAATCTCGTCGTATCGAATCTCCGGGTACAGGGTCTGCTCGGCCAGACCCATGGAGTAATTGCCACGGCCGTCGAAGCCCCCGCGGGAGACCCCGCGGAAATCGCGCATACGGGGGAGAGCGAGGTTGATGAGACGGTCGAGATAAGCGTACATGATCTGAAATGGAGCAAGCGAGAGGGGAGGGGTTGCGGCGAGAGGACGGGGAGGAAAGGGGTGGGGAGAGAGAGCGAGAGGAGAGAAGGGGAGAGGAAGGAGGGGGAAGAGGTGGGGGAGGGGGAAGTTGGAGAAAGGGGACGGTGAGCGATGTGTGAAGGTGAAAGAGCGTCTGCTCGGCCAGGCCCATGGAGTAGTAGCCGCGGCCGTCAAAGCCCCCGCGGGAGACGCCGCGGAAATCGCGCATACGGGGGAGAGCGAGGTTGATGAGACGGTCGAGATATGCGTACATGATCTGAGATGGGGAAACAGTGGGGAGGGAGGAGAGAGGAGGGGGAAAAATGAGAGGTTGGGGGAGGGGGGGGGGGGAAGAGGGGGGGGGTGGGGGTTGGAGAGGTGATGAAGGATGCAGAGGAGGTTACTGAGGTGATGAGGAAATCGCGCATGCCGGGCAGAGCAAGGTTGATGAAACGAGGCTCAATACACACACACACACACAAGGCAGACTTGAGCGGGTATAGCATGGAATGTGTTTCAATGTAGGGGGAGGAAGAATGTGGAAGCAGGGAAAGCAATGCTGCTCGGCCCGACCCAAAAGGGCAAAATCCGGATTCTTTGGTCCCTTTGTAAAAAATAGTCTCTTTGATGTCAAGTGAAATGAATGCACGATGATGGGCACAGGAGCTGTGTGCAAAGGTGGGATACAGGGAAGTTGCAAAATACTGGACTAGCCAGCACGGCACCCCTGCAAGGAGATCATGGAAGGGGATGGTGCATTTTCGTGGAAGCAGTAGGGAGGGGAGCAAGGGATGCGTGGGGAGAGGGAGAGGAGGAGGGGGAGGAGGAGGAGGAGGAGGAGGAGGAGGAGGAGGAGGAGGAGGAGGAGGAGGAGGAGGAGGAGGAGGAGGAGGAGGAGGAGGAGGAGGAGGAGGAGGAGGAGGAGGAGGAAGGGGTGGAAGATGGGGCGTGGGAGTGGGGAGGAGAGAAGAAAGGACCTGGAATTCCACCACTTCCCCCACCCCCCTCGCTGCACCTCTCTCATCACCTTCATGCCATTCCACCTCTCTTTTCTCCCTTCCTCCTGCCTTCTCTCCCTTTCACCATTTTTCGTTTCGCCCTTCCTTCCACCTCGTCCTCGTCCGTTCCGACTTCACTCTTCCTCAACCCCCTATCAATCTTTCCTTTCTTCCACCCCGCCCTTCTAACAAACTCCCTCTTCCGCCCCTCACTTGCAGCAATAGACTCCCCCCCTTTCCCCCGTTCGTCCCCATTCCCCGCGCCCTACCTGTCCGCGGAGAGTAGTCGCCATCCCCACGGGCACGCCTGCGCGCAGCTTGAACCCCGCAATGGCCTTCCGCGCGCGCGTCACCACGGGCCGCTGCCCCGTCACCGCCGCCAGGTCCTTCGCCGCGCTGTCGAGAGTCTGCGCGGGGATGGGGGAGGGGGGAAAGCGGGCGGGAGCAGGGGGAAGGGGTGGAAAGGGAGGGGGAGGGATGGTGAGTCGATAGCGTCACGCCGCCAGGTCCTTGGCCGCGCTGTCGAGGGTCTGCGCGGGAGTGGGGGGAACAGGATGCGAAGGGGGTGAGGGGAAGGAAGGGGGAGAGGGGAAAGGGAGGGGGTGGGTGTGCGGGAGGAGGTGGGGGAAGGAATGAGAGAGGAGAGACGCTGAGACGCTGAGACGACAGTTTCGCTGCTCTGTCAGTGCCGTCAGGTCCTCGGCCGCGCTGTTTAAGGTCTGCGAGTGGGTGAGGGGTGGAGAAGAAGCGGGGGGGCGGCGCGGAAAACGGGAAAAACGGAAACGGTGTTGGAAAGTCGGCGAGCCACGTCATCTCCGAACCCTCCTGACGATTACCCTGCTGACCAACAGCAGACCTTGCCTTGCCCGTGGCACCTGCGAGGTCGTTTCCCATTGGCGCCGACAGCTTCAACATTAGCCCTATCGTGTCGCACGCAAGCCGTGAATTGACTGCATTTCAATGGACTATCGTAAATGCCATATCGTGACCTCTACGGCGACTCAAAAGTTCAATCGTGTCTCGGACTCGGCCGGATCCTGAATCGGATGCCTCAGCCCCTCGACATGAGCCATTTCAGACGACTCGATGCATACTCGAACCGCTATCTCCCATCGCACACGACGATCGAAGCTCCAGCGGCTTCTGGCGATGACGACGACCAATCAGCAACGCACCAGATGGCATGACCTATTCGGGCTGCCAGATCAATGAGTGTCAACTTTCCAGCAGAACCAGCGTGATCCCCTCTCCTTCGCCTTCTCCCTTGCTCTGCCTGCGGTTTTTCCCAGCAGAACGCGTCGCATTCTCCCTTGCTCTGCCTGCGATTCAACACTACTCTGTCAGGTCCTCGAATGACGTCTCTTGAGCTACCAAGAGGTTGAGCTTGAGACGATGATGCGAGGCGTACATTGGAAATCGTGGTCTCGGCAACTTCTGTTGTGCGACTGCTGCGATGGACTCCTGCGACTCCAACTAACAGCTGCAACAGTCACCACAGTCCGCCTCGTCCGCGCTAGCTTCATTATCCTAAGCCTAACTGGGCCTAAACAACCCACCAAACCATAGCAGGAACGCGCAACCGCTCTTACACACAATGCCAGTCATTTCTATTCCGGGAGCTTCAGATTTGAATTCGCAATCGCGCTACCTCTCTATCCCCAGGCGATACCGTAGGATCGCTTATCAAGAGCGCCTTAGTGCATCGCACGTTCGACTCGCGACACACATTCCCTCTCTGCGACGCACCTTAGCGCTCTGCGACGCGTCGCCAATGCCGCAGTTGACCACCACCTTCTCGACACGTGGCACCTCCTGGGGGTTCGCATATCCGAACTCCGCCAGCATAGCGGGAACCACGGCAGTCTCATAGTACGTCTTAAGACGCGCCTTATCCGCTGTCCCCAGCTTCCACGCCGGGTCCGTTCCCGACAAAAGCCCGGACGGCCGCTGCGACGCCGCAGCAGGCGCCGCGACATCCGCTACGGCTTGCGCCGTCACCACCGCGACCGACGGGCCGCATTTCGCGGAGAGAGCGACTGGCCGGCAGGCGACGAGAGCGGGAGAGGAGACGAAGGAGGAGCGAGACATGGAGAGGGAGGAGGCAGTGGAAAGGGAGAGCTTCTCAAGAGAGGGAGCTGCTCCCGACACGGAAGCCATGGCGTGGGCCATAGTATCGTCTAAATTCAAGGAGCGACGCAAAGCGAGAGGCTACGCGGAAACACGGACGACTGTGCAGTGCCTCCTGCTCTCCCTGCACCTGACAGAGAAGCAAGCCAATGGTGGCAGAGCCTAAGCATAAAATGAAGGGCTTTGCGAAACCCTAGAAGGCATGTGAGAGGGGGAAAAGGCCTGAGGAGTGAGTGAGCGGGAGAAACAGGGTGGGCTTGTGAACACGGGCTGGAGGGCTGGGACGGTTGAGGGAAAAGGGAGTGGCTGAGCCCTGGTGATTCCTTCAAACGAAGTCTCGCGATGAAAAACGAGACCCGGTACCGCTGAAAACCGTGTCAATAACAGGAATCACCGTTCGCGTAGGGGGATGCTTGTGCCTGACGGATAATGACGAACTATTCGCGTAACATTTGCGTTACGGTGGTGTCTGAGGAAAAGCGGCTGTGCTGGCCGAACGCTGAACTGACAGGATGTGGATTGAGCTCGACGTACGAGGGATTGCCACCTCAGCGCCCCTGGGAATCGTGGACGCTGACACTTGTCACGGACATCACCAAAAACCATAACTACTTCAATAAGCAGAAACCCGCTATATATTGAAACACACGAGAAACCTAATGGCATGAGCGTCAATGCAAATGTTGATTGTGCTCAACAAGCTCTGGTCTCCCAGATTTGGAACTTCTTGCTTCATAATTGATTCAAATGTAACACATTCGTTTATCCGCTTGTCTTGTTTGGCAAAAAGACTTTGAAAGGCCGTCAACTAGCCAACCCAAGCGTAGCCTCCTTCACACTTGCTCATGGCACATTAATCTTCAGCTACAATGATATCCATTGCACGTGGCTCTGTCATCTCCTCAAGCATTAACAAACTAGGCAAACCTCCTAAAGGCTTCCTCGGGCGTGGAAGCAACAGAGCTTACAGGTGCCAGAGCTCCCTGACTGCTGGCAACTCAAAAAGAGCGTCAGAGACGTTGGCTAGCACGGCATTGACGGTCAGCAGGACAACAGCGGAGGACACGATGACGACAACCACCACGCCAGTCGTTCCTAGCACGGACGTGAAAGCCGGCCATTGAATCATCTGCGTCTCCTCCAGCACGCCACGCCAGAATCCGCCAATCCCTTCATCGGCTTTCGCCGCTGTTTCCGCTGCGGCGCGTTCCTGTCTAAGGCGAGCTAGCTCCGCGCCGATATCGTCCAGCTGACCCGCGGATTTCTCCTTGCTCGCTGCTTCCGCGTCGCTATCATCAGACCCTGAAAACTCGATCACTTTTCCCGGGTCATTCTTCTCGTCGCGGTTGCGATTCGGACCCCCGCTTAAAGCTCTCCTGACTACGGAAGCTCCTCGCCTCGCGTTAGGGTTTCGGCTTTGGAAAGAGCAACGTGTGGAGAGCGCAGAGCTGATGGGACGGGACGCAGCGCAACAGACAGCGGCACCAGTCTGAGGGAGGGGTCTGAACGAGCTAACGAGCACCTCGCTCCCTACGGCTGCTAGGGAAACCATGGCTGTGCTTTGGATAAAGGATAATGCAGCCTGCTTTTTGGTAAAGCAGCGCCTTGCAGGCTGCTCTGGTCGAAAGCCACTTGAACAGGCTGGAGTGGGGATGATTTCCTGTGATTCTTGGGGTCCCCGAAGCGAGCCGAGGGTGTAACGCGTACAAGTGTGTGAGGTTTGGATAATGCGGGGTGTAGCTTTGTTTCATGCTGAGTGTGTTCCAATAATTAACAACTTGCAAATGACCAAGTTTCCGCAACAGCAGAAATAGAAACTAGCTACTGGAAAATTACTATATTCAAGGCATGTCACTGTTCATGGTATCAAGCATATTCATCCATTAACTCGTCGTTGAACTTCTTGAATTTGGCCATCATCTCAGGGATCTTCTCTTCGCTTGGCAAAATGGTTGTGCGCAGATGGAAGGTCCTGGAAAGTGGAAAGAGGAGCAAAAATAACAGAGGGGGTGATATGGTTGTAAACAAAGGTGGTAATGAATCACGATGGGCAATCCCTTTCCACAAACTCAATTATACCTAGACCTTTATCTCAACACAGCGGTGATGGCCTTCACCTCTAGAAACTGTGAGCATTGTTCATTTGCTACTCACCAACCTTCACCATAACAACCATGGCGCGTCCAAGAAACATCCCACCCTTCCTTCCATGCAACACCCCTGCCTCCAGCATGCAGCACTCACCCTTCCTTCTGCCCGAATCCAGATCCCGGCACAGCAGTTATGCCTGTGGCCTCCAGCAGCCGCAGGCAGTAGAACACATCCGGCGCCTTGCCTGCTGCCTTGGCGGCTGCTATCGCCTTCTCAGGCAGGTTGATCCTGGGGAAGGAATACATGGCGCCTGGTGGGCGAGAAGAGGGGACAAGAAAGTCATGAGAAGAGAGGCAATGAATTGTTGAAGGCAACCTTAAGCAGCCTGCCTGCTGCCTATGTTCCAAGCTGGCAGCCAGCTGAAAAGAACCCTTGGGAAATCCATATTGAATGGTCTGCTGTGATTCATAGCAGTGTCAGCAATCCCAGCTTGGCCCGCACCTTCTGTGAAGTTGCAAGTGACGTTCTTGCAACTGTTGAACCCCTCTGTGACTGTGTGCGCCCGGCGACGCAGAGAGGCCAGGCGTGAGCTCCTGTTGACTCAAGCCCAACCACAATCACCACGATAAACACCACAACCCCATCCCCAACCCCAACCACGCGCAGCACATGTGACAGAAGGAAAGGGAAGAATTAGAGCAAGCGCATTGAAATTGATTTTATGTTGCTGACGCCATCCAAGGCAACATGCATCTGTAGAATGCTCACGTAGCACATCCCCCACCGTCCTCATGTTATGATTTCAATGTAGATGGCTTGTTAGATCTGGAGTGATACAACCCCAGCCCTCAAGATACAGAGCCTCATCACTCCACTCTCCCTACATTCCCCCTTCGGTTCCTCACCTCTCCTCTGTGAATTCTTCGTACGAAGCATCACCAGGAGCTGGGGGGTTCACCATGAGGCCCACCTGAAAACAATGTCAGAAAAGAGGAAGCAATAAAGCAAAAAAAAAAAAAAAAAAAAACGTCAGTCTCAGATCAGAGTTCGAAGATGACATAAGAATTTGACTGCCATTGAGCTGACCAGAAAGCGGGTGATTGACTGACCATGAGCTGGCCGCACAGGTTGGGGCAGAGGCTGATAGATGACATCTTGTAGAGCTCTTGGCACACCTGTAGTGGCCCGCACACACACACACACACGGGGATGTGAGTATGTGGAGGTGTGAGTATGTGAGGATTTGAAGAGAAAGTAGCGTAACTATCAAAGTAACTGGAGGCAAGACAAATACGTTCAGATCATCACATCGTCTTCTTTATTCGTTAAAATGATGACAGAAATCTCCTCCCATACTCACGCCCTCGTCGATGTTGAAGACCTCCATGTACCCGCCGCGCTGCCCACACTCCCCGAACGTGCCCTTGGAGACGGTGTGGAAGGACACGAGCTCCAGGGACGACGCGTACGGCTCGCCCATGCTCATCGCCACCTTTAGTGTTGAGGGAGGGGGGGAGGGGGAGCGGGAGTAAGCACACGAACGGGTGGTTACAGACTCACACTCTGATCCGCGTGAGTATAGCGCAAGCTTCAAGGAGGACGGGCCAACAGGCTACGCTGTATCCACTGCCTTCGTTTAAAGTGCCTCACAGCATGCGTTACTCGCAAATTCTGCTCCTCAGCTTTGAGGAACACATCTCGCCCTGGCACTCCTTTTCTGGTACACGACTTCACTCTCCAAGACAGCACAAGCCTCTCCCGCCAACGCTAAAACCCGAAATTCACAGCACGTGCCACTTCAAACCATTGCCATACCTTCTTGGCGCTGAGGAAGGGGCGCTCGTCCTGGTACACGTTCTCCTGGTACACCTCGTCGGCGAGCAGCACGAGGCGCTCGTCCACGCAGAACTTGACGAGCTCCTTGAGGTTCTCCTCCGACAGGCAGTTGCCCGTGGGGTTGCCGGGGTTGATGAACACCAGGCACCGCACCTGACCACGGGGACGGGTGGAAAGGGGTGGGATGCGGTGGGTGCGCCGGGTGAGGGAGGTTGAGGGAGGCGGAGGGGTTATCGGGTGAATTTGGATGGAGACCGTGGGGTTGCCGAAGTAGGGTGTGCGAGAGGATGAAAAGTGGACATAAGGGCTTGTATAAAAGTAGAGGCAGAAGGAAAGAGGGCAGATCCATGTGACAGAAAAATTCCCTCACACCCTGCCCACCATCCCTCCCATCCTCTCTCCTCAGCCAAACCCCAACCATCAGCCCGCCCAAGAAGGCCCGCACATAACTCGTCCCACACGCACCTCGATGCCCTTGCTGCGCGCGTCCTCGCACGACTGCTTGAGCTCCACCATGTCCAGCCCCCAGCCGTGAGGCGCCTCATGATTCACCCACACCCTCACCACACTTCCTCGTCCCACACGCACCTCAACACCCTTATGGCGCGCGTCCCACACATACCTCAATACCCTTCTGGCGCGCGTCCTCGCACGACTGCTTGAGCTCCGCCATGTCGAGCCCCCAGCCGTGGCTCTCGTCCAGGTAGTACGGCACCAGCGTGCCGCCCAGCAGCGCGATCGACGCCGAGTACAGCGGGTACTGCGGGATGGGGCACAGGATCTGCGGGAAAGGGGGAGACGGGGCAGCGGGGGGAGGGGGAGGGGGGGGGGAGGAGGGGGGGGAAGGGAGATGGAGGCGGAAGAGCGCAGGAAACGGTGCAGGGAGATGAGTGCGGGGAGCTACTGAGAGGGGAGCATCGCGACCCCGAGTGCGTTGAACTTGAGGCGAATGGGAATGAGCGTTGAGGCGAATGAGACGTTCCTACCGATGCTCACCCCGTCCTTCTCGTTGCGGATGAGCACATTGAGCATGCGCTCCACTCCCTTGCTGGCGCCGTCCGTGAGGTAGATCGAATCGGGGTCGCTGCATCAGAGGAGAGGAGAAGAGGAGGAGGGGAAACGAAGCAGAGGAGAGATTAGCGATGGGAGATAAGGAGACGGAAGAGACAGAAGGTAAGAGACGAAAGAAAGGAGATTGGCAAAGTCTCCTATTTCGCAGTAATGTAGCAACGGTCGAAATGCAATGAGTCTGTCGCTCCATTCTCAATCTCAGTCTCAGTCTCGATTGGTTCCGTTCAGCCTCTTTTCCATTCCCACTCTCGCTCCTAATCTCGGTCTCTCCACTATTCCCAGCACCAGCAGGATGCACTCACGAGGGGAAGCCGTCACGTTTCGCGATGAACTCCGCCACCTCCTTGCGGATGCCCGCCAGTCCGCGAGAGTCACTGTACGCGCCTGATGGGGGAGGCAATAAGGGAAGAACACGCGCAAAAGTAGAGAAGGGGATGGGGTTATAATGTGGATGTAGATGCGTCCGTCAGATGGTGGACGCAAAAGCTAAGAAGAAAAGGCCAGTACCCTACTAGTATCTGTGGAGCAAACGGTAATGCCAGCGTTTCTTGCGCGGACAAGCTTCAAAATACATTCTTGGAACCTGACCGCCTGACGAGTGATGATTTGATGCGCTTCAAAACCTGACCGCGTTTTCCAAGCACGCATCCCGACTATCCTATAACTCTCGAGACACTCGGCGCTGTTAACGCGTGTCGACGACTCACCGATTCCGCCTGTCGTGAAGGAGAGGTACTTCTTAGCGCGAGCAATGGCGTCCTCCGGGAAGAGCTTGGCGGTCTCGGGGTTGTCCATAAGGAAGGGCGCCTCCGCGAGAGCGAGGACCTTGGGAATGCCGATAAAGGGAAAATGTCGCACGCTTGAGGCGTGTGGAACTAGAAACGACGGCCACGCGGTATGTGGGTGTGTCGTTAAACATTGCTAAGCTTCGTCGTAGGAATGACAAGAGAAAGAATGTAGGCCGACGAAGAAGAACCTGTATCGGAGAAGGGAGTTGAAGAGGACATTCGGTAGCAAATGGCTCAAAAAGAAGGCCGACTTACGAGACGAGGGAAAGTCATCGGCTTTTGGCCAAGAGAATGCGGGTTGCCGACATTCGTGAAGATGATCTGCGGTTGCACGCATGCAAAGAAAAACAAGAAGAGAGACAAACTACAGGCATGAATCTGAAAAAGAACGTTGTGAGTCGTCGGTAATGCCAAAGAAGGAGAAAGAGTGATGTTGTTATACAGGGCGTGAAAGTTGTAGGAAGGCTGAAGTACGTTCTTTCACACGGACGATACGCACTGAAAGCAGCATTGAAGTCATTCGCGTACCTCCCTGCCTTCAGCCTGAAGCTGCGCGGCTCGCAGATAGAGCTCGCCGCGCACGGCGTACACCGTCTTGAGCACATTCTCGTTCATCGTGTCCGTTCGCAGAACCTTCTCGTTGGGAGCCATGGTGACGATGACGTCGAAAGTTCAGCGGACCGGTCTAGTGCTCGAGCTACTTCACTTCGCCTTTGCGTCGTCGTTTCAAGAAACGAGCGTCACGGGCGAGAGGTGAATGCACAAGGGAGCCCAAGGCAAGAACGGAATGTCAACGAAAGCAGACCAGCATGTGAAGTGAATGCCTGAATGAAATGTCAAATGCTGGAGCTTTTGTTGAAATGGAGGTGGCGGTGCAATGGCATCTCTCCCAGGGACCTTGGGATTGGTTTGGGTTGGAGGGGAGCATTGCAGGCGAAGAACAGAAGGATGCCTGACACGCGGAAGTCTGGGGGAAGCGGAGCGGGGTCGCAGACGAATACTTTGATTGGATAAGAGGCTACCGTGGCGAGCCGCAGATGTGCTGTCCTGCTTTGTTGGCAAACGTTCCAGGTCAAAAGTGTGGGAAATATTTATCCGATTGGTTGATAGGAAGATATCCCCCCAGTCAATTGCGGCGGGTGCGTGGTTTTTCACCCTGACCGCCATCAGTTTCCATTTCCACACTCTACCTGGGTCCCCCATGCATGCGATGAAGATGGGATGCTGCTGGAGCAGCAAAGTGCATGACGGAAGCATGCCATCACTATGCCAGAGTGCCGTCCATGCCTGAAGAAAAGGACACCCTAAAGATCACTTCCCTGCCATGGCTTGATAATTGGATCTAGTGACTGTGATTAGGACAACATAGATAAATTTGCTTGCACCATGACATTACCCCTTCCACAGTTCACCTCACTCACTCCACATATTATCCCTTTTGTCCGTTCAACTTGTTTTCTAGTGATGGAATGGAACCATACGGTAAGAGGACTGATATAGAACTCAACAGACTGCGTACTACCGGTAATCAACGTTCTCGAAAGTTAATGCAGGCACCTGGTATGTTGCAAACACGCGTTTGAAATCACCTCATGACAGCACAAGCTGGTGCTTGCAAATTGGGCAGTTGGCTTGGCGTTGTAGCCACTGATCAATGCACTGCGAATGGAACTGGCGGAACGAGAGGGAGGGGAAGGGAGAGGAAGATACATTGCTTTTGGGTCAACGCAAAAGTCAAGCTGGTGCTTGAAATAGGGCAGTTGGCTTGGTGTTGTAGCCACTGATCAATGCACTGCGAATGGAACTGGCAAGAGCGGAGAAAAGGGGGGATATGCAAAGCTCATAAACCGAATACAGTGGTTCCAGAACTCATCGCTGCACAGCACTAGTTCAGAAAAGAAGCGACTCACCTGGTGTAGGCACGGTAGCAGGCGAACCATCTCGCCTTCTTGAAAGGGCTCCAGGCACACAGTGCATTGCTCGCTGTTGCTCCTGCCCTCATCTCCCTCCTTCCCCTGCTGCGTTGAAATTGGATTGCGCGACGCATTGGCTGCTGGCGATGCATCTGATGCCGCTGGTGCTGCTGAAGTTGCTGCTCCTTGTACGGGCCCCGGCCGAGGTTTGTGTGCACCAGACCGGCTCCTGATGTGGCCAAGAAATTAGGAAATTTCAGGGCAACCACATACCACCGAGTCTGTGAGCAACCACATACCACCGAGTTGACTTTTGAGTCGACTCAAAAGGCATCAGGGGTGCCAAACGCCCAACGATGTGAAGGAGCTGATGGCTGGTTGCGTTCATCAGTCTGTGAGCAACCACATACCTCTTTGGCTTGTATGGGAAAGCAGGCAAGCGAGCAATTTCGACGTCGCTCACGGCAGGGACTGAGGGAGTGTTGTCCGCATCCAGTGCACGCAGCAGCTCATAGTCTGGAACAGAGCAGGCAAAGTGTGACACCCAGGGAACATGGTGAGGCGAGATGTAAGGCATTCAGAAACTCAATCTCATGGTGGCTCAGGGAATGGACTGACGGAGTGTTGTCCGCATCCAGTGCTTGCAGCAGCTCATAGTCTGGAACGGAGCAGGCAGAAAAGGGGACATACAGGGAGACTAATGACTCCTGGGCTGAGGCAAGCACGCGTGGCAACCAAGTGTGGGAACTGATCCACCACATCAGATCTCAAGAAGGAATGAGGAGGCAAGAGAAGGTGAAAAGCCCGCTTGAAGCCTCTCGTCCACGTGATGCCCGCAGCTCTCTGTGCATGAGCGCCAGCTGTAACTCCAGGTGCCTACACGGGGAAATTGAGGGTGCATGCGCAGAGACACGAATGTAGCAACACCTACTACATAGTGAAGGATCGCTATAAAGGCTCTCTCTCACCTGATGCCTGCAGCTCTCTGTGCATGAGCGCCAGCTGTAATCCCAGGTGCTGCTGTAACCGCCGCAGCTGTGCCTGGTGCTCCAACCACATGCGATCCCCCTCCTCCTGCTGCCCCTGCTGCTGCTGTTGCTGCTGCTGCTGCAGCTGCTGCTGCTGAGAAGCACCTTGCTGCCCCAACTGTGCTCGCACTAGCGACCCTATTCTTGCAGCAAGCAACGACCCGTCCTCCATCCTTCCACCCCTCTCCCCCACTCCAAACCATTCCCCACCGAGATCCGATAGTGCCTGTGCCTGTGGCTGCTGCATGTGCATACGTTGGGCGGCAGAAGCAGATGCTGCTGACTCAGCTCCAGCAGATGCTGATCTGGCCACTGCTGACGTGGATTGGCTGAGGTTCCCAGAAGACGAGGACGGGGAGATGGAAGGGGACAGAGACGAGGGGAAGGCTGGGAAGGGGGAGAGAGAGGGAAAGGAGGGAAGGTCGGGGAGAGGGCCCGCAGCAGCACCCCTAGCGGCAGAAGAAAACGACGAAGGTTGGAAGGGAAGATTCGAGAACGGCGGCCCAAAGGGAGGGAAAGGGGAGGCGAGGGCAGATGGATTGGAGAGGAGGAAGGAGGTGGAGGAAGGGGGGAGGCCGAGGAGGCGAGCAAAGGCACGCTGGGCTCTGGCTTGGTCGGCTAGATGGCGGTAGAGAGAGAGGCCTCGCAACATGGCTGCTACAAACGCCCCGATGAACACCCACAGCTGATTGGGGGGAAGAACGGGAGGGAGGGAAAGGAAGAGAGCAGAGGAGGGAAAACATTGGGAAACGGGGGGGGGGGGGGGGAGGGAGGTGGGAAGGTGGAAAGGAGTGCAAAGGCACGCTGGGCTCTGGCTTGGTCGGCTAGATGGCGGTAGAGAAAAAGGCCTCGCAGCATGGCTGCCACAAACGCTCCGATGAACACCCACAGCTGATGGGGGGGAAGAACGGGAGGGAGGGGAAGTGGGGGAACGGAGGAGGGAGAAAAATGGCGAACGGGGGGGAGGAAAGGTGGGAAGGTGAGTGAAGGCATGCTGGGCTCTGGCTTTGTCAGCTAGATGGCGGTAGAGGGAGAGGCCCCGCAGCATGGCTGCCACGAACTCTCTGATGAACACCCACTGCTGATGGGGGGAAGGGGAAGATAACAGAAGGTGGCGGAAGGGAGGAAACGGGGGTGAGGGAGGTTGGAAGCTGGGTTGAGGAATTTGTCAAGTGCACGCAACATGGTGAGACTGATGGAAATGAACGCGAAGGTGAAAAGATTTTTAAAGAGCACCATGGATCATCTCATCACACATGGGTCTACAGGAACGGCGTACCAGAAACTCTGAAGCCTGAGGAAAGCTGAGAAGCATGAGGAGAAACATGACTGCACGATAACAGGCAAACAGCAGGGAAACAGAGAGCAGGGAACACGGAGCAGGGAGGAGGGATGAGTGAAGAGAGAGGAGGGAGGAAAGAGCAGGGAGGAGACAGGAGGGAGTCAATGCAGCAAAGGGCTGAACACTGAGTGATGAACAAATATTCATTATTCACAAAGACAAGGAAATCTGGCCTGCTTACGGGTGAGGATGAAGATGAGCGGTTGAACATTAACAATCAACTCCCGCGCTGCAACGGACGCCTGGCCTCCTGATCCTGAGAGGCCGACGGACTGTGGCTGGGAGAATGCGAACCCGGATTGGGTGGACGGTGGTGCACCACCAGACTGAATCGCCAGCCCGCTCGTCCCAGTGAAGCCCCCGTTACTGGAACCTGAGGATTGGCCGCCTGGCGCTCTCTGCAGCACGGATGGGGTTGTGAGAATGGTAAGCCGGATTGAGTGGATGGTGGTGCACCACCAGACTAAATCGCCAGCCCGCTCGTCCCAGTGAAGCCCCCGTTACTGGAACCTGAGGATTGGCCGCCTGGCGCTCTCTGCAGCATGGGAGGAAGGGATAAGGACGACACATGCGAGACTCTTTGCGGGGAAGCGGCGTGCCTTACGCTCGGCGAGGCCTGCATTCTGCGTTCACATGGAAGTAAACTCGAGCAATGCATGGTATGCAGTGAGCACAGGCAGCGGGAGCTCTCTCCGCTTGGAAACACGCTGTTACACCAGCCACTGGGACTGGGCCGACCGGCGGACAGACGGCACGGGACGGAGTAGAGAACGACGGCAGGAGCTGGATGGCGAGAACGCCTTGTGAATTTTACTTTTAAGAAATATATTTTCGGCAATTCAAGTCCAGCAAGCCGAACATTTGCCTTGAAATGTTAAAATGCTATCAAGTCTCGAACAAAGCCTGAACGAGCAAGCGGGGTTTCACCGCGGGTAACCTTAATCAATCAGTGTACCAGATTACTACCCTAGCAGCCTACCCATCGCATATCGACGGCGGACGGCGCCGACCATCCTGCGGTTGACGAGAATCCCGAAGCGAGACCCGAATCCGTGACTGGTTCAGGCCCCGCTTCCAAGTCCCCTCGGCCGCCTCGACCAGACGCGCTCATATCAGGAACTACAAGCGAAAAGGAGGAGCAACTGGCATCTGAATTCTAGTGCTTGGGAATCTGCGGCAAGCAACTGAATCTTCGCCTCCTCACGGTTTTGGCCAGATCTCTGACACCAGTCCCTGACACCAGTTGCCCAATTGAGCCAAGTACCAAGATTGCTGGTGGGCAGTAGTACAGTACTATAAAATTCAATATTCTCACTATGTTATGAACATCTCAACACAAACCTCTGCACTACCCAGCCGTCGAATAGTTATGTTTTGATTTTCAATATATGGACTTTCCAACATATTCCATTGAGATATTAATTTCTACAAGCATTTCACGCATGAGCAACGCTGGCTGGCTTGCTGCTGGGAGAGACTTCTGGAACTACGGAAACACAAGCTCCACAAGAGAGTAATACCATGTATGATGTATCTCTAAGCATCACCTCAAGTACCCTGTGTTCCAAGAAAACCATATCAATGCTTGATCGGCAGCATCAAGCTTCAGTACTTGGAGCTACGCCTTCATTATCGTAAATGCCAGTCGACCTGCGGAAAAGAATGGAGAGAGTACATAAGAATGAGATGCTGTAACAGAAAACAACTACCTTTGCAGGTAGCGACGCGAGCGCGTTCGCGTTTCCCGACGCATGAAATTTATGGGGATTCCAGGCCCACCAATGACAGAGGCCCTGCGAGAAAGCCTACACGCGAGCAGACATACCCATCTGGTTTCATCTACGTGCAGCATAGTCACGATGCACTTCAACGGCACGAATGCCTCGTGATCGCCGGCTTAATTGCGCACGATGAAATGCAGGAAGTTAACGGAAGGAAAAATAAAATCGTCGGCAGCGATACATGATCCAGCGGCAAGAACGAGAGCTCATAGGAAGTCTTACCGCATATTGCACGAGAACTGCACAGCTTGCTGGCTCCGTCTTTCACGGGTAATGTCACGATGATTTCAGAAACTCCATCGGAAGAGCTGAATACGCCGTCGGCCCTAGGCGAGGCTGTCAGCTATTGAATGCGATTCCCGTGAAGATATGCGAAAACGGCGCCATGGGCTTTCAGCCAAGCGGTGAAGCTGGCGACGTTGAAGCGCCCATAGATGACCCAGAGCTTGGGATCTTTCAACCACAGCTTGAAAGAACTGAAGTGCCTCCATTGAATTGGCAATATTCCTCAGCTCAGCAGGTCCCGTCTCTGGCCCACCAAGCGGGGTGGTCTGCCACCAGACTGGTTTGTAACATTTACTTCCCAACATTCGTAAAAGGGTGAAAATGTTTGATGTTTGATGTAGAGATGCATACACCTTGAATCCTATCAGCTTTTGGTGAGGTCGTGGGACGTCCGATGCAAATGAACAAACCAATGGCCCTGCTAGACAGACAGACAAACACTCAATCGGAATCGTCGAGGCGGTTTTGAAATTGGAATACTCCGTGTGCGCGCGCGCGTGTGTGTGTGTGTGTGTGTGTGTGTGTGTGTATGTGTGTGTGTGTGTGTGTGTATTCGTGAGCGCCGATGATCGATGATGCTCGCAACCCTCCCACGCCCTTGCTGGCTTGGTAATAGGCCCAGACAAGCGCAGCCACGTGACCCGGCAGAAGAAAAACGCTCGGAACGAGCGCTTCTAGCCCCCAAACGCGGAAGGATCCGCACATGTGCAGGAAGTGCAGCGAGCGCTCTTCATTCGCGAGCGCCGATGACCGATGATGCTCGCAACCCTCCCACGCCCTTGCTGGCTTGGTAATAAGACCAGACAAGCGCAGCCACGTGACCCAGCGGAAGAAAAACGCTCGGAACGAGCGCTTCCGGCCCCAAAATGCGCAAGGATCCGCACATGTGCAGGAAGTGCAGCGGTCGCTCTTCATTCGCGAGCGCCGATGACCGATGATGCTCGCAACCCTCGCACGCCCTTGCTGGCTTGGTAATAGGCCCAGACAAGCGCAGCCACATGACCCGACGGAAGAAAAACGCTCGGAACGGACGCATCCGGCCCCAAAATGCGGAAGGATCCGCACATGTGCAGGAAGTGCAGCGGGCGCTTTTCATTCGCGAGCGCCGAAGACCGATGTTTCTCGTAACCCTCCCACGCCTTGCTGGCTTGGTAATAGGAACAGACAAGTGCATGAATGTAACCGGCAGAAGAAAAAAGCCCGGAACATGCGCTTCTTGCCCATGTGCAGCAAAGGATCCTTCCGCCCATGCGGAAAAAGCTCTAGTATGGCGGCAAAAACGGCCGAAATTGTAGGCGCCGAACTTTTCTTCGTGCAATAACTAAGACGAAAAAGCTCTAGTATGTGTGTTTGAACATGGGCCACTCGAATATGCAATAAAATTCAGGTTGTTGAATGCTTTTCCCTACGCCTATAGGGATTCACGCGCTTTCTAGGCACTTGGCGGCAAAAACGGCCGAAATCGTAGGCGCCGAACTTTTCTTCGCGCAAGAACCAAGCCAAAAAGGCTCTAGTATGTGTATTTGAACATGACCCACTCGAATATGCAATAAAATTCAGGTTGTTGAATGCCTTTCCCTACGCCTATTGGGGATTTACACGCTTTCTATGCACTTGGCGGCAAAAACGGCCGAAATTGTAGGCGCCGAACTTTTCTTCCCGCAAGAACCAAGCCGAAAATGCTCTAGTACGTGCATTTCAACATGGGCCACTCAAATATGCAATAAAATTCAGGTTGTTGAATGCTTTTCCCTACGCCTATAGGGATTCACGCGCTTTCTAAGCACTTGGCGGCAAAAACGGCCGAAATCGTAGGCGCCGTACTTTTCTTCGCGTAAAAACCAAGCCGAAAAGGCTCTAGTATGTGTGTTTGAACATGGGCCATTCGAATATGCAATAAAATTCAGGTTGTTGAGTGCTTTTCCCTACGCCTATAGGGATTCACGCGCTTTCTAGGCACTTGGCGGCAAAAACGGCCGAAATCGTAGGCGCCGAACTTTTCTTCGCGCAAGAACCAAGCCGAAAAGGCTCTAGTATGTGTGTTTGAACATGGGCCACTCGAATATGCATTAAAATTCAAGTTGTTGAATGCCTTTCCCTACGCCTATACGGATTCACGCGCTTTCTAGGCACTTGGCGGAAAAAACGGCCGAAATCGTAGGCGCCGAACTTTTCTTCGCGCAAGAACCAAGCCGAGAAAGCTCCAGTATGTGTATTTGAATATGGGCCACTCGAATATGCAATAAAAATCAGGTTGTTGAATGCTTTTCCCTACGCCTATAGGGATTCACGCGCTTTCTAGGCACTTGGCGGCAAAAACGGCCGAAATCGTAGGCGCCAAACTTTTCTTCGTGCAAGAACCAAGCCGAAAAGGCTCTAGTATGTGTATTTGAACATGGGCCACTTGAATATGCAATAAAATTCAGGTTGTTGAATGCTTTTCTCTACGCCTATAGGGATTCACGCGATTTCTAGGCACTTGCGGCAAAAACGGCCGAAGTCGTAAGCGCCGAACTTTTCTTACCAGAAGAACCAAGCCGAAAAGGCTCTAGTATGTGTGTTTGAACATGGCCTACTCGAATATGCAATAAAATTCAGGTTGTTGAATGCTTTTCCTTACGCCTATAGGGATTCACGCGCTTTTTAGGCACTTGGCGGCAAAAACGGCTGAAATCGTAGGCGCCGAACTTTTCTTCGCACAAGAACTGAGCCGAAAAGGCTCTAGTATGTGTATTTGAACATGGCCCACTCGAATATGCAATAAAATTCAGGTTGTTGAATGCTTGACCCTACGCCTATAGGGATTCACGCGCTTTCTAGGCACTTGGCGGAAAAAACGGCCGAAATCGTAGGCGCCGAACTTTTCTTCGTGCAAGAACCAAGCCGAAAAGGCTCTAGTATGTGTATTTGAACATGGCCCACTCGAATATGCAATAAAATTCAGGTTGTTGAATGCTTTTCCTTACGCCTATAGGGATTCACGCGCTTTCTATGCACTTGGCGGCAAAAACGGCTGAAATCGTAGGCGCCGAACTTTTCTTCACAGAAGAACCAAGCCAAAAAGGCTCTAGTATGTGTATTTGAACATGGCCCACTCGAATATGCAATAAAATTCAGGTTGTTGAATGCTTAACCCTACGCCTATAGGGATTCACGCGCTTTCTAGGCACTTGGCGGAAAAAACGGCCGAAATTGTAGGCGCCGAACTTTTCTTCGTGCAAGAACCAAGCCAAAAAGGCTCTATTATGTGTATTTGAACATGGTGCACTCGAATATGCAATAAAATTCAGGTCGTTGAATGCTTTTCCCTACGCCTATAAGGATTCACGCGCTTTCTAGGCACTTGGCGGAAAAAAATGGCCGAAATCGTAGGCGCCGAACTTTTCTTCGTGCAAGAACCAAGCGGAAAAGCTCTAGTATGTGTATTTGAACATGGTGCACTCGAATATGCAATAAAATTCAGGTTGTTGAATGCTTTTCCTTACGCCTATAGGGATTCACGCGCTTTCTAGGCACTTGGCGGCAAAAACGGCTGAAATCGTAGGCGCCGAACTTTTCTTCGCACAAGAACTGAGCCGAAAAGGCTCTAGTATGTGTATTTGAACATGGCCCACTCGAATATGCAATAAAATTCAGGTTGTTGAATGCTTAACCCTACGCCTATAGGGATTCACGCGCTTTCTAGGCACTTGGCGGAAAAAACGGCCGAAATCGAAGGCGCCGAACTTTTTTTAGTGCAAGAACCAAGCCGAAAAGGCTCTAGTATGTGTATTTGAACATGGCCCACTCGAATATGCAATAAAATTCAGGTTGTTGAATGCTTTTCCTTACGCCTATAGGGATTCACGCGCTTTCTAGGCACTTGGCGGCAAAAACGGCTGAAATCGTAGTCGCCGAACTTTTCTTCACACAAGAACCAAGCCAAAAAGGCTCTAGTATGTGTATTTGAACATGGCCCACTCGAATATGCAATAAAATTCAGGTTGTTGAATGCTTTTCCTTACGCCTATAGGGATTCACGCGCTTTCTAGGCACTTGGCGGCAAAAACGGCTGAAATCGTAGTCGCCGAACTTTTCTTCACACAAGAACCAAGCCAAAAAGGCTCTAGTATGTGTATTTGAACATGGCCCACTCGAATATGCAATAAAATTCAGGTTGTTGAATGCTTAACCCTACGCCTATAGGGATTCACGCGCTTTCTAGGCACTTGGCGGAAAAAACGGCCGAAATCGTAGGCGCCGAACTTTTCTTCGTGCAAGAACCAAGCCGAAAAGGCTCTAGTATGTGTATTTGAACATGGTGCACTCGAATATCAATAAAATTCAGGTTGTTGAATGCTTTTCCCTACGCCTATAAGGATTCATGCGCTTTCTAGGCACTTGGCGGAAAAAAATGGCCGAAATCGTAGGCGCCGAACTTTTCTTCGTGCAAGAACCAAGCCGAAAAGGCTCTAGTATGTGTATTTGAACATGGTGCACTCGAATATGCAATAAAATTCAGGTTGTTGAATGCTTTTCCCTACGCCTATAGGGATTCACGCGCTTTCTAGGCACTTGGCGGCAAAAACGGCCGAAATCGTAGGCGCCGAACTTTTCTTCGTGCAAGAACCAAGCCGAAAAGGCTCTAGTATATGTATTTGAACATGGTGCACTCGAATATCAACAAAATTCAAGTTGTTGAATGCTTTTCCCTACGCCTATAGAGATTTACGCGCTTTCTAGGCACTTGGCGGAAACAAATGGCCGAAATCGTAGACGCCGAACTTTTCTTCGCGCAAGAATCAAGCCGAAAAGGCTCTAGTATGTGTATTTGAACATGACCCATTTGAATATGCAATACAATTCAGGTTGTTGAATGCTTTTCCCTACGCTTATAGGGATTCACGCGCTTTCTAGGCACCTGGCGGCAAAAACGGCCGATGTCATTGGCGCCGAACTTTTTTCGCTCAAGAACGAAGCCAGAAAGGCTCTAGTATGTGTATTTGAACATGGCCCACTTGAATATGCAATACAATTCAGGTTGTTGAATGCTTTTCCTTACGCCTATAGGGATTCACGCGCTGTCCAGGCACTTGGCGGCAAAAACGGCCGAAATCGTAGGCACCGAACTTTTCTTCGCGCAAGAACCAAGCCGAAAAGGCTCTAGTATGTGTATTTGAACATGGCGCACTCGTATATGCAATAAAATCCAGGTTGTTGAATGCTTTTCCCTATGCCTATAGGGATTAACGCGCTTTCTAGGCTCTTGGCGGCAAAAACGACCAAAATCGTAGGCGCCAAACTTTTCTTCGCGCAAGAACCAAGC